TGTCGGAGAGGGAGGAGGCTAGAATGGGCGGTTGCTCACCCGCATAGCCAATAAGTTGGGGACTTTGTTATTTTTTCGTTGCTGTTGTTATTGTCGACGGTTGGTTCCATCAGCATGAAGAACGCACAATGACCTCATATCCGTATATCTTTTAATTCGTCTTGCCGCGGTACATTTGTTATTTATTTAAACAATATTTAGTTCTCCTCTTAAAAAATTGTAAAGTAATTAGTTAGAAATCGATCTAACAGTATGTTTACATTAGAGCCTTTTACTAAGTTAAGGATTTATGTATGTGCAACGGAATTGATAATTTTAAACGACTGGGTTTACTTAATCCCGTAGTCTGTAAATGTACTATGAAGCTAAATGAAAAAACATAAATTGTTACATAAAACTAATTTCTTGTTATTTGTAATGAACAAATAAAGTTGTAATTAAAATGTAAACGGCACGCAAAATAGCAATCAGTAATAAAAATATATTCTATGTGTGCATGTTGTATTATAAAAAGTAGGGAACATGGCAGAAAAATATTGGTAGTCGCATCAACACATCTGCTGGGACAATGAACTGTCAAACCAATTTTGGAAATGAAAATTTTGAATGAAACGCTATTGAAATTTGTAAAAATTGTTAAAAAAAAATGCATGTCATAACAACGCCTGGTTTGTGTCATATAAGAAAACATATAAAAATATACTTATTTCTGTCAAAAAAATTTTAAAATTTTTGACATATCAATGTTTCTAAGCCTTGATCCATCCACCTGAATTCTTCTACTTTTTATCACACCCCTTTTTTTGGGGCTATACGAAGACGTGATACTGCATAAGTAATTTGTATCAAAGGCTGTATTAAGTGTTCCGAACTTTATATACGAAATTTGAAACAACTCCAGTGAATAATGCCGCAAAAATAATGAAAATACCGACTATCTGGGGGTAAAGCACTCAGAGGGATCCATTGTGTGGATTTTAAGACAATTTCATTAAAATTTTTTTCTGAAATCATCTGAATATCGGAGGGTACGTTATATGCGATATCGTGGACCTATACCGACAATTTTCTTCTAGAGGATAAGTACTCACAAGGAACTCCTTGTGTGAATTTTCAGACAATTCTATTGAAAAATGTGGGTAAAATCATCCAAATACCGAATATCTTGGATCGATATAGTTCATCTTCGAACTTGACCTGCCTGTAGACAAAAGACAGATCTGTGCAAAGTAAACCAAATGTATCAGTCGGATAGTCGAAAGGTGACTTAAGCCAGCAAAAAAGCCTTAAGAATTTTTCACTAAGAAATCAATTTCTCATAGTACCTACTAAAAATCGGGTTTATGCCATGGTACAATTACAAAATGTAGTCTCATGCAATCACAATTAATGTTCTTTCATTGGGCACATAAGCAGCTTGAAGTCTTCGCATGGCATATTTTGTGGCATATCCGAAAGAAATGCGGGAGCCGAACTCGTATCCTGTCGTCGGTTCCCCGTATAATTTGGCATTAATATGCCGAGCTATGATGCCAAGTTGCTCATGTACTCACATCTTAAAGGTGAGAACATATAAAACGGGTTTTTGACTGACTTAACCAACTTTTTTCAACTGGTAATTCTTAAAAACTAAATTAAACTAAAACGCCACTCTGCTACTATACACCAACTATCTGCAGGAAGAAAATTTCCTTAGGATCATGGCAAAATTGAATGAGTAAGGCTGGGAATACATAAAGCGCATATTTGGCTGGCTTCAGTCATCGGCTGGCTTCTTCGTAGATGAACAAAGGAGTTTTAGGTTGACCTAGTTCGATTTTGGCCCTAGGCTCCTTTGTTCATTTCCGAAGAAGCCAGCCGATGACTTAAGCCAGCCAAATATGCGCTTTATGTATTTCCAGCCTAATCTATTTTACCTAATCTATCCATGGTACAATTAAGAAGGTAAAGTCATGCAATCATATGATTACAGCATTTTTCAAAATTATTCATTGTCAAAATTTATGTTTACAAATCCATTGTATACACACAAATCATAACCTATTTTCTATGTAGAGAATTTTGACGATGTAAGTCACAGAAAATGCAGAGATGGGAATGCTTATTTGAAAGGACTTTACCTTCTTAATTTTACCATGCTAACAACACAACAAGACGAGTGTCATATTTTTTAGTAAAATTAAAATAATAGAGCCGTTTGAGGTTTTTGCGTTGATTGAATTAAAAATTATCCGTTATTTATATACATTATGAGTATCACGCATGTGTCTATTAACATATGGTCTGTTCCAGAACTGCAAGAATGTAAAACTTTTTACTACGATAACCGATTTTCCCTTTATGATATTGAAAAATATTGAAAAACTAGTAGTAGTTGCAGGTTCTGGAACATACCAATAAATTCATTAAAAAATCTGATTAGGTCGGTAAAAGTAGAGGTCAGAATACATAAAACGCTTTTTTGACTGGCTTAAGTCATCGGCTGGCTTCTTCGGAAAAGAACAAATTAGCGAAGGGCCAAAATCGATCTAAGTCAGCCTAAAACCCCTTTGTTCCTCTGTGAAGAAGCCAACCGATGACTTAAGGTGAGAATACTTAAAACGCCTTTTCGACTGGCTTAAGTCATCGGCTGGCTTCTTCGTAAAAGAACAAAGGGGCGCAGAGTTAAAATTGAACAAAGTAAACCTAAAACTCCTTTGTTCATTTATGAAGAAGCCAGTCGAAAAAGCGTTTAATGTATTCTCACCTTAAAGCTGTAATTTTACTCTATTGTACGATCCACATTGTTCCCCCGATCTATTAAACATAAACAATATTTTTTGTAGAGTTGAGTTGAGTAGAGTTGTTGTCAAGGAAATATAATAAAAAAATTGTATATTAGATGTTAGCATAAGATTACCCTGTACAATTTTTTTAAATAATAAATAAAATTCGTCTTCTTCAGATATGGAACAAAAAAATGACCATTCGCCATACGTAAATATTTTAGGTATGAAAATAATTTTTATTTGAGAAATGACAAGGTCAAGTTCATGGGATAAGGGTTGCCATATTCGATTTACCAAAATGATATTAATTACACTTTAACAGCCTGTTCCACGATATCGAAAGAACACGTTCGCACAACTTTTACACGACAAACAGCTGATTTCCCTTCCACTAAAATCCATCAGAACGAAAATTTGCACGAAAATCAATGCGAACGAAAACGTAAGCGTTTCAGTGTAATTTTGCGTTCCACTATCTTTTTTCTTTCGTACGCATGCGAACACAAATGTCAAAATCAGTCACTTGTGTGTTTGCTGTCGAATGATAAAAATTAAGGAAAATTGTTTTAACATAAACAATGCTTGATTGAAAATGGAAAGAAAAATGTAAGTAAAAATAATAAATGCAATTTAATCTGTGAACAACAAATATATATTTTTTATTTTCTCAATTCCAGCAAGAAAAAACTACACAGCTGCGGGCACTAGTTGAGTATATGGAGGAGAATCCTAAGTTCTCCAGAGGAGTGCCAATTTTTGGAAGCAGCAGGCAATCCCTTGAAGACCACTGGAAGAAATTAGTTTTTAAATTAAATACCATGGGTCCTCCAATTTGTTTGTTTACAACTGAACTGTCAGTTGAGGCAGAGTCACTGCTGCTTTTTCGCGTTTAAATTAGACATTTGGCGCTTTTTTTGCCTTATTTCGCGATTAATTTTTCCAAATAATATTTAGCAATACTGAATGACGTAAGGCTATGCGAAAGAAAGGACGAAAGTTAGTGGAACGCATTCTTATACGAAAGTGAGTGAGTAGCCTTCGTTCGCACAAATTTTCTTTCGAGATCGTGGAACAGGCTGTAAGACTACGCAATTTTAATTCCCGCAATTGTGAATGTGTTGGTAGAGAGACAAGGAAACCCTATCACAGGAACAAACTGACAATTACAACATTTTTAACGGTCTTATATTAATTTGGACAAGTTCTGCTCTTATCGGGAATTTATATTGAGCCCAGCATCAGAAAACGACCAGAATTATAACAAAAATTATATAAAAAACCTACCCTGCAGATGAAAACAAAAGACATACTCGTGTAAACCCAATTAGTAAATTATTGCGGAAGCATTCAATTCTATCAAAAAATTAAACGAACGGACATTGTCATCAATGAAGATTTCATGTCCAAAAGTAATTATCTACAATACCCGACGTAGCAATAGGAAATAAATCCACACATTTCATAGAAAAATCTTGTGTAAAAAATAAAAGAATTACAGAAATATTTTAGACTATAACAATTAATGAAAATGACGTATTATCGTTTCACTGGTGTTTGATTCAGGCTTACTGGAGGTGGGTGACGCATCGACTTGAAATTTTAAGGGTTTCCAAGAGATATGTTTATTTTTCTATCAAAACTGCTCGTCTGAATGTAGTAGCTACTTAAGAAACTGTAGCCTATGTTTAGGCTATATTTGAGAGGGGATTAGGAATGATCGATTTAGTGAAAGTAGGTAGATTTCCCGTTTTCTATATTCCATTATTTTCTGAAAATAACAAATTACAACAAATTAATAGCGGGTCTAACTTTAAGTTCAAAGGCGGTCAAATAATTTACATATTTTTCCACAAACTTAGGAATTTATATCCATATTGGAAAAAATCATGTTATCCATAAATAATTTTATTGTCATGGATAATATTTCGTACTCATATTTCACTAATAAGTTAAAATGTTAAGTTCCATTTGGTCATAATGGCCATTAAAAGTTGATTCACCTTTATTGTCCTCAAAATAAAAATGCTCCCCTGGTCGATGTTTCAAATCCAAATACAACAAAGCTTAAGACAATTCGGAACTTTTTTGCTAAGTTCATCACTTAAAATCAATTTAACTTAAAATTCTTGATTTCACCATAAAATGTAAAAAAAAAAAACAAGTAATAAAAACAATAAAAAAATTGCGTAACATTTTCAATTGGACACTAGATGTTTTTTTTTTTGGACTTACCAAAAAATTGAGTCTTCTCTTGTTTATTTCACTTAGTTATAAAATGTTAATAATTTCTCCTCGCTGCCACTGAAGTTGTAGAAAAATGTTGTCTTTAATGTTTGTTGTTGATTTTCTTTAACTAATTCTTTTTCGTTTGTACTTTAACAGCTCCCGTTTGTCACTTGAATCGAAGAGGAAATAAAGTTTTGATGAAAATTGTCGTCTCGTTACTGTGCGTTTTCTGCTTCTTTGATTCCTAAACGACGACGACGATGACAACGAAGAACGATGGGTGGGTGGGTAGAAAAAGCAAAAAAAAAATTGAATGGTAAATTTTTGTTTGACTTTGAAATATCCTTTAGCAGGAAAGGACTAAATACAACGAATAACGAGAATATAGAGAAAACGTGAAAAACAAAATACACAACAACACTGGGACACGCAAAGTGAACAACCACCATACATACCCACAGTTAGTTGGTTGGTTTAATTCGCCAACGGAACTACCTTTAGAATCAATGTCACAAAAGAGAATGCATAAAAAACAAACAGGCGGGTTTTCTCAGTTCGTTCGTTGGCCAAACAGTCATGTAACACAACAAACACGAAAGGGCAAGCAACACACATAGCGGTAAATAATGCGCATGTCTGTCCGATGGACCGACTCAACGACGGAAGAAGAAAATGGGGATGTAAGAATTTGCAAATAGACTATTCACAATAATGAGTATTCGTAACCATTGTGAATTACATTATTACATCAAATTGAAAAATCATTTAATATTAAAATAATTAGTTTATATGGAATTATCAAGAAGTTTTACACATTGACACTCTCTGGCTGTAAGAAAGTAGTAAAGAATATCAATAAAGAGACAACCGTTACGAAAAACTTGGTGGTTGTGTCACCCCGTTACATATATGTGTATAAGACACCCTGTTACTTTGATAAGTTTGCTGAACACAGCTCATTTATTGACCAATTTGAAATATCCCCTATTATTTAAGCGTAAGCGACTGTCAACATTTACAAAAATTTACACAAGTAGCTTTTTAATATTCGAATTATCAATGTGTCTGTTTACTCTATATCGGGTATCAATATATGTTAGCTTATAGAGAAATAATGACACTTGTTTTGCTGAAAGTTCCTGGATTTTACAGAAAGAAATTTGTCTAGCAAATTCAAACAAACTCATGGTAAAATTAAGAAAGTAAAGTCATTTCAAATAAGCATACTCATCTCTGCATTTTTCTGTAATTTACCTTGTTAAATTTCACTGCGTAGAAAACAGGTTCCCATCTCTGATTTGTGTTTATACAATGGATTTACAAACACATATTTTGACAATGAGATGTTGTCAAATGAAAAAAAAGAATGTAAACATAGGATTGCATGACTTTACCTTGTTAATTGTACCATTAGCAAACTTAACCAGTGGTTATGTTTTTATTTGAAATCAAAAATGTTAGCATTTTCTTTACACAATAATAACCAATATTTCATTAATATTTTACCTAACCAATTTTACTCCTAACAATAAAATGAATTTACAAGAACAGCTAATTTGGCTCATTCTTACTGAACGTCTTATATTTTTTAATTGAGTTACTCTTTGGAAAAGAGTAAGGGCGGAAATACATAAAGGGCCTATTTGGCTGGCTTAAGTCATCGACTGGCTTCTTCGTAGATGAACAAAGGAGTTTTAGGTTGACTTAGTTCGACTTTGGCCCTAGGCTCCTTTGTTCATTTCCGAAGAAGCCAGCCGATGACTTAAGCCAGCCAAATAAGCGCTTTATGTATTCCCAGCTTAACTGAATACTAGGAGTACCAGACAGAACTTATATTATATTTCTAGGTGTAAATCTTCCTTGCAGTGGGGGTTCTCTAACCAGTTTTGCCATTACCAAAAAATGCACTTTCAAGTGTAAATTTTTCATGTAAAAGATAAACGTTCCAGAACAGCAAACATCATACAATAAACACAGGGTAGGGCATAGCAATCACCTGAATTCCTTTTATTTTCTTTTGGTAGTCCTGTAATGTCATATCATGTATACAGTTTATGTGTATGTATTATAATTAAAAAAAAATAAATTCTGTTCAAATTTAAATGCATATAACATTTTTTTAGAAAAATATTGGGAGAAAAAAGCCAAATGAATAAAATAATTTGTTGCACTTATTATTGGTAAATTTGAAGATACGAGACTCTCTCGTCAAGGTTGTGTTTATACCTTACACCACATAGTGTTAAGCATGGTACAATGAAGAGAAGGTAGGTCAACTTTGAAAAAATTGCAAGTATAGAGGTCTACCTGTTTGGCTTGTAATGTCAGAATTAGTATCAAAACAATAAAAAATCAAACAACTTGTTGCATTTATTTTGAATAAATAATTGAAAACCGCGATAACTGAATGAAAGGTCAACACTTCTTTTTAAAACCAGGTTCTATATATCTCTAAAGGATTATTTCGCTACGAAAACTCTAGATTTTGTCGATGCATATGATGAAATAAACATTTTGAAAACATCCGAATTTGAATGTTTTCTGAACATTTTTTTTGTTATTGAAAAGAAAACACATACATAAACAAATAAAGATGACATATTAAGCCTAGAAAATAAAAAAAATTTAAATCATATGGAATCATAGCCCTACCTTGATATCATTGTACCATGGTGTTAAGGGTATTACGTCTTTGTTTGTAACATGAAGAAGGAAGCGAGATATACCCATAGTTCATAGAATCACTTTCTGAGTCGATTTATGCATGTCAGTCCGACCATTCGTCCGTCCCATGGTACAATGAAATAAATGTCAATTTTCAATGCATAATAAACAGTTCCCGTCTCTGAATTCTTGTGTATGCATAGGATTTATCATGGTAGAAGAATACAGATAATCGCATCGACACAGCTGCAAACCTCTTTTGGAATTCAAAATTTTGAATAAAAATCATTGAAATTTGGAAAAATTGTTGAAAAATACATATCATAACAACTTCTGATATGCGTCGTTTAGAAAACATAAAAAGCTACTTATTTTTGACAAAACATTTGAAGAGTTTTGACATTTCAATGTTCCCAAGCGTTGATGCATCTACCTATATTCTTCAACCATGGGATTTATGAACTAAGATTTTGACAATGAAATTTGGTCAAATGTATACATTTGAAAAAATTGTAAACATATGATTACATGACTTTACCTTCTTAGTTCGACCATGGTCCATCCGTTGTTCACCAAATATCAGTCCAAATAACCTCAATATTTTTCATATCCGACCGAATTCTGTTTATAAGTCAAATTAAATTGTGTGAAAATTGTTTTAGATATAGCTATGCATACAGCCCAGAAATGTCTCTGCCAAATTGTATTAAAGCCGGTCCAGATTTAGTTATAGCTCCTATATATATCTTTACCATATTTCGGGTTAATTGTGCGCCAAATGGCCAATGTCTGTCAAAAAGTACTGCATTTCGGTACATCCGACCGAATTCTGTCTAAGAGCAAGTACATCAAATTTGGAGAAATTCAATTCAGAATCGGATATGCCTCCCATATTTTACGTTCCTCTGAAACCAAATTATAACTGCTTTAAAGCCAAAGGTTGATAGTATGGTAAAATTAAGAAGGTAAAGTCATTTCAAATAAGCATACCCATCTCTGCATTTTCTGTAATTTACCTTGTCAAATTTCATTACATAAAAACAGGTTTCCATCTCTGATTTGTGTATGTTCAATGGATGGATAAATACAACTTTTGTCGAATGAATAATTTATGAAAAAATTTTAAACATATGATTGCACGACTTTACCTCCTTGATTCTACCATGGTTGATAGGTGGTATCAAGGTAGATCTAACAGGTAACCGCATCGGCGAATTGCTACAACAAAACAACATTTGTGGTACCCTCAAATGTCAAAATTGGCATCTAAGGCGAAAAACATAGATTCGCCATGATATTTAAAGGTTGCGGCAAATTTGTTTCAACCAATCAGAAACGAGGTGTTTGTTTACATTTTATTTTGTGTGCCTCTCGTCGTAAACGAACGTCGCAATAAAAGTTTTTATTGTAAAACAAATAAGAGTAAAATAAGCATTAATTGTAGTATTGCGATATTTTTTAAACCAAGAAACTTATAATGACTATATTTTACTGGTTTAAACCGAAAGTTTTCCGGAACTGTAAATGACAAGAGTCGAATTCTTGCACTACTTCCCGTGATGTGCTTTGGGAATCTTAGATGTTGAGGCTAACTTAATTCTTAAAGACGCACTCCATTCTAACCTCCTTCCTTCATTTTCTTTTAATTTTTTTTACTGGTTTCACTCTTAACTTGCTCTTAAATTATTTGAAATAATTTAAAAAGGTATTTTTAGGGAAGACAACATAAACAAATTTGTTGTTGCATTCATTTAGGGCGAATTCTTCATTACAACAATTTGTTTTGACATTTAATTGTTCCGTCAGCTGGGCTGATGCGATTACCTAGTACATCTACATCTACCTTCTAGTTCTACTAAATATGCATAGTGGTGTAGGGTATCATATAGTCGGCCCTGTCCGACTTTTGTAATTGTTGTACCATGATTCAAATGGCAATGAGAAACTGGCATAAAATGTTCCCACATAACACATATTACAAAAGTTGTGTTCCAGAACCTGCAAATTAGTACTAATTAGCACTAATTCTGCTACAACGCGTTCCCGTACTCCAAAAACTAGCAAAACTTGCAGCTCTCTCGAGAAAAAATGGCGCTGAGTGGTGCACATTTCTGCTTGTTTTAGCAACATGAATTTGGCCGAGCAGAAATGAGCATATTGTAAATTTGACATTTAATTGGCAGGGCTAACAAGGTTGAAAAATGTATTGATACATTTCAATAAAGAAAATGATCAACTTGAAAACTAAAGGAAATTTTACTAAATGAGGAGCTAGAGGACAATTTCCCGGCACTCTCAAAGTCGTCCAACAAAAGTAAAGGAGAAAAGACTGAAACAATAAATAGCTATGTGGAGTCCGCAAAACTAATCCATGCCAAACAACCCTATGCCAAGGTGGCAAAAGTAAACATAAATCGACAACGTGAGCAAGAGAACGCTGCCAAAACTATGTTAGAGTACAAAAAAGCACTTGAAGTGGATAACGTATACAAATCCGGCAACGGCACGGCACTAGTCAACCCCAACAAAGTTGAGGAATTAGGAAACTTCTTAACTGGAATCTCAGCAGATCTCGGAACCATCAACAGAAATAACACTGGCAAAATTACAAACGAACATATGCGCTTCCTCTTTCAACTTAAGCAAAAGATCGATAGGCAGCTAGCTGACATAGACACCTTCATAATGAGATCCAAAGTACAGGAGATGGAATCATCTCAAGAATATGTAACCAGTTAAACACGTTACTCTTCTTTTCCATAAAATAATAAATAACAAAATGAAAATTCTCCAATACAATATACAAAGTATCAACAAAAAAGAAAACAAGGATCTTCTTGAAAGAACCCCCTGGTATAAAAAATCCAAATTACACCCTGACGACCAGAAGATGATGAATCGAATTTTGTCCAACCATACATTCAGCAAGAGCACCCTTTATAAAATGAATGCGGTACCCTCAGCAGACTGCGAAACATGCAAAGCAGAAGAAACCATTTCACACATATTGTTCTGTTGCACCAAACATGACAACATCAGAAGCAAGTACAAATCCTTCAATGGAATCTTCACCGTCGAAGATTTCATAGCCAAACATCACTGGGAACACCTGCATGATATGGTCAAGTTCATAAAAGAAACAGCATCGCAAATATAACATGAAGGCACACAGACAAAGTCTGTTTTTTCGTGTGGCAATATACCCCCTACCACTCCAAAAGAGAGTTCGCCAATTATCCCCTCCCCTTTTTTTCCCCTCCTTTTAGCTCCCAAAGCGCTTAGGGATTTAAAAAAAAAAAAAAAAAACTAAAGGAAAAACTAATATTTGTCGTGCAAAAAAACAAAAGGGAAAATATGGAGCAACTGATGTATTCACTTTTGGATGATTCCAGCAGTGAAGAGGACTGGCTCAATTAGGAATCAGATTATAAATTATTAATTTTAACTTATCGTCTTTAATACTCATTTTTTAAATGTTGGCGCCCTTTTCAGTAAGGTTTCACCAGTCCGATTTAGGCTGTTTACTTTTGGAATTTTGACATTTTATCGCATTTCTGCTAATTTTCCGTTCCCTTATTTTTTGAGCAAACCTAAATGAGAATGACATTTCGAACTGTTCTCCCTTCTGCTAGTTTTACTACTAAAAAAGTACTGGAACACAACTAAAAATACAGAATCAAAACATATAGCACGTTAATCGGTGTCTAATCTATGATCTTAGTATCGAAAATCGATTACCAAGAGTTTACACTGCGATTTTTAACGCCGACAAAAGACGACTTCGACCTTTTTAAGTTTTCCAACTTCAAAGTCGATTAATCGATTGTTCCAATGTCGACATACGTTATCATTCATTATTGAACTAACTGCGCTGGCGAGAGGAGGATCTCAACGTAGAGAGAACATTCAAGAAGAATTTATTAAAAAAAAATTAATTTAATTGTTTTATATATAATAGAAAATTTACAACACAAAAAACATGTCATCGGAAGACGTTAAATACTTTACCCGCGCCGAAGTTGCCAAAAATAACACCAAAGACAAGAATTGGTTCATTATCCACAACAACGTGTATGACGTGACCGCTTTTCTCAATGAGGTGAGTGTTGGTGTATGTGTGTGTGTCTGTATATATTCTTGTTGGGAATAATCATCGTTTTGCCTACTTGTTAGAACCTAGAAGCGACCGTCGACTCCCCAATACGTCGTCCATACGTGTACAAAACATGACAATCAATATGGAAGACAGAAATATTAAAACAATTAGAAACATGGTGAAAAATAATAATAATAAGTACGCAGTTTGTTTGCTCGTTGTTAGTTTTGGGAGGGGAAAATCTTTAGAGAATACGTAAAATTGTAAACATCTGTTTAGAAGTTTTCCTTGGAGATGATTACACCCGGCTGCCGCAACAGTTTCAACGTACATTGGGTGTGCAGCAACAATTTCGTGTTTTTTTATTAATTCATCGTGATATGGCAAAAACTAACCAGAGTATATTGATATCACTGATAATACATACCTACTATGTATATATTTATTTAATAGAGCTCTCGCTATATTTGACTGTTGTGGGGAGATTAGGTGTGAGTTTCTTTAAATTTAGATTTCTAACTTCAAAGGGATTTGGAATGGTGGTCTAAAAATTGTTGTTATCAGTTTAACTCCGTCCAAGGTACTCTACAGAGTTTGCCCTTTGGTCTTAACATGTTATTGACATTTTTTGTTTTAAATATTTTTTAGTGAAAGTCGAAAAAATCGGATTAATCAATTCAATAGGCAGCGGTTAGTAATAGCTAGACTATGCAATCATTAGCTGAGGAGGGGTATTTTTTGCAAATACCTATGCATGTTTCTTGCGTTTTCTATGGACTCTGAACTTTGAACTTTCACTGTTTTATAGAAATAGAATTTAAATTATAAATTATTTTTTGTTTCGTGAAAGAAAGCTTTACATTATTTACATCCGTGGATAATTATAAAGATTTTCCGTGTAATTTTTCCAATAAATTGCCCTAACGCCAATCTAGCCTAATTGGCAAGTTTCTAGATGCCCGCACATCATGTTGTGAAAAAAACTTGTTTTTCTATAATTTCTAAGCGTTAATTAAGCCCTCATTTGAACTGTTTAATACTCTACTAATTAGTTATATGAAACGCATTTTTTTTTAAATTTACTGAGTTTTTTTTATCAAGCTCCAACGGTCGAAACTATAATTAAATTTTCAATATGTATTAATCTACAACTTATGCACCTCTGTTTCACTATTGCCTCATTCTATTAAGAGCCACGACCACTTTGAGATTAGATAAGTTGTTAGTACCTACAGGGAAACAACACTTGCTGGTCTTTTGCGGTGTAATGTTTAGACGAAATCCATTTAACTATCATTTCCTTTTAGAAGTGAGAAAATGACTGGTGAAAATTGTTGCCTTATTAAAACTGATCGTCATTCTCCAAAACTTTGGTATATTTTGCTTATATTACACAAGATTTTATTGCAACTTGATGTTGCTGAAATATCAAAACACCATGACCTTTAAAAATATCGCAATGATATAAATCTGATCTAATCTATCTAATCTATGCAGTAATAGAACCAGGTTGAAGAATCGTGCAAACTTATACAAAGTTGTTAAAGCAGAATGGGTTGAAAATCTTCCAAAATGTCTCACATTCTGTAGTGTCTGTGATATCTACATCAATATTTTATGTTAAGTTAATTTCTGTGTAGACTTTTTGTTTAAAAAAGTTTTTCCTTGAATTAAGTACCTAGACCTTTTGGGAGATTTATATTTTTGATGAATTAATTAAGAATTATTAAAACCTATACCAGTTTTTCTGTGAATAGATATTCTGGGTACAAACAATCAGTAGATCTTATTTATTATCTTATCGTTATCTTTTTAAGTTTTGATTTGTTCGAATTGGACACCTTTGGCACGAATTATGGCTTGCCGGAATGTTGCTCTGCGGTATTTTGGCCCATTCCCGGCGAAGAGCTGAGTTGATCGACTCTTTGGTATTTTTTAGTGCCAACCTTGCTTTCCAAAATAGTCCAGGCACAATAGTCCAACGGATTAGTATTCGGAGATTTTGGTGGCCATTGTGCGCTGGATATGAAGCTAGGAACCTTAGTTTCCGGGTCCGATGGTGCTGAGTCCTCTTGAAATGTCCAAGGTCTGCGGCTAAAAAGTTTGAGTGCCCAAGGCTTTAATACACCCTCCAGAATATTATCGCGTTAATATTCGGCTTTTATTCTGATTCCACGAGCGGAGAACGACAATCGGCTGTTATGGCAGTCTACACCATTACCATGACCGGCGCTTGAGTTCTGGTGGCCAACCGAAGGTGCACATCTTCAACTGACCTCTTTGGCAAGTAAACACGATGATTTTCTTTGTTTATAAACTGCTGGACAACGAATGTTTTCTCATCGGAGAAACCCAAATTCGGCAGTTCACCACTTTCGGCCAAGCGAAGCAACTCTTTAGCTCTTTTGAGTCTATTTTCTTTCTGTTGCGGTGTAAGTTCTTGCCCCTTTTTTGTTTTTTTTTTTTTCAATGGCTTTACCCCGGCTCATTTGTCAATATTTTGCGAATGGAATGTTGCGATATGTTCAGCTAACGAGCCATTTTTCGTACACTGCGACGCAGATTTCGATCAAGTCGATTCTTTACTTTTCGAACTATTTCTGCTGATGTTGCTGTTTTCTTCCGCCCACTTCCTTGACGTCAGGCTACGCTACCAGTATCACGGTAACGAGCAATGGTACGAGACACCAAAGATTTATTCACATTTAAATGCTGGAGTGCTCTAACGATAGCCACTTGTGGTTTTCCAGCCAAATATAAAGAAATCACACTATCACGCTTGAATTCCATCACGAATAACTTTTTTTTCTGGAAAATTCTCACCAAATTCTCATAATTATTCTCACTGGAATAATTTTAAAGGCTGTCGGAAAAGAGGATTAGAAATGTCTGCAGTCTGAAGTTGGTTGCAGTTTTTTTCATCTCACCCTGTATAACGGCCTTCTATTGGAAGTCTACACTTCCTACAAGGTTCCATTGTACTCATTGTTTTAAGACCTGATTTCAACGATGCAATCCATTTTCCTGAGCAAGTCACGTTTTCCAAGTTAGTAAGGGCCTTAAACCTAAAACTCCAAAAAAAATTCGAAACTATTTTCACTTTCTAGAAGCTCACTTGACCTGATTTTTTTAACTTTTTTAAAATTTGCTGAGAACTTTAAAATCAGTACCATTATTATTATTGTTGAAATGTGATACCTATTTCAGTGTGTGTCGCGTGCTTAAAATTGAATGTCAAGAAATTTGATGAGTACAACAATAAAATATTTCCGAATGCCAATTGCATCCCATCGCACACACATATATTTTCGTACTTGCTTCTTATACTGTCAATTCCCATCCGCTCGCTGCATTTTAAATTGCGCGTTAATCAAAATGTTTTTTTTTTTTTGTTTTGTTTTCAAATATGACATATTCAACATTTTGTTTACATTGTCGAGATTTAAGGAAGGTATACAGAGGCAAACTAATTAATAGCTTGAATGAAATAATCAAACAAATCACAGATTTATTTTTTTCTGATCAGTAGTGGCATTTTCTTATTCATTTTTTGAGTTACCGACAAAGTCGGCAAAATTAAAATGCTTATAATTTCAGTAATTAACAAAAATGTTCGGTCAGTTATCGACAAAAACAAAGTAGTCGCTAAAATCTACCGAAATATACTAATGTTGTCAACTTTAACTTCTTTTTTATATAAAAATTTTGGGTTTCAAAGTTACCGATTTTTCTAAGGGTAATAAACAATATATGTGCAATGTGTTTTAGGGTATTCTGCGAGAACATGATCAGATCGCAGAAAGTGGTCTCATATAGCAATTAGAGATCCTGTGAACTATTTTCCAAAAAAAAAAAATCTCCTAAGTGGAGGAAGCGAATCCAAGTCTATTTTCTTATAGACGGACAACTATCCAATTTTCTTTAAGATATGATCACATTTTTATTTTCTTATTATTACGCGCGAAATTTGTGATAATGGGACTATATGATTATGCCACAAATATTCATTTCTGTGTGTAAAAAAACTTGCGCTTAACTTTTTAATAATCAATGCACATATAAATGGGGACTATAAATAAAAAACACACAACAACAATATTGTTATATTTGAATTGCAAACGGAAAATATTCCATTTCATATATAATACCTTGCGTGTTGTATTATGCGAAGAAGATGAATATTATATGGTTAATGTGACACATGGATACATACATACACGTACGCCGGGTCTTTGGGTCAATAGTCATCATAATGATGATCGTTTTCAATATTTCTTTTGGTTATTTTCTTGCTTCTTTTTGTCGTTGAAACAACCCAGAAAAACATATAAATATTTGGAAATTCAATATTTTATAATATTATAAATCTCCTTTTAATCTTCTACATACAAATGTTGGTATTTTAATAGTATTACTCCGTTTGTGACAATTCAAAATAGCCGCAATATGAAGAAGAAGAAGAAGTCATGAAGCTTTATTTGTTGGAGAAAATTGTTATCTAAAGACAAAATAACAGCCAATTCGGTTGAAAATTGTGGTTAAAATCTTTGAAATAACCAATATCGAAATAAGTTCTCTGAATATCAGTAATGAAAATTTTTGGCAATTTGGATGAAAATGCCTCTGATACCTCTAAAATTCTTCTGGTAGGGATGTAACTTAATAAAGAGGCGTCATAGACAACACATATTGACTTTTTTTATAGGACAATTAAATTGAGATGTCATTTGAAAATTGTGGCTGAAATTATTAAAATACTCAAAGTCAGGAAATGCGGGTATGCCTAAGTAAGGACCGGTATGCTCCGTTTCGAAATCAAAAACACTAGGACAAATACTAACGCCAATGTCTGTGCAAAGTGTAGGATATAAAAATGATGGATCCGAGTTAGTACCATTCTGGCTAGGAGCATGGCACAGTGAAATGATAATAAGACAAGTGTATATCTGCCATTGAGGATAGTGGAAAGGTGAGTTAGTTCTGTTGAATACCAGAACACTCCGATGAGGGGACCGAGAAATAAGGAGAATTGTGTTGAACCAACTTCTGGTTACGAAAAATAAAAAAAAGTTGTATAGAGATAAAGTAGCTATACGATCTTGCATTATGAGACTAGGTTCTTGTTGTGAAAGCTTTAAATGGTTTATTTTATTTCTGCTAATCAGGTTCTAGCTCCAAGTTCAGAAAATTTTGCTACTTTCGCGGGCTGAAGCCTAAGATCTTCTAGAGTGAGTGGGGTAGGCAGGACAATTAAGGAGGTGCATCGTATTGTGTGGACTGGCATTATCTCACATCTTCGTCAATAAGTGTCCAATACGAGTTGGGACGACTGCGCCATCCCAATCGTAATTGCACCAAACTACCCTGGTTTGTCTTGTCGGCCGACGTTCTTCAGCTGCAATGGAGGTGTGGACTCCGGCATTCATACTGTAATTGTTGATTGCATCTGTGACTTCATCAGTATTAAAGCCACTTGGATCTGCCTGATAGACCTCTTGATCTAGAAGCTCTCTTTTATAACGTTGGATCTCCCTCTCAAGAACATGTGTGTCCTTCCTGACACACCTGGAAAGAGGAGATAATGGTTGGATGATGGATGAAAATATGATGGTTTGGATGACTCCCACGATAACACGACAACGAAAACATAAAGTTGTGCTGACGTACGGGAAGGACCTTCGCTTCCTCATGTTGATGGTCCACTGGTGTCATGAGGAGGCACTGTGTCGTAGTTCTCAAGGCAGCATTCTGACAGGTGTGGATATTCTTCCACTGCCTATATTCTCAGTCCACACTTGGACCCCATAGCAGACCACAGACCCACCTATCGCTCTATTACAGGTCAACAAGGTATCCTTGTTCGCATCCTCTGTACTACCGCCTAGCGCCTTGAGGATCGGTCCTTAGATATTATATTTCCCTCGATCTGCATATTCAGCTCTGTTCTCATTTCCGCAGACCATGTGGCAACGTGTGTGGCCGTTGATTTAGTGGCGGATATTTTCATATTCCTCGCGTCGAACTAGGCGGCAAGCTCCGCGAGATATGTGTCCAATGCGACATGTGGTAACGAGTGTGGCCGTTGAATTAGTGGCGGATATTTTCATATTCCTCGCGTAGAAGTAGGCTACAAATTCCACAGAGTTTACCACTAGCCAATGCTGCCTAAGATCCATGATATCATATTCTATGGATGTTGTAGAGGTGGAGTCAATTGATAACATTCATTGCAAATCAACTCCCACTTCTAAAAAATGAACCTACGGACCTAGTCTACTTCCCCAAGAACCTAAAAGGGCTATGGAGTATACCAGGCAAGCATCCGCCATTATTTTCTGAATATTAGCTTTTTCAGCTGTCTTCTATCTTATTGCTCTTCTTCCTTCCACATTTTTCTATGCTTCTTCTCTTTTTCTATGCTTCTTCTCTTTTCAAGATGAACAGAATGGACCATCGGTCTACACGTGAAGTGGCTGTAAAATAAAAATTAACCACGAATGCAAAACCTAACCTAACACAACTTTTCAATCACTATTTTGCTTTTCCTTCATCTTCACAAAGTCGTTTTTAAATGTTGACCCAATAACCGTTTTGCCTAACTCTTTTAACGCATATTAAATGGACCTTCGATTTGCAGTGTGCGAAAAAAAGAAAAAAAAAAATAAAAAGAGTAGTACACCTGAATAATAAAAAAAGGCTGGATAAATCGCCTTAATTTTTCTCACGTCTCGATATTTAATATTTTTACAATCTCTTCAGAACCAATATCATATTTTGCTTAACTATCTAACTGATTCCAGAAAAAAATCAATTAGAAAATACCCTCATCATATAATCATATGTTAATATACAACCTTTGTTTCTATGCCAAGCTTTCACTGACTATGAATGTAGATTATTCATCAACTGTGTGTGTGCGTGTTTTGTTGTTATCTCTGGATGTTATATAATTATTTCTACAGACATAAGCAGCATTTCTGTTTTACTTTTCCCTTGTATCGTCATTTTGCCTCCTCTTTTTTGACCTTTGGAGTTAATGATCATATGTAAAAATATTTCTGCATGGCACATTGTTTGTATCTCTGTGATTGACATAACATTAGGGTACAACATTTTCCAAAAACCAAGCTAAAATAAAATACGAAATAATTTCTTTCCTCATTTTTTTTTTCACATTTATATTTAGCTCTTGTCTTTTGAAACAAAAGCAAAAAAATATAATCGATTCAGTTGTAATAAATTTATTGTAGAAGAACAAAGACCACCACCACCACCCATCCATGATTAGCATATTTAACCTTTCCATAAAACCTTTATATAAATATTTCGTAGAACTAAAAACCATTGTGGTGTCTACACACAGTTTTATTTTTCAAAATATGGCAGCACACGTTTCAATGCATCCTAATGACGTATACGCATATTCTTCTTTTATTTTTTTTTGTTGTTGCTGCCTTAGATATTTTTCAAACCCGCCTTTGGGCAATAATTTGAAATTCTAATTTCATCCGACCTTCAACCGTGTTGCTCATAGATTTACATACTGTGTAAAGAATATTTGGTTAAACTGGAAACAAGACAAACTTGTATGATGACCGTTGTTGTTGCTGTTGTTTAACACATTTGTTGTTGTGTTAATTTTTTTAGGGGGGTTTTGGAGATATGTGTATTGGATATAGATTAGACAGCAATCGATCGTCATTACTTTTGCAATTTTATTGTTTATTATTCGTAACAATTAAAAACCCAATTAACACGGTTTTAAAGGAAGTAAAGTCCAATATTTTGTCTTAAAAGAAAGTCTTTGAGGGAGGAATATGTATTTAAGCCCTTGCTATATTACTATCTCCCCCTAAATGCAATGTAGATGTATTGGAGTGGTCATTGAGTTTGTAATTCTTTAAAATGCTCACATGCAACGAACGAATTTGACCTTTTGTTTTTTGGGAAATATGGCAGTGTTTTTCTTCTTGCATCGGGGTCTTGTCAAACGTCACCTCGCTCGACACTTTTAAACTCCACTTTTGAAACTTCTCCAAATATAATATCGAAATTTCGATCGGATGCTTCGAGTTGGATGAAGTTGAATTTTTTAATAGAAACAACTGGGAACAAACGCAAAAATCCGATATTTAGACGTTTTATCCAAAATTTTTTATTGGGGGACAGTTTTTCTATGACGATACAATAGTCCTGATGGTGTTAACCTTATATAATATGACATATCCTTAACAGATCCTAATACAGGGTTAGATAAAAAAAACCGCAACAAAGTCAAACGCCATAATTTTTACATTTTTTTAATTTTTTGAATGAAAACAAAAAAAAAATTTCGGAAATAGCATCAAGTTTTGGAACAGTTTTAGATTTGCTCGAATTCACCTTTGGCACGAATTATGGCCTTCAAACGGCCAAAGAAACCGTCACACGCTGCCCGAATGTTGCTCTGCGGTATTTTGGCCCATTCCCGGCGAAGTGCTTGATTGAGGTGATCGACACTTTGGTATTTTTTAGTGCCAACTTTGCTTTACAAAATACTCCCGACACAATAGTCCAACGGATTGGTATCCGGAGATTTTGGTGGCCATTGTGCGCTGGAAATGAAGCGAGGAACCTCATTTTGTAATCATTCTTGGGTGGCGCGTGCTGAGTGCGATGGTGCTGAGACCTGTTGGAATGTCCAAGGTCTGCGGCCAAAATGTTTGTGTGCCCAAGGCTTTAATACACCCTGCAGAATATTTTTGCGATAATATTCGCCATTTATTCTCATGCCACCGATTAATACGAGCGGAGAACGACCGTCGGATATTTATGGTGGTCCAAACCATCACCATGGCCGTCGCTTGGAAAGCTGGACAACGAATGTTTTCTCATAGGAGAAAACCAAATTCGGCAGTTCACCACTTTCGGGGTCAAGCGAAGCAACTCTTTAGCTCTTGCATGTTTTGGAATTGCAATAGCTTTACCCCGAGCTAATTTTTCAATATTAGCTGTATGGAATATTGCGATATGTTCAGCTCACGAGCCATTTTTCCGCCACTGCGACGTGGGTTTTGATCAAGTCGCCTCTTTACTTTTCGAACCATTTCTGCTGATGGGACTGTTTTATTCCGTTCACTTCCTTGATCACTATCATGGTAACGAGCGATGGTATGAGACACAATAGATTTAGTCACATTTAAATGCTGGAGTGCTCCAACGATAGCCACTTGTGTAACTGTACCTCCCGATATTCCGTATTTTTATGATTTTTGCCACATTTTTCACGGATTTCTCTAATAATTGTAGGTCATAATTTGTTCCAACTCCGGTGGCGAAACATTGTATGTATAGGTCCACGTTTTGGTATAGGTTCCTTATAATGATACCTCCCGATATTCCGCGTTTTGATGATTCTTGCCACATTTTTCCACTGAATTGTCCAAAAATTGCTATTTGTAGTTCGTAATGGGTTCTAGCTCCGGCGGCGGAACATAGTATATATAGGTCCACGTTTTGGTATAGCCCCCACATTATGGCTCCTCCGGATATTCAGTATTTTAATCATTTTTGTTACATTTTTTCACGGATTTGTCTAAAAAATGGTAACAGCATTATCCAAACGGTCTCACTGGTATTTGTGGTCACGATTTGAATTCAGATACTTTTATATAAAAATGTTTTCTGTTCCCAATGGTGAAGTCTATTAAAAGTTCGGCCCGGCGGAACTTAATTTTTTTACTGGTTCTTTTTTAAACACAAAATTTCAATTCAGGATCTGTTTCTCTATGACGGATACAAAAGTCCTGATCTGACGCCTTATATATTAAACCATATCCTTAACAGATCTTAATATTTATTTAACGTCTATCTGCAATAGTTTTTCTCAAAAAATTCCCTACAAAAAACTTAATGCAATTTAGAATATTTTTTAATTGATTTTCATTTTTATATATATTCATATTCCTCCCCGTTGTTTTCTCTTTACAGCATCCTGGTGGCGAAGAAGTTTTGATCGAACAAGCCGGCAAAGATGCTACAGAACATTTCGAAGATGTTGGCCACAGCTCCGATGCCCGTGAAATGATGAAACAATACAAAGTTGGTGAATTGGTTGCCGAAGAACGTTCAAATGTACCCGAAAAATCCGAACCCACATGGAATACGGAACAAAAGACCGAAGAGTCTTCAATGAAATCATGGTTGATGCCTTTTGTTTTGGGTTTGGTGGCTACATTAATTTACAAATTTTTCTTTGGTACTAAATCCCAATAATTGTAAATCACCGCATAGAGAGACACAAAGAAAAGACAGTCAGAACAAAGCAAGCTATTACTATGACTAGATAAGAACGTGAGAGATGATGGAGAACATCACCACCAGCCACAAAATAAAAAAACCAGACGCACTTTTTTTAACTATCTTTTAAAAGAAAAAACCTAAAACACAAAACATCCAAGGCGTGTGAAATTATGTTTTCTTGATTTAACCAACAAAACACACAGTCACTCACTCAAAATATGTAATGCTGTCATTCCTTCTTTTTTCCAAAACAAAAAACACAGGATGTTTGTAATTCTATTACAAAAATTGCATTTAAGTTTATACTCCTAATTCCTTAACTCCTTTTCCGCCCCCACTTTTTTGTATTCTTAGTTAACCCTTGGTTTCCTTATTTTATTTAACATCCCTTTGTATACTTTCCACTGGTGTCAATCGATCAACCAACCTATGAGTGCTCTTTACAAAGTGTCTAACAATTATTGTAAATCTGCCTAAAGAAATATAATGCTTTTATAGTTAATTTTTTTTTCGTCATATACACATATAAAACAGTAAGTGGAAGAAATGTTCTATATAAAATCATATGTCATGTAAAGTATATAATTTTTATTAAAATATTTCCCCCCTTTAGTATCATCCATAGTTTTCTTTAGAACAAAGAAACAAGAAGTAACAAAATAACAAGTAGGAATGATGTAAAATCTAAACTAAACAAAAAAACAAAACATTGTTGTAAGGAAATGGGAAATTTTTGTTTTTCAATATTCAGTTTTTTTACAGTCTAAGATGAGAAGAATAAGTAAATAAAAATATATTTAAATAAATTATAAAACAAATGTCTTTTTTTTTTTTTTGTACATAAAAGTGACAGAAATGGGGTTTATATAAGAAAAAAATGGAGTCATATTAATAAAAAGATCAAAGACAACGAAAATGTGTCCAGAGCGCTACAAAATGATCATCGATAAGATCATCGCTGTCAATCCGGCCCAATACGAATTGAGGCGGCTGCACCATTCGGATCTTAACTGTGCCAAAACTACACGGGTTTGTCGGGACAGCTCTCGCTCTTCCGCTGCGGTGGGAGGGGGACGGTGTCTTAATACGGTATTAATTAACTCTACATATATTCCTCCATGACTTCTGAGACCAAGTCAGAGTGAATACCATTCAGTCCTGCTTGATAGACCTGTTGGTCTTCTGGTTTGCTCTCGTTCTATCGCTGCGATGGGAAATGCAATGTCCTAATACGGTATTAATTAACTCTATATTCTTCCATGACTTCTGAGACGGCGTGAGAGTGAAAACCGTGCAGTCCTGCTTGATAGGCCTGTAGATCTTGACGTTCTCTCTTATACCTCTGTACCTCTCTCTCTAGATCATGAGGGTCTTTCCTTACGAGCCTGGGCGGAGGTTGCATATCCATCAGATGGTCATTGGGCTAGCTCTGTAGTTATCAGTAATGTTAAATGTCGGATATTTTTTTGTTGCGATCACTTCTAACTCTTCTTCCTTTTTGAGTGATTTGTGTTGGTTTAAGCAATTTGAAAACATTTTTATTTGGAATTCTTAAGCGTAAAAGTACGTTTAGTTCAACGCTGCTCAAAAACCAGACCTTGCTCACCCGTCCAATTTCTCTTATTTTTTTTTTTTTGAATAATCAAAAAACCAGTGTTAAAACATTTTTTTATAAATATTCATATTCATCGTAGATCCCATAAAATATATATATTCATAATCAGCATAAAATTCTAAGTCGATTTAACTATGTCCGTCTGTCTGTCTGTCGGTTGAAATCACTATTCAGCCCACATTATTTGACGTAGAGCCTCAAAATTTAGCAGAACAATTTGTATTGTGTCTAGGATAGTTGGTATTGAAAGTGAGATACATCGGTCCACGTTTTGGTATAGTCCTACTATAATGGTACCTTTCGATATTCGGTATTTTGATGATTTTTGCCAATTTTTTTTCGCGGATTTGTCTTAAAATCGGTATTTGCAGGTTATAGTGGGTTCTAGATTTTGTGGAGGAACATTGTATGCAGAGGTCCACCTTTTGGTATAGCCCCCATATAGCGTTACCTACAGATATTCATTATTTCGATTACTTTTGCCACATTATTTTCATGGATTTGTCTAAAAATTGGTATTTGTAGGTTATAATGGGTTATAGCTCGGGTGACTAAACATTGTATGTATAGGTCCACGTTTCGACATAGCCCCCATATAAGGGTACCTCCCGATATTGGGTATTGTGATGATTTTTGCCACATTTTCCCACGATTTGTCTAAAAATTGGTATTTGTGGGTTATAATGAGTTATAGCTGGGATGGCGAAACATTGTATGTATAGGTCCACGTTTCGGTATAGCCCCCACATAAGGGTAAATCCCGATATTCGATATTTTGATAAAAATAGGAATTTGCAGTTCATAATGGTCCACGTTTTCCTAAAGAACACATATATAGCTATACCCATGGTACAATGATATCAAGGTAGGGCTATGATACCATATGATTTTAATTTTTTTATTTTCTTGGCCTAATACGTCATCTTTTTTTGTTTATGTATGTGTTTTTTTTTTCAATAACAAAAAAAGTTCAGAAAACATTCAAATTGGGGTGTTTTCAAAATGTTCATTTCAAAGCATGCATGGACAAAATCTAGAGTTTTTGTAGCGAAATAATACTTTAGAGATATATAGTACATGATTTTGAAAAGAAGTGTTGACCTTTCATTCAGTTATCGCGGTTTTCAATTATTTATTAAAAATAAATGCAACAAGTTGTTTGATTTTTTATTGTTTTGATACTAATTCTGACATTACAAGCCAAACAGGTAGACCCATGGTAGAAGAATATAGGTAGACGCGTCGACACAGCTGCTGGGACAATGAACTGTCAAACCAATTATGGGATTGAAAATGTTGAATGAAAAATTATTCAAATTCGGTAAAATTGTTGAAAAACGCGAATTATAATAGCCTCCGACTACATTCTACTACATTTGAAAAAAACATTTAAATTTTTTTGACATATCAATGCTCCCAAGCGTTGATGCATCTACCTGTATTCTTCTTCCATGGGTAGACCTATATATCTATAAAGTATTATTTCGCTACAAAAACTCTAGATTTTGTCCATGCATGCGTTGAAATGAACATTTTGAAAACACTCCAATTTGAATGTTTTCTGAACTTTTTTTGTTATTGAAAAAAAAAAACACATACATAAAGAAAAAAAGATGACGTATTAGGCCAAGAAAATAAAAAAATTAAAATCATATGGTATCATAGCCCTACCTTGATATCATTGTACCATGGGTATAGCCAATTGAATTGAATGTTTTCTGAACTTTTTTTGTTATTGAAAAAAAAAAACACATACATAAACAAAAAAAGATGACGTATTAGGCCAAGAAAATAAAAAAATTAAAATCATATGGTATCATAGCCCTACCTTGATATCATTGTACCATGGCTATACCCACCGGTATTCGGTATTTTGACAGTCCGAGTCACATTTACCCATATAATTGTTTTCAAATTTGGTATTTTAGAAGATTTGATAGATGACAATCCTTGAAGTATTATATTGCCTATAGAGGTCTCCGTTTTGGTATGGCCCATATAACGGCCTCACTCACTTTATGCATTTTTGATAAATTTAACTGCATTATGCAAAAGGTCTTACTTTTATATTAAAATGTCTCGGCCCGACCGAACTTAATGTTTATTTACTTGTTTTAGCTAAAACATATGATTGCTTGCGGGACAAGCTGTCTTTTCAATCGATAAGCCAAGCTGAAAAATTGATCTATTGAAGATAAATCCACTGGAATGTATGAAAATGATTTTGAATATTTGATGTTTTGCTAGTTGCACCACTAAAAACATACGCCAATATAGCATTAATAAACCGAAACTGTATATCCCTTTTCCAACGAGGGAATAAAGCAATAAAAATAAAGCATAATTTTAGGCGCTGATTATTTTAATGCAATTAAGCTAATGAGGAAGAATAAAAACTTCCATTACAAAAAAAAACACACTCGTTTAATAAATAAATATTTATTTTAATTTATTATTTCAATACTTTTGTTAATTATTATTATGCAAATAATTACTTAATTAGATTTATAACTATTACAAATTATTATAAAATTTAATTACAAAAGAGTAAGAGAGTAGTTCATTGGTGGTAATAACGAACACCTATTGCAGTGATCTGCAGATTCATATGGACAAAACATATTCAGTTTGTTGTCATCCATATTGACCCTACAAAATATTAACGTATTGAGGCTGCTGTTAAATTATTTGAATTAATATATTGTAATTCGTGCTGACGACCATCACCCGACAATGGCGGCAAATGATGAGAATACTGTTGATGATGCTGCTGTTGGGAATAGTGTTGATGCTGATGGGCCAAGGACGCATGATGTTGGTGATGATGTTGTGGATAGGAACGATTGGCATTGGAATGTGGCGGTGTTAGTTGCATATGCGCTAAATGATGCTCCAATAAAATGTTTGAATGATGATGGGGAAGTGTTTGATGTGGATGGTGATGTGAGGGGCCGTCATAGCCACCGATGCCATTTGAGGAAGATGTCGTCGTCGTTGTTGAGCTACTTAAATCCGGTGAAGGTGTTTCCGAATACCATATTGTGTTATCGGCTGGTTGAGAATTGGGGGGCGTTGGCGGCGTGGATGATGAAATCAGGGTCAATAGATATGGTGGATTTTCTTGTTGCTGTTCGTGGTTATGTGGATTTATGGGTTGTTGCTGCTGTTGTTGATAGTTTTCCGTATCAAAACGAGTCTTTTTGGCAGGATTGGTTTCTGTTTGACACCATGTTGGTGTGCCATTTGTTACATAGGAGGTATTGTAGGTTTGAGACCGATTCGTTGAGGCTGAGGAGTGATGATTGACTTGATGATGCAACCCAAATGGCCAGTTCTGTAAAAAGAAAGGAATGATGATTCATGTTTATTTTTGCATTGTTAACTTTATTAAATTTGAATGTATACCAACTAATTTAATGTAATTATATAATTTCTCCCTCTAATTTGATTTACAACCATAACTTTCTGCCAGCAATGTAAATTGTTATACCCTCCACCATAGTATTGAGGGTATATTATGTTTGTCATTCCGTTTGTAACACCTCGAAATATACATTTTAGACCCTACAAAGTATATATGTATATTCTTGATCAGCATAAAATTCTATGTCAATTTAGCGATGTTCATCAGTCTGTGGAAATCACTCTAGCTTCCGAACGAATAATGGTACCTGCCGATATTCGGTATGTAGACGATTTTAGCGAATTTATTCATCGGAATTGTTTCAAATTTGTTATTTGAAGTTCGAAATGGATACTACAGCCTAAGACAGAAAATTTTCTGTGCAGGTCCACGTCTTCGTATAGCCCCCATATAACGATACCTCCCGATATTCGGTAATTTGATGATTTTAGCTACATTGTTCACCGACTTTTTTTTAAAGTTTCGCATTTGAATATTGTAATGGCTTATGACAAAAGTTACCTATGCAGGTCCATGTCGTCGTATAGACCCTAATATAACAGCTACATTCGGTATTTTTAATATTTTCGCAGAATTTTTAACGGATTTTATTGTTTTTGAGAATTCCCAAATTCGTTCCAAATGGTGGAGGGTATTCAAAGTTCGGCCCGGCCAAAATTACAGCTTTTTTTACTTGTTTTTATTCAATCTGTTGCTGTAACCAATTTTTGGTGGAAACATTGAAGTAGGAAAAAACACAAATTGGCCAGCAAACCAAAAGGAATCCATCCATCCACAAATGTTTATCATCAAACAACGAACCATCAACAACAACAATGGACAACATGAAACTAACCAGCAAATTGTGTGTCTTGATATTTGCCACATGCTAATTACAACCATATTATATCCTCCCATTCCAACAACCTATCTCCCATGTCGCCTTAGCCACCACAACCATCATCATCATCCGTCCACAACAACACCATGTTGTTCGCCTCACATCATCACAACATTTTGTGGGCAATAAAGTGTGCGGTATTTTCATAGCCTAAACAAATTATCAGCATCAACAGCAATAACAACAATAAAACAAAAAACAAACAATACAAATACCAAACATCAGTCATACTTCTCGAGGCGGTGGAGTAGAAATGATTCCATATGGACACCCTTTGTTGTGTGACGTATTTTACGATTCGATGGCCTTTAAGTATGCGATAGATTTGTTGAAATTGGGTATTTCCGTAATTAGGGAAGAGAAGATCGATTCATTAGTATTACATACATTATTATTTTATAGATTTTTTAAAGAGGAAATCGAATCGAGGAAGCTACAGGGCATAGTTTTAGACCTTTTCAAAATCAGTGTTTGCTATGGTATCACATTTTCTAGGAAACCTCATTTCAAATAATATCCAGCTCTTAATTCTCTGTTATTTACATTTGCTCTGTTCCAGTAGCCTCAAGAATGTAATATCAACAATTTAAAAAGTAGCAAAGTTCGACCCGGCCGAACTTTTAATATCCTCCACCATATTGAAGGATCTTGAATAATTTTGAAAAAAAAAAAAACATAGTCGAAAGATACCACTTAAATTAAAACTGTTATATGGGGGCTACACCAAGACGCAGACCTGCACAGACAACTTTATGTCTTAGGCTGTAGTATCCATTACGAACTTCAAATACCAAATTTGAAACAATTCCGGTGAATAATGTCGCAAAAAATCATCAAAATATCGAATATCGGGAGGTACCGTTATATGGGGGCTATACGAAGACATGGACCTGTATATGTATTCATTCGACAACATCCCATTGTCAAAAATTGTATTTATAAATCTATTGTACATACACAAATCAGAGATGGGAACCTGTTTTTATGTTGTGAAATATGACAAGATAAATTACAGAAAATGCAGAGATGGGAATGCTTTTTTGAAATGACTTTACCTTCTTAATTTTACCATGTCTGTATTCTTCTGAGTATGAATTTGAAAAATCTCAGAAACTCAAATGTCAAAATGTCTCTCTCATTTCTCATTTCTTTCTTTCTCTCTCTCTCTCTCTCATTTCTCATTTCTTTCTTTCTCCCGAAGCGAACTCTCGCAGGGAGTATCCGATCGTACTATTATTATAAAACTTTGAACGAGTTCGGAGATGGGTAATATCGGTCCACTACTTCTGGTACCAATTCTATGTCGATTTAGGGATGTCCGTCCGTCTATCCGTCTGTGGAAATCACTTTAGCATCTGAACGAAATAAAGTAGGTTGATAAGATTTTACCCAAAAGTGTCTTATGTCTGCAGAATTTTTGGTATTGAAAATGTGTAATGTAGGTCCACGTTTTGGTATAGCCCCAATGTAATGGTACCTCCTTTTTTTCGGTATTTTGATGATTTTAGCGACATTATTCACCGGAATTGTTTCAAATTTTTTGTTTGAATTTCGTAATGGATACTACAGCCTAAGACAGAAAATTGTCTGTGCAGGTCCACGTCTTCGTGTAGCCCCAATATGACGGACCCCTCTCTATATTCGGAATTTCGATGATTTTAATTACATTATTCGCCGAATAGTTTTATACAAGTTTCGCATTTGTATTTTGTAATGGTTTACGACAAAATTTGCATATGCTGGTCCAGGTCGTCGTATAGACGACCCTAATATAACGGCTACATTCGGTATTTTTAAGATTTTAAAAAAAATTTTAACGGATTTTGTTTTTTTGAAGATTGCCAAAATCGTTCCAAATGGTGGAGGGTATTCAAAGATCGGCCAGGCATGCCGCTTTTTTACTTGTTTTTTTTTTTTTTTTTAATATTTGCTAAGAATCTTCAAGTCTTACATTTTTCTTCGATATCATAAAGGAAACATAGGTTATTGTAGTAACATTTTTAGATTCTCAAAGGTTCTGGAACGGAGCAATTGTGTATATGAATCACAAATTAATTTCTAGAATTTGAATTTTATCGATTTGTTTATTTCAATTCGCCCTGAGACAAAGCGATATTTGCTATACGATTACCCACTTCTTGTTGCATGAATTATTCATGAAAAATTCGTCGAACATTTTGTTTTTTGATTTTTCATTTCATTTTTCACATGAAATTTAAAATAATATTTTCTCAGTTTGTTTGTTGCTGTTTTTGATGTTGCTGTTGTTTATTTTATGAAGGCTGTTAAAATAACAAAATGTCTGTGAAAATGCCAGCCAAAAGAAAATTGTCCCCAAAACAGAAAATATCATGAAAAACGGCTGAAACGGCGGCAGCGAGAGCCAAAAACAAAAAAAAAAATGCTCAACAAATGACAAGTACTTCAACTAGTCAAGGCTGTCAAAAACTCATCTCAAAGATTTGGAAGAATAACAACAAATATAGAACTAGAAATAATATCTGCATTTAAAAATACACCTTTAGACGATCGAAAAATAGAAAATAGCAAAAACAACAACATAACCTTTAAATACTCATTATATGCGTTAATGTGCGATCGAATACTCGATGTCGTTTGTCTCCAAATAGCCTGTCTATTTGAGATTTTAATCTCTTCAAAAAGTAAGTACTGCCAGCTAAACTGTCATAAATTCAAATTTTAGTCATTGCGACGATGTCTCATCGGAGATCTATGGAATATTTATGAAGATGCTTCTGCGTATGAAGGTGGATATGTATGTGAGTATTGCATATGTATAAATTTCCACAAAAATATCATGTTACACGGAAAATTGTAGTATTCTGTGGACAACAACCTTAAATACAAATTGTCCACATTTGGGGGGCTTCAGCTTTTTCTTCATCGTCATCGTTCATTGACTGGCAACTAACACCGGCAGCAGCGGGATTATTTGAATCACCACCACCAGCAGTAATGGAGTACTTAAAGGTGAAGTAGGTATGGATGTGAATAAATTATGTTTACATTTAATCTCTTTGAGATTAACAGATTGACATCTTGAGTAAGTTTGAGTGAGAGATGTAAATTATAGAGTGATAGAGAGAGAGAGAGAGAGAGTACCGTATATTGTTGACCTAAAAGTCACGACGATTGCCTAAAAAATATTAGCTATGTTCCCGTGTTTTTTTAATGGTAGAACTAGTAATAGAAAGAAATGTTACATTCGCTCTGAGAACAGCTTTGTCTATAAAGTGCCGGAACGGAAAACTATTAAAAATATCGAAATTACATGACTACTATTTTTTATGCTACTATTTTTTACTCGGCAAAACACCTGGTGAAAAGTGGTTAATGAGAACTCCATAATAAAGGAGTTATAGCCAAAATAAGAAAATGAAATGTTCGTAGTTTAAAAAAACGACGATTTAAAACAGCCTAACAGTGCGAAAAACTCAAAAACAACCTCTCTTCATTTTGCCTACAATTTTTACTAGGTTTTCCTGTATGGGAACGGTGTTCAAGAAAAAAAAAACTGTAAAACTTGTACAATATAGCACTATTTTGCAGGTTCTGAAACGCAACTTTAGTTGCATGATATTTAAATGGTAGATCTGCAAAAGAGGGAATTGTAAAAATAAAAAAAGCATTCGATATCCATGATAGCTAACTTTCCATGATATAATCGATACTATCGGTCAACATGTAAACTTTCCATTAGTACTGTTATGTCACCCAAAAGTCTGTAATAACTATTGCAATATGTCTGTGAGAGTCGTCTGTTGACCCAATAGTTCTGCAAAAAGAACGATTTGAGGGAGAAATTTTGCAAATTTGCAAATGATGGAAATTTGAAATAAAAAAAAACAAGTAAATAAGCAGTAAGTTCGGCCGGGTCGAACTTTGAATGCCCACCACCAATTATTACGAATTTAAAAATTTTCAAAAAAATTCTGTTAAAATTTTAAAAATACCGAACATAGCCGTTATATTGGGGTCTATACGAAGACGTAGGCCTGCATAGGCAACTTTTGTCATAAGCCAATATTCAATACAAAACTTAAAAACCAGTAAAGAAAGTCTTAAAGTCGGGCGGGGCCGACTTTATGATACCCTACACCACTTTGCTAATTAAGTAGAGCTCCACATAACAATTAAAAGTTTTTATGGGAGAATTCAATCATACAAGCTATGATTATAATTATAATTTAAAGTTCAAAGGACTAAATATGCCGAAGCATTTGTATCTTTTAAATTCGGAATTGTATTGCCCATTTGGTGCACAATTAATTTGAAATCGGATAAAGATATATATGGGAGCTATATCCAAATCTGAACCGATCTCGATAAAATTTGGCAAAGATATTTCTGAGCTGTATTTGATATATTTCCCTGAATATCGTTGTTACGGAGTGCATATTACGGCTGTGGGTAACAAATATAACAAATCGGATGGATAATATATATGGAAGCTATAGCTATATCTGAACCGATCTTCACCAAATTTGACATACTAGCTTCTAGACTCAATTCGGTCGTAAGTGCCAAATTCCATCCCATTTGGACAAATATTAGACGTTTGGTGCACAATAAAAGGTACATCGGACGAAGTTATATATGGGAGCTATATCCAAATCTGAACCGATCTCGATAAAATTTAGCAAATGTATTTCTGAGCTGTATTTGATATATTTCCCCAAATATTGTTGTTGCATAGTGCATATTACTGCGGCGGTGGACAAAAATAACAAATCGGATGTACAATATATATGGGAGCTATAGCTATATCTGAACCGATTTCGATCAAATTTGGCATACATATTTTCAGGCCTAATTTGGATGCATGTGCAAAATTCCATACAACTCGAGCTGATATTACACGTTTGGTGCACAATAAAAGGCAAATCGGACGAAGATATATATAAGAGCTATATCTAAATTTAGACCGATTATTTCCAATTTCAATAGGGTTCGTCCTTGGGCCAAACAAAAGATCTTTGCAAAATTTCATCTGGATCGGGCAATAAATGCGACCTGTATTGTTTACAAAAATACATGGACAGACGGACACACGGACGGACGGACGGACATGCATAAATCGACTCAGAATGTGATTCTATGCAGATCATCAAAAGGAACTATGGGTCTATCTCGTTTCCTTCTGCCTGTTACAAACAAATGCACAAAGACATAATACCCTGACCACCTTGTGGTGTAGGGTATAAAAATCCGGTGAATAATGTAGCTGAAATCATCAAAATACCGTTGTATCGGGGCTATACGAAGACCTAGACATGCATAGACAATTTTCTGTCACGGGCTGTAGTACCTATTAGGAACTTCAAATACGAAATTTCAAACAATTTCGGTGAATATTGCACCTAAAATCATAAAAACACCGAATAACGGGAGGTGCTGATATATGGGGCCAATACGAAGACCTGGTCCTGTATAGACAATTTTCTGGCATAGACTGTAGTTCCCATTACGAACTCTAAATACGAAATTTGAAACAACTAGAATTGTTTAATTATGGAATATCGGGAGGGAGCGTTGTTTTTTGGCTATACGATATTGTGGACCTATATAGATATTTCTCTTCACGGTGGTAAAGTGCTTAGTAAGAACTTTTAGTACGGATTTTTAGACAATTCCATTGAAAAATGAAGCTGAAATCATCAAAATATCGAATGAAGGCAGGTACCGTTTTACGGGGGATATACGATATCGTAAACCTATATAGACAATACATTTCCAGGGGGTGAAGTAGTCAGACAACTTCATTGAAAATCATCAAAATGCCGAATATTGGGGGTACCGTTATATGGGGGCTATACGATACGTAGACCGATATAGCCCATCTTCGCAGGAAATGTAACCAAGCAGACCTGTTCTTAACCAAATTGCCACAATTGGATGAGTTGTAGTTTCAGGTGTAGAACTATTTTGTTGGATTCTCTAGAAACGTTAAACCTTGAGAGAGGGAGAAATCAAGAAAGGGGAGATAAAGAATATATCCTCGTCAGTAAGACCTCTTCATTACAGTTTTCGGAGAATGAAAGTATATTTTACGTGAAATTCTACACCGATCTGTCAGTGGAAATAACTGTGGCTTCTAAGCGGACCTGGGTGAAACCCATACCATTCGGCATTTTGAAGATACCTCAATTTAATAACGAAATCGCAGTATTCAGGTATCTTTGCTTCTCAGAACCAGACGATTTTGAGTGCTAATTTGACATTTTGAGACCCAAGACTTGTAAAGGGCAGTCCGCTTAAGAGCCTAGCAAAATTTGTTCAATGGATTTCGGGATGAGAGAGTGGCGCCCAATTGGTCACATTATAGGTCCCAGTGGCATTTTTTAAATGAAATATTTAACAAAACTATATAGTATTGATATTGTCACTTCGGCCATGTATCCAGATCTTTAGTATGTTGAGGGCAACCGATTTGGTCGTAATTTTCGTTTCGGGGGACACGGTCGAATTTATCTCGGATTTGGGGTTTCTTCTCTTCTACTTTCTTTCGTGTTTTTTTTTCTTGAGGAACGAAGCAATTTATTCTTCATAATTATTCTTGGCTTAAGGTTAGTCAGTTTCCATTTTAACAGAATATTTGTGTGCCAAATGTCAAACCATAAAATAATAGAGTATACCTTACAAAAGTTCCAAGACGACAAAACGCTAGACAATGATAGTCAATTTCCATCTCAGCTGAACATTTGGACGACAAATACAATCGAAATCAAAAATTACTTTGGATCGAACACGATCCAAATGCTATATATTTCAGAAAGCTAGTTAAGATCCTATGGCAGTTATATGAAAAGAGAATTAGTTAAAAATGTTTTCAGAAGATTCGGAAGTAATCAAAAATCTTATAAGTTCTCCCTCTCCCAAAAAGAATTTTTTCCAATGTCTCATTCTCTTTCCAATAAACTGATCATTTTCCCAGCAATTTTCTTTTTTTTTTTTTTGAAAACACACCACTGAACTTCCGTAGATAATTTATTTAATGACACCATTTAAGAATTACTGTCAAATGCCAAATCAACAAGAATTCTGTTGACAAAATGCAGCCTGCAAGGTGGCAGACTAGCTGACTTTTTGTCTGTCCCACACTATACGCGCCGCTCCATCCATATGTAATGTCTATAAATTGTGGTTGTGATTTTGTTGCGGTGGTGACAAAGCCGGTGCGGGCTGCCTGCCCACAAACCGATGCCAGCCAGAACAACAATAAGTGGTGGCACTGACACCACTTAAGAAAACAACAATTTTGTCAATCACAAAGAAAGGAAAAGTATTCCAACACTCAGTCGCACACACACACACACACATACAAATGTTAATTGCACATTTTCCAATATTTGATGCATTTCTTTGGTCATGAACTTTTCTCCGTAGATTGCTAGGATATTTGTGATATTTCGATTTTGAACTTACCATATTTGCAGCACCACTGTGCAATTGCAGAAAACAGTTGGGTGTATCACCCAGCAACGATGATGGTCCTCCATTGATTTCCGCCTCACCCATGGCCGAGTTTGTGTTCAACGGAGCATTGCCTTCGACGACAGCCTTCAATTGTTTTATGTACATCGTGGCCAAACGCAAGGTGTCCAATTTGGAGAGTTTCGTATCGGATGGAATGTTTGGTAATTTGGTTTTCAAACGTCCAAATGCACTGGAAAGGACACGCATACGTGCCCTCTCCCGGGCATTGGCAGCATTACGTTGCACGGGTGGATTATCGTTGCGGGAACCTGTTTGGGGAAAAGTAAAAAAGAGAAACTGTTAAAGATATTTGTTAAGATGTTAGAAGTAGTAGTAGATGATTCTTGGTTGATCATATTAATGGCGAACGTGCGATGTCCTATACAATTGCAATTGTTAATTATAAAGTGACCCGTTGCATCAATATACAAGTTTGAATCGAAGCAAATAAGGAGTGTTTGTTTACTCGATAATTTGTACAAATTTTTACTGGAGGCTGACCGTTTACCCAAAAGTCCAGTAAGTGAGAGCGAAATGAGAAAGGGCGGTTAGTTTAATTTATGCAATTTGTTTCTCTCTCTCTCTCTCTCGTATTTTTTCAGTAACTTCTTACGGAGTAAATGTTACTGGAAAGTAAACGAACAAATCGTATTATTTTAGCAAACCGACTAATTGCTTCCAAGGTTTTTAAAGTAATGCCGTCTGTTTACAGGGTGAGATAAAAAAACTGCAACAAAGTCAACGCCATAATTTTTATATATTTTTTTAAATTTATTAAATGAAAGAAAAAAAATTGCCGAAATAGCATCAAATTTTAGAATAAGTTTAGATTTGTTCGAATTGGTCATCTTTGCAACGAATTATGGCCTTCAAACGGCCAATAAAACAACCACACGCTGCCCGAATGTTGCTCTGCGGTATTTAGGCCCATTCCCGGCGAAGCGCTTGCTTGAGGTGATCGACACTTTTGTATTTTTTAGTTCCAACCCTGCTTTCCAAAATACTCCAGACACAAAAGTCCAACGGATTGGTATCCGGAGATTTTGGTGGCCATTGTGCGATGGAAATGAAGCGAGGAACCTCATTTTGTAACCATTTTTGGGGGGCTTGTGCTGAATCCCGTTGAAATGTCCAAGGTCTACGGCGAGAATATTTTCGCGATAATATTCGGCATTTATTCGATTAATACGAGTGAAGAGCGACTATCGACTGCTATGGCGGCCCACACCATCACCATGGCCGGCGCTTGAGTTCTGGTGGCCAACCGAAGGTACACATTTTCAGCTGACCTCTTTGGCAAGTAAACACCATCTTTTTGTTTGTTTACAAACAGAAGGACAACGAATGTTTTCTCATCGGAGAAAACCAAATCGGCAGTTTACCACTTTCGACCTTGCGGTGTAAGTTCTTGCACTTTTTTAGAATTTCAGTGGCATTACCCCGAACTCATTTTTCAATATTTGCCGAATGGAACATTGCGATATGTTCAGCTCACGAGCCATTTTTCGGCCAATGTGACGCGGGTTTCGATCAAGTCGCTTCTTTATTTATTGTGCACCAATATTAGCCCCAACAGGATAGAGTTTGGCACTTACGGTCAAATTGAGTCTAGAAGCAAGTATGTCAAATTTGGTGAAAATCGGTTCAGATACAGCTACAGCTCCCATATATATTGTTCATCCGATTTGTTGAATTTATCCTGCACAACCGCAATATGCACTCCGTAGTAACGATATTTGGGGAAATATATCAAAACAGCTCATTGCCGAATTTTATCGAGATCGGTTAAAATTTGGATATAGCACCCATACATATCTTTTTCCGATTTGAAGTTAATTGTGCACCAAATTGGTAATACAATCCCGAATTGTAAAGGCAAAAATGCCTCGTCATATTTAGTAGAAATCGATTCAGAGGAGGATATTCCTCTCATATATTTGTTCCTTTGGACTTTTAATTATAACTATAATCGTAGTTTGTATGATTTAATTCTCACAAATTCCCCATAAAAACTTGTATTTGTTATGTGAAGCTACACTAAATATGCAAAGTGTTGCAGTCGGCCCCTTTCGACTTTAAGACTTTCTTTACTGGTTTTTTTTTTCTGAAAAATTCTCACCAAAATGCTTTTATACGCTTGTAAACAATATAATGAGCTGTCACTGGAATAATTTTAACAGCTAACGGACAAGCAGCTTAGACATGACAACAGTCTGAAGTTGCTAGCAGTTTTTTCATCTCAACCTGAAATCCTTTAAAAAATATTCTTTAAAAATCCACGTTTGTTGGTTTTATAGTCCTTTGAAAATAAATTATTAAAAACTCAACGCTTGTGGGTCTGATAGTCCTTTGAAAAAAATTCTTTAAAAATCCACGCTCATTGGCATAAAAGTTTTTGAAATATAAATATTATATTTATTGGCCTGATAGTCCTTGAAAAATATTTTCTCAAAATCCACTTTTATTGGACTGAAGTCCTCGATAAGAATTCTTTAAAAATCCAAGTTTATTGGTCTACTAGTCCTTGCAAAACTATTCTTTCCATCAAAAATTGTTCATAAAAAAATCCAGTTTTTTTGGTCAAATTGGTCCATATTGAATCTCCTGATTGTCTTTGATAAATATTTATAAAAAGTTTAGTTCTTCTTCAATGTTCTTTAAAATTTCACAACTATTGGCCTGTAGTCCATCAAAACGTATTTTAAAATCCACTGTTTGTGGTCTGAAACTCGTAAAATCCAAGAGTTCTTCGAAAATTTTGAAAATATTCAAGGGTATTGGATTGAGAGTCCTTTAAATAATCTTTTACAAATCCGGGTTTTTAGTTTAGATGGTTCACAAAAATTCTCAAGAAAATCCTTTAAACACCAAAATTTTTCGTCAGATAGCCCTTAAACAAATTTCATTTAAAAAGTTTCAGTCAAATTTCTAAAGACATCTTCTTTTATTGGTTTGTTATAAAAAATTGGGTGGTCCCTTAAAACAATGTATTTATGTCCTTTACCTAATCCTTTAATCACTTTGATTTTTGATCGTGAAATTTGTTTTGAAAAAATCCAATTTTACAAATATCCTTTTAAAAACTTGATTACCGGACTGATGAACCTTTAAGAAAATATTCTAAAAATGCATTTTGAACGCTTACAAAATAATCTTAAAAACATTTATTAGAGTTCTGATATTCCAGGAAAAATATTATTTTAGTAGTCAGCTGAACCTGTCGTTTATTAGTCTGAATGAAAGGCAAAATTCCTTAAAAAATCTGAAAAAACGGAGGGTTGGACCGTCATTTAAAACCGAAAGAATATGCTTTAAAAATCCCTATGACAGTCGTTACCAATTTTTATAAAAAAAGTAGCTGATAGCTTTTATTGCTAGTGCTTTTATAATTTTCTTTATCATAATTTATAATTATAATAAAAATTAAATAAAAAAATAAATTGAAAAGAACCTACATTTATAGGTCCTTCAAAAATTTTTTATCAAAACTCCACTTTAACTACCCTTAAAGTCCTTTAAAATATTCATTAAAAACTCCTGATTAGAGATCTTGTTATGTTTGGAAATATATTTTTAAATTTACTTTTTTTCTCATAGTTCTTGGGAAAATAATTTTCAACTGCTCCTATTTTTTTCTATTAAATTTAAACTTACTTTGTGAGCTGGCATCCTCGTCATAATCATCATCCATTAATTCGAAAGGACTTGCGGCACGCTTCTTGCGGGGCATTTTTCTTTATATAATAATCACTGATTTGCAGATATTTTACGCTTTATTAGATATTTTCTTAATATTCAATATTTTCTTTTAATATTAAATTTTTTAAATCAAACTTTTTTTAATTGCTCTCTTTTTAAACCACTTTATTTCTCTTTTGCTTTTTTATTTTTGAATTTCTTTTTATAAATATTTTTTAATTAATTTTAAATATTCAATTTAAATTTCAAAATCCGTTATTTCAATTTTTTTCTAAATCCCGACAACCTCAAGGGAAAACACTTAATAAGGAACTGAAGAGATCTCTTAAAGATCATTCATATTTACGCTCGCCCACTCTCTCTCCGAGTAGTCCGTTATAACATTTTAACCTAATATTGCATATATGAGGGAGAATTGGTTTTGTTATTCTTTCTCATAGACTTAAAGAGAAAATCTGAACATCTTACTAGAGGATGTTATTTTTAGTTACGTCTGTCCATCTGTTTAAAATACGCCGATGTGGGAGGAGACATACTCACTGTCTCAGGCCCATAAGGCGCTAACACAGCCACCAAACAAATTAGATAAACATTTATCAACAGCAACAACAACAAAAAATAGCATCTCATCTAGCGTTTGCCATCATTGGTAGGAGGAAAAATAACAATGGCTACCGGATCCAACACACACGCACACAGATTGGTGGAAAGGGGAAAATGGATAGGTGCTTCAATGTTTTCAAGTGGGTGGGTTGGATATTACATGAATATAGATCACATTCATTTACTGAGTTTTGGTTTTAAGGGAGAACTCTTTTCTCTTCTTCTCCCTCTCTCTCTCTCTCTCTCATAGTTTTTATTTATTTTCCTAACGAAGGGAGTAGTGTTCCCTTTAAATGCTCAGCATTTTGTTTGGAGAAAAAACAAATCATGCTGATTGCAAACATATTGTTTTGACATCCAATGTAAATATTTAGATGATTTGAATGATTTATATTTTAAATAAGACATTCGAAATAGGCGATACACCGGCATAATAAGTGGGTACTTAGGGATACTTAGAAAGTTCAGATATTGATAATGGGGAATTGGAGGATTGGCGTAATAGAGTATCGGATTCGATATTTATTATATAAGAGAAAAAAGGAAGGAGTTTTGAAGAATATTTTTCGAAGTACTATCAGACAGACCAATGTGGATTTTTATACCCTCCACTATAGTATGGGGGGTATATTGTTTGACATTCCGTTTGTAACACCTCGAAATATACATTTTAGACCCAACAAAGCATATATATTCTTGATTAGCATAAAATTCTATGTCGATTAAGCGATGTCCGTCCGTCTGTCCGTCTGTGGAAATCACTATAGATTTCGAACGAATTGAAGTGGATTTATCAAATCTTACTCAAATATATAATTATGTCTGCAGGACTTTTGTTATTGAAAATGGGCCATGTAGGTCCACGTTTTAGTATAGCCCCCATATAACGGTACCTCCCAATATTCGGTATTTTGATGATTTTTGCGACAATATTCATCGGAATTGCTTAAAATTTAATATTTGAAGCTCAAAATGGATACTACAGCCTATGACAGAAAATTGTCTGTGCAGGTCCACGTCTTCGTATAGCCCCATATAAGGGTACCTCCCGCTATTCGGTACTTTCTTGATTTTAGCGACATTAGTCACCGGAATTCTTTCAAATTTGGTATTTGATGTTAGAAATGGATGCTATAGCCTATAACAGGAGATTGTCTGTGAAGGTTCACGTCTTCGTATAGCCCCCATATAACGTTACATCCCGATATTCGGTATTTTGATGATTTTAGATACATTATTGACCGATTTTTTTAAGTTTCGCATTTGAATATTGTGATGGGTTTTGACAAAAGTTACCCATGCAGGTCCATATGGTCGTATAGATCCCAATATAACAGCTAAATTCGGTATTTTTAAGATTTTAACAGATTTTTAATGGATTTTATTGTTTTTGAGAATTGTCAAATTCGTTCCAAATGGTGGAGGGTATTTAAAGTTCGGCACGGCCAAACTACAGCTTTTTTACTTGTTAAAGAAACATTTTTAAAACACTATCAGACTAATAGTTTCTTTTAGGAATATTTTTTAAGGACTATTAGATCAATGAACCTGTTTTTTATTTTTATATTTTTTAAAGGATTATAAGATCGATAAACGTAGATTTTTTAAGGATATTTTTTAAAGGATTATAAGGCCAATAAACGTGGATTTTTTAACGATATTTTTAAGGGATTATAAGTCCAATATTTGATTTTTAAAAATATTTTTTAATGGTTTGTGAGTCCAATATTTGATTTTTAAAAAAATATTTTTAAATGATTATAGGTCCAGTATTTTATTTTTAAAAAATATTATTTAAAAGATTATAAGTCCAATATTTGATTTTTAATAAATATTTTTTAAAGGATTATAAGTCCAATATTTGATTTTTAAAAAATATTTTTTAAAGGATGATAAGTCCAATATTTGATTTTTAAAAAATATTTTTTGAAGGAATATAAGACCAATATTTGATTTCTAAAAAATATTTTTTTAAAAGACCATCAGTACTTAAACCAAAAAATTTAAAAAAAATAAAGTGGATTTTAAGGTTTTTATCGGAATCGTTGGCAAGGTGTCTCAACGAATTCCCTTCCCTAGCCACGCCCCTGTTTCCCAACACACCCCTCCTTATCTCGCTGACCAAAAGAGGCATACGAGCCTTTTGTTATAATTAAATAATTCAATAATAAAAAGAAATTATCAGCATCAACCTACAAAAACCCTTATCTTTGGAAAGTGACCCCTTGGTGACCCATCAACTAATCAATTCGAATATAAAATCAAACTCAAATCCAAACCCAATGTGATACCTTAACAGAATATTTTTCATTCAGTTTTAATTCGATCGTTTAGTATTACGGATCGTCAGTGTTGAAAATGTGGAGAATAAGTAAAAATTTAATAACTCGCTCGGGTGGTGGTCCAACTCTCAAGGATATCTGCTCAAAGGCGGCTCCCTTAACAGCTCAAACGCGCTACAATTCACAAAGCAGCACAAAAGGTGCACCAGTTCCGGAGGTTCCATCATCGGCTGATGTTGTCATTATTGGTGGTGGTTCGGCTGGTTGCCACACCCTGTATCATTTGGCCAAGCGTGGTGTGAAAGCTGTACTCTTGGAGCGGGCAAAGCTAACCGCCGGTACAACCTGGCACACAGCTGGTTTGGTTTGGCGTCTACGACCCAATGATGTTGACATTCAGTTGTTGGCCAATTCACGCAACATGCTAATGCAGTTGGAAGAGGAAACGGGCTTAGATCCTGGCTGGATTCAAAATGGTGGTGTATTTATAGCCCATTCAGATGTAGGTCATGTTTTTATTTTTTCAGAATTATCGTGATTTAGATTTTAGTGATAGTCATTTTTTATTGTTTGAATGAAAGCTCTTCCGTTTTCGTTGTGAGTGACTGGGCGATAAGATTTCAAATTAAAGGGCAAACAAGAAAAGGGAATTGAAAGTGAAAATTAAAAAAGTTGGCAAAAATACAACAAATGTTTGATAAGCGAGAATTTGTTTAAATGCTGCAATCAATTAGAATATTAGATTTATTTATTTTCCAAACACCACTTCTTTTTTTGTAAAAAGAAACATTTTGACCCTAAATTTGATAGCGCGATTCCAGTTCAAACAAGTATTTTATTTCAAAACTCCAGAGTGATTATGTTTTTTTTAAGAAATACGTCAATAGTGAATCTGTGATAGAGAAGCATTGAAATCGGACATCTCACACGTGAAGGAAAATAAATATGTTGTCAAGATTAAAACCGAACTTTGACATGATGTGCCAACTTGAGCGAGAAAAGCAAAAAATATTAAAAAAAAAAACGAGTAAAAAGCTATAAGTTCGGTCGGGCCGAACTTTGAATACCCTCCACCATTTGGAATGAATTTGGCGATTCTCAAAAAAAATCCTTTTAAAATTCTGTTAAAATCTTAAAAATACCAAATGTAGCTGTTATATTAGGGTCTATACGACGACATGGACCTCCATAGGTAACTTTTGTCATAAGCCATTACAATATTCAGATGCGACACTTAAAAAAAATCGATGAAGAATGTAGCTAAAATCATCAAAATACCGAATATCGGGAGGTACCGTTATATGGGGGCTATACGAAGAAGTGGACGTGGACCTGCACAGACAATTTTCTGTCTTAGGCTGTAGTATCCATTTCTAACTTCAAATACCAAATTTGAAACAATTCCGGTGAATAATGTCGCTAAAATCAGCAAAGTACTGCATAGCGGGAGATACCGTTATATGGGGGCTATAACAAAATGGCCCATTTAAAATATCAGAAGTCCTGCAGATATAATATACATTTGAGTAAAATTTTATCAATCTACTTTATTTCGTTCGGAAGCTAGAGTGATTTCCACAGACGGACAGGCATAGCTAAATCGACATAGAATTTTATGCTGATCAAGAATATATATACTTTGTGGGGTGTTACAAACGGAATGACAAACTTTATATAACCTCCATACTATGGTGGAGGGTATAAAAAAGTAGAACCAAATATGGGTTCATTAACACATGAATATTCATTTAATGATCATGATACCCTACACCCATAGTGGTAAGGGTATTACGTCTTTGTGTATTTGTTTGTAACATTGGCAAGGAAGCGAGACAGAACCATAATTATTTTTGAGGATCTTCATAGAATCACTTCTTGAGTCTATTTATGCATGCCAGTCCGTCCTTTTCTAAACAATATTTTTTTGGCCCAAGGACGAATCCTATTGAAATGTGTGAGGATCGGCTCAAATTTAGACATAACTCCAGTGACCTGATTTTTTGCACATCCGACCAATCTAGAAGCAAGTACATGAGATTTGGAGAAAATGGGTTCAGATATAGCTTTAGCTTCCATATATATGATTCATCCGATTTGGGGTTTTAAGTCCCTCACATGCGCAAAATGCCTCCACAATATTTGGTGCCAGATATCTTATAGAGCTCGAAAATACATCTGCCAAATTTCATCAAGATCGGATCAGATTTGGATATAGCTCCCATATATATATATATATATATATATATATATATATATATATATATATATATATATATATATATATATATATATATATATATATATATATATATATATATATATATATATATATATATATATATATATACCGACCGATTTCGGGTTAATTGTGCACCAAATGGTTAATATCAGTTAAAATGACCTGAATTTTGGCACATCCGAATGAATTCAGTGTAGAAGAAAATACATAAAATTTGGCGAAAATCGGTTCAGATATAGATTTAGCTCCCATATACAGGGTGAGATAAAAAAACTGCAACAAAGTCAAACGCCCTAACTTTTACATTTTTTGTTTAAAAATTGTATCGAATGAAAGCAAAAACTGTCGGAAATAGCAAAAGTTTAGAATAAGTTTAGATTTGTTCGAATTGGTCACCTTTGGCACGAATTATGGCCTTCAAACGGCCAATGGAACCGTCATACGCTGCCCGAATGTTGCTCAGAGGTATTTTGGCTCATTCCCGGCGAAGCGCTTGCATGAGGTGCTCGAAACTTTGGTATTTTATTTAGATCCAACCTTGCTTTCCACAATACTCCAGACTCAATAGTCCAAGGGATTGGTATCCTGAGATTTTGGTGGTCATTGTGCGCTGGAAATTAAGCGAGGAACCTCATTTTGTTACAATTCTTGGGTGGCGCGTGATGAGTGCGAAGGTGCTGAGTCCTGTTGGAATGCCCAAGGTCTGCGGCCAAAATGTTTGCGTGTCCAAGGCTTTCATACACCCTCCAGAAGATTTTCGCGATAATATTCGGCATTTATTCTGATGCTACGCGATAATATTCGGCATTTTTAGCTGACCTCTTTGGCAAGTAAACACGATCATTTTGTTTGTTTACAAACTGCTGGACAACGAATGTTTTCTCATCGGAGAAACCCAAATTCGGCAGTTCACCACTTTCGGCCAAGCGAAGCAGCTCTTTAGCTCTTTTGAGTCTATTTTCTTTCTGTTGCGGTGTAAGTTCTTGCACATTTTGGAATTTCAATGGCTTTACCCCGAGCTCATTTTTCAATATTTTCCGAATGGAATATTGCGATATGATCTGCTCAAGAGCCATTTTTCGCGACGTGGGTTTCGATCGAGTCGCTTCTTTACTTTTCGAACCAATTCTGCTGATGTTGCTGTTTTCTTCCGTCCACTTCCTTGACGTTGGGCTACGCTACCAGTATCACTGTAATGAGCGATGGTACGAGACACAAAAGATTTATTCACATTTAAGTGCTGGAGTGCTCTAACGATAGCCACGTGTTGTTCACACTATCACGCTTGAATCCCATCCCGAATAACTTTTTTTCTGGAAAATTCTCACCTAAATGCCTTTGTACGCTTGTAAAAAATATAATGAGCTGTCACTGGAATAATTTTAAAAGCTGTCGGACGAATGGCTTAGAAATGACAGCAGTCTGAAGTTGGTTGCAGTTTTCTCATCTCATCCTGTACTTCAGATAAATTCTTTTGTTGCGGAATCTCTACTAAATATGCATAGTGGTGTAGGGTATCATATAGTTGGTCCTGCCCGACTTTTGAATTCAAATTCACGGAAGAGTTTTTTTCTTTGATTTGTAAACCTTAACCATTTTAATTTTCAAAACATTTTTCTCGTAATTTTTCAGACCCGTTTGGATGAATACCGCCGTCTGGCCACAGTGGGCAATGCATTGGGCATTGAAAATTACATTCTATCACCCGAAGAAACCCAAAAAGTATTTCCCCTATTGGATCCCAAGGCCTTTATTGGTGCCTTGTATTCACCTGGCGATGGTGTTGTAGATCCTGCCATGTTGTGTACAGCCTTGACGAGGGCAGCCACCAGGAATGGTGCACGTGTTGTGGAAAATTGTTCCGTCGAAGATTTGGTGGTTGAAGAAACGGGTAAGGGCAAAAAAGTGGTGGGTGTTAAGACACCCTATGGCACCATAAAGACAGAGAAAGTGGTGAATGCCACTGGTGTCTGGGGTAGGGATTTAATTGAAAAGCATGGCTCATTCCTGCCGCTGATACCCATGAAACATGCCTACATTGTTTCGGAATCGATACCCGGTGTCAGAGGTCTACCCAATATTCGCGATCATGATTATTCCACCTACTTCCGCATACAAGGTGATGCCATTTGTATGGGTGGTTATGAGCCGAATCCGATTCTTTTGGATCCAGTGGCCAAAGATTTTCATTTTGGTTTGTATGATTTGGATTGGTCGGTGTTTGACACGCATTTAAATGGTGCCGTTAAATTGTGTCCCACCTATGCCAATTATGGTGTGAAGAGTACAGTGTGTGGTCCCGAGTCCTTTACGCCCGATCACAAGCCCCTGATGGGCCCTGACACTGTAATAACGGGGCTTTATCACAATTGTGGTTTCAATTCGGCCGGCATGATGTTCGGTGGTGGTTGTGGAGAACAAACGGCCCTTTGGGTGATGAACGGCAAACCCGATTTGCCCATGTTCGGTTTTGATCTACGTCGTTTCACCGACACCCAGAGTCGTGCCACACAGTGGATCAATGAAAAGTCCCATGAAAGTTATGTGAAAAACTACAGCATGGTGTTCAAATATGATCAGCCCCTGGCGGGTAGGGATTTCCAAAAGGATCCCCTGCACGATGACATGATGGCACACAATGCCTTTATGGAAGAGAAACAGGGTTGGGAACGACCGGGTTTCTTTTTGAAGGAGTCGGCTCCTGTCCAGAAATACGATTGGTATGGCAGCTATGGCAATGAGAGGCACAAGGATTGTGCCTACGAAAGGGTATTGGATGGTGATTTGCGGTACAACAGCTTCTCGGATTATCACAATTTGGTGAGTTTGAAATTTCAGCTCACAATTTATGGAGGCATTTGACAAATATTATTTCTAATTTCTTGTTGTTGTTCTTCTTCCATGTTCGCTCTTGTTGCCTTGGCTTATGTGGTGCGTGCCACACTTTATTGCCCTGCTGGTTGGTGGGTTGGTGCGAAATCTCATGGTGTGATATTTGCTTTAACCACATCTCGTGCGTATCGCGCCACATTGCGGATGTTATTCTTAAAATGCTTTGATTGTTTGTTGTGTACACACGCACGCACACACACACACGAATGGATGGATATAACCCAACTGTTGCCATACGTCGCTCGGCCTGTCTGTCTGTCTGCCGTGTATCCGTACAAACATTTGCATGGATGTTCGTCCATCTACGGGACATGCTATTACCTTTTCTCTGCCTACAATGACGGCGACGACGCCTTCCCGCTTAATTTGTTGTAAACATTAATAACAACAACAACACTTTTGTTTGTTTGGCTGCCCAAATATTGTCTTCCCCTATTTTGGTTTGACCAATTCCTTCGGCAGATTGGTGAGGAAGCAATGGCCTGCCGCAACAATGCCGTTGTCTTTAACATGAGCTACTTCTGCAAACTGTTTTTGGAAGGTCCCGACGCCCAGAAGGCCGCCGATTGGATATTTACCGGAAATACAAATAGAGACCCCAAGAAGTAAGTAATTTTGTTGGAAGCCTTTTCGAAAGACTACTTTTAGGTAGAGATAATCTCCAGAGAAGACCTTTAAAGATCCATAAAAGATCTGCAAAAGGTATTCGGCCCATAACACCCATTTCAAATTTCTTCGGTACATAGAAGAATCTCAAAAGGTCCTCTGTTAAAAAAAAAAAAAAACAGTAGAAAAGTCTTCATTCCACAAAAGAGCTTCAAAAAGGTTTCGGTCCATAAAGAGACCTTTAAATGGTTTTCGGACCATAGAACGTCATCAAAAGGCCCTAGGTCTTCAAAAAAACTTCAAATGATCTTCGGATCATAGAAGACCTTCACAAGATTTGGGATCAACGAAAAAAGCATTTATAGGTCTTCGGTGGCTAGACCTTTAAAAGATCTCCAGCCTATAGAACACCTCCAAATGCGCTTCGCTCTCTGATCCATAGAAGACCCTCAGCAGAAGAAGAAGATTTGAAAAAAGATCTTCGGCCCATAGAAGATTTGTAAAAGACCTTAGCTACACAGAAGATCTTCGAGAAAATATCACTAAAAAGGCCTATAGAACACATTCCTGCAACAACTCTTCGTCCACCGAAGACCTGCAAAATGAGACCTCCATTTAGACATTCACCAGATCCCTGGTCTGTAGATCTTCGGTCTATAGAAGACCTGCACAAGCTCATGGGTTTGTAAATGATCTTTAAGGTGTCTTTGGTCTCCAGAAGACGATCGATAGGCATCCGGAAGACCATCGAAAGGCCATCATAGAAGACCTGATAAAAGGTTTCTACAGAATAACTATAGCTTTTCGGTCTTCGATCCATAAAAGACCCTCAGCAGTTTCTCGGTAAATAGGAGATTTATAAGAGGCCTTCGGTCCATAGAAGATTTGAAAAACGATTTTCGGTCCACAGAAGATCTTCGAGAAAATATCATTAAAAGGCCTATAGAACACATTCCTGCAACAGCTCTTCGTCCACCGAAGACCTGCAAAATGAGACCTCCATTTAGACATTCACCAGATCCCTGGTCTGTAGAACAACCATAGAAGATCTTCGGTCTATAGAAGACCTGCACAAGCTCATGCGTTTATAAATGATCTTTAAGCTGTCTTTGATCTCCAGAAGACCATCGATAGGCATACGGAAGACCATCGAAAGGCCATCATGGAAGACCTGTTAAAAGGTTTCTACAGAATAACTATAGCTTTTCGGTCTTCGATCCATAAAAAACCCTCAGCAGTTTCTCAGTAAATAGGATCTTTGTAAAAGGTCTTCGGTCCATAGAAGATTTCAAAATGATGTTCGGTCCACAGAAGATCTTCGAGAAAGTATCATTAAAAGCCCTATAGAACACATTCCTGCAAAAGCTCTTCGTCCACAGAAGACCTGCAAAAGGAGACCCCCATATAGATATTTTCCAGATCCATTGTCTGTAGAAAAAGCATGGAAGATTTTCGGTCTAAAGAAGACCTGTACAAGCTCATGGGTTTATAAATGATCTTCAAGTGGTATTTGGTCTGTAGAAGGCCATCCAGAAGACCTGACAAAAGGTTTTTAATCCATAAAAGACTTTCAACGGCTCTTGGGTCTATAAAAGACCATCCTTCATATAAGTCTTTCAAAATGTCTTCTGTTAATAGAAGACCTGCAAAAGGTCCTCAATACATAGATGACCTTCAAAAGATGTTGAGTCTATAAAATACGTTCAAAAATCCTTGGTCGGTAGAATACCAAAATAAGGTCTTTGGGTCCATAATGTACTTCTAAAGCGAATTTGATCCACTGACCTTCAAAACGGTCGGAAAATGTCGCCTCTCTCTAGATTTTTTGAGGAGATTTTCTGTCTCTAGAAGAACATGCGCTCTTCTCACAATAGCAAATATTGAAGAAGTCACCTCTCTTGAACACATTTTATCCGATTCTAAGAGAACCTTGAAGATATTTTATCTATGGAAGATTCTCAAGGTCCTCTTGCCTTTCAATTGACTGTCCTCGGTCTCTGTACATTTCTCGCTGAGATTTATAGAGATTTGAGTCTAGAATATCTTAAAGAGAGGAGGTATTCTATATATAAGGTCTTTGGGTGTATAATAAACTTCTAAAGGGTCTTTGATCCACTGACCTTCTGAAAATTTCTCCTCTCTCTAGAAGACCCATAAGACGTATTCTGTTCTGAGAAGGCTTTAAAGAAAAGTCCATTGACATCTTTGAAGAGATTATTTTGTCTCTGGAAGAAAATGCGCTCATCTCTCATAACAAACATTGAAGAAGTCTCCTCTCTTAAACACATTTTATCCGATTCAAAGAGAACTAAAAGAAGTCCTCTCTCCAGAAGTGTCTCAAAAGACTCTGTGAAGATATTTTATATATGGAGGATTGTCAAGGTCCTCTTGTATCTCCGCAAGACCTTATGATCGAGAAGGCCATGAATAGGCCGTTCGTCTTCAGTGGACTCTCTACAGACTGTCTTCGGTCTCTGTACTTTTCTTCCTGAGATCTGAGTCTAGAATATCTTAAAGAGAGAAGGACTTCTATATATGGGTAGGTTTTCTGTCCGTAGAAGGTCTATAAAAGCTTTTCTGTCTAAAATAATCCTTATGGCGTCATAGGTCCATAGAACTCGTTGAAAAGCTTTAAAAATAGCTTTTTTTAGAAAATCACAATCCCTTTCAAAACTAAAATTAACCCTGAAATATATTCAACCCCTCCCCCCTCTCTTTCTCCCTCTCTTGCAGAACCGTCTACACCTGTGCCCTGAACGATGCCGGTGGTGTGGAGGCTGATGTTACCATTTCTCGATTAAATTCCGGTTCCGGTGCTGTTCACGATCCCAAATTCGAAGGTCAAGGATTTTATATTGTGGCTGGTGGCGCCTCGGCTTACTACACCTATACCATGATGAAGGATGAAATACGTCGCCAGGGCTTCAATGCCAGCGTTCGGGATGTCACTTCGGACATGGGTGTGATATCTATACAAGGACCCAAATCACGGGAAATTCTACAGAAAATTGTCAACTGTGAATTGAGTGATGAGAATATTCCTCCGAATAGTACCGTCCTAACCCAATGTAAAGATGTCCTCAACAATGCCACCGAGTATGGAGTTCGTTTGTTGCGTGTCAGTTTCGTTGGTGAATTGGGTTATGAATTGCATGTGCCCAAGGAGTACTGCTCCCAGGTTTATAGATCTCTGATGAAAGTTGGCGAGACGAATGATTTGCGTAATGCCGGCTACAGGGCACTCTACTCGTTGAGTAGTGAAAAGGGTTATCATTTGTGGAGTTTTGATTTGCGCCCGGACGATACTCCTTTGGAGGCGGGTCTAGGTTTCACGTGTCGCAAGGAGGGAAGCTACAAGGGTAAAGAGGCAATTGAAAAGCAACGCAAGGAGGGTATTAAGAAACGTTTGGTCTATCTGACATTAGATGACCAGGTACCAATTTGGGGTCTGGAGGGTGTCTATCGCAATGGAGAGCCCGTTGGTTTCCTTAGACGGGCCGAATATGCCTATTATTTGGGTAAACCCTTGGGCCAGACATATATTTCGAAGCCGGATGGCGGTAATATCGATGTGGACTACATTAAATCGGGCGAATATGAAGTCGATATTTTGGGTAAACGCTATAAGGCTAAGGCCCATTTGAGAAGTCCCTTCGATTTGGAGGGTAAACGTGTTTTGGGTATTTACTAGAATAAAAGGGGGGAAATTAGGTAATTATGTAAGTTTGTTAAGGAAGTTATATTGTAAAGAATAAAAAAATAAAAATAAAAAACTAAATAAAAGAATAAATTTTCAATTCAATTGAAAGGGGTCTCCAATGTACTTACGGGGTTTTAAAAGCTATTCTAGAATTTTAAAAACGTATGCAATAAACATAATACCTTGAAAGGGTAAGTAATAATAATAGCATTAACACATGGCAATAAAGGTAGACTCATTTGCTAAATTGAATATGGCAACCCTTTTCAGAAGTGTTCGACCTTGTCATTTTAAAAAAAAACCAATAAAGAAAGTCCTAAAGTCGGGCGGGCCGAATTTATAATACCCTACACCACTTTGCTCCATATAACAATTAAAAAAAAATAATTATAATTATAATTTAAAATTCAAAGGACTAAATATGCCGAAGCATTTGTAACTTTTAAATTCGGACTTATATTGCCCATTTGGTGCGAAATTAATTTGAAATCAGATCAAGATATAATATGGGAGCTATATCCAAATCGGAACCGATCTCGATAAAATTTGGCAAAGATATTTCTGAGCTGTATTTAATATATTTCCCTGAATATCGTTGTTACGGAGTGCATATTACGGCTGTGGGTAACAAATATAACAAATCGGATGAACAATATATATGGGAGCTATAGCTATATCTGAACCGATCTTCACCAAATTTGGCATACTACCTTCTAGACTCAATTCGGTCGTATGTGCCAAATTCCATCCCAATTGGACAAATATTAGACGTTTGGTGCACAATAAAAAGTAAATCGGACGAAGTTATATATGGGAGCTATATCCAAATCTGAATCGATCTCGATAAAATTTAGCAAAGGTATTTCTGAGCTGCATTTGATATATTTTCCCAAATATTGTTGTTACAGAGTGCATATTACGGCTGTGGAGGACAAAAATAACAAATCGGATGAACAATATATATGGGAGCTATAGCTATATCTGAACCGATTTCGATCAAATTTGGCATACTTATTTTCAGGCCTAATATGGTTGTATGTGCCAAATTCCATCCCATTTGGGCAAATATTAGACGTTTGGTGCACAATAAAAGGCAAATCGGACGAAGATATATATGGGAGCTATATCTAAATTTTTACCGATTATCTCCAATTTCAATAGGGTTCGTCTTTGGGCCAAACAAATGTTGTTTGGAAAATTTCATCTCAATCGGATAATAAATGCGACCTGCATTTTGTTCACAAAAACACATGGACAGACGGACGGACGGACAGACCGACTGACATGCATAAATCAACTCAGAAATTGATTCTATGCAGATCATCAAAAGGAACTATGGGTCTATCTCGTTTCCTTTTGCCTGTTACAAACAAATGCACAAAGACATAATACCCTGACCACCTTGTGGTGTAGGGTATAAAAATTATATTCACATCTAAAATATTTACGTATGACGAGTAGCATATTTCACAAAAATACTAATAATCTATTATTTTCGGCGTTTCTAGGCACTTAAAAACAGTTATATGCCCCATACCTTGGGAGGACGAATTTTATTTATCTTGTCTTACAGTACGTTTACATATAAATGGGTTAACCCACTGGATTTGGATTAAAATTGTCATATCCATTACTTATACTTCAAATAAATACTCTTGAAGTAGGTTAACCCTGCAAAAAGTTCTAACGTAAACATAGCGTTAAGCTCAAACATATAAAAATAGAGATTTTAAGCTCTTCATCTTAAGGAAACATCAACATCATTCAAATTCAAAGGAGAACTCGCCTAGTCGAAATGTGGAAGTTATTTGAAATACTGTTCTCAATAAAGTTCTCCAACATATCAAATAATTTATAGAATTTTGGAAAACCGAAATAAATGACTGACTATTTTTCAATCTCAAAACCATCGAAGAAATTTCCGGGAACAAAGAATAACCACACGTACCGTAAGTGAATATTTTCTGTAGTGGTTGAAGAAATGTTAAGTGTCCATCCTGGATTTGTATATTAACCAAGAACAAAATCCTAAGACTTGGTGGCTAGCCAAAGCATTTCGATGCAAGGAGACAGCATGTCTGGTGTTTAGTTGTCCTTTTTGAAGGTCCTTGTGTTAATTACGTAATTAATAACACTTGGCAGGGGTTTACAAGAGGTTGGGTTTGTTTTTATTTTCTTCTAAGAATTGATGGTTCAAATTGCACTGGCAGACAGTTAGACGCCTTAAAATGGAGAGAGATTGAGAGAGAGAGAGAGAAAAGAAATAACAAGTGTTTTTAGTTTAGGTACGACGTTATGTTGGCAGTTGTATATATATTTAACAAGTAAAAAAGCTGTAAGTTCGGCCGGGCCGAACTTTGAATACCCTCCACCATTTGGTACAAATTTAACAATTTTCAAAAAAATAAAATCCGTTAAAAATTCTGTTAAAATCTTGAAAATACCTAATGAAGCCGTATATTAGAATCTATACGACGACGTGGACCTGCATAGGCAACTTTTGTCACAAGATATTACAATATTCAAATGCGAAACTTGAAAAAAAAAAATCTGTTTATAATGTAGCCAAAATCATCCAAATACCGAATATAGGGGGATACCGTTATATGGGGGCCATACGAAGACATGGACCTGCACAGACAATGTCATAGGCTATAGCATTCATTACGAACTTCAAATGCCAAATTTGAAATAGTTCCGGTAAAAAATGTCGCTAAAATCATCAAAATACCGAATATCGGGGGGTGCCGTTATATGGGGGCTATACGAAGACGTGGACCTACATGACTCATTTTTTGCCTTAGGATGTAGAATCCATTACGAACTTCAAATACCAAAATTGAAACAATTCCGGTAAATAATGTCGCTAAAATCATCAAAATACCGAATATCGGGAGGTACCATTATATGGGGGCTATACGAAGACGGTAACCTGAATGGTCCATTTTCTGTCTTAAGCCGTAGCATCTATTACGAACTTTAAATATTAATTTTGAAACAATTCCGGTAAAAAATGTCGCTAGAATCATCAAAATACCGCATATCGGGAGGTACCGTTATATGAGGGCTATACGAAGACGTGGACCTACATAGCCCATTTTCAAGCCCATTGTCCTGCAGACATAGTACACATTTGAGAAAAATGTTATCAACCTACTTCATTTCGTTCGGAAGCTAGAGTGATTTCCACAGATGGACAGACGGATAGACGGACAGACGGACGGGCATTGATAGATAAATCGACATAGAATTTTATGCTGATCAAGAATATATACTTTGTGGGGTCTAAAATGTATATTTCGAGGTGTTGCAAACGGAATGACAAACTTAATATACCCTCCATACTATGGTGGAGGGTATAAAAATAACACAAATGCTCAATTTAATATGATAAGATAAGATAATAAGATAATACATACATAGTATGAAGGGTATATTAAGTTCGTCATTCCGTTTGTAGCTCATCGAAATAATAATTTTTAGACCCAACAAAGTATATATCCGCCCGTCCATATGTTTTAATCACGCTAGAGTCGAAATTAAGATAGAAAGCTAAAGTTTTGCACAGATCTGTCTTTTGTCTGTAGGCAAGTCAAGTTCGAAGATGGGCTATATCGGTCCACGATATCGTATAGCCCCCATATAATGGTACCCCCCATATTCGGTATTTTAATGATTTTAGCCACATTTTTCAATGAAATTTTTTCAACACCCACACCAGTAGTTCCTTCGGAGTACTTTACCCCCTTGAGGAGTATTGTCTATATAGGTCCACGATATCGTATATCCCCCATATAGCGGTACCTCCCGATATTCGATAGTTTGATGATTGTAGCCAAAATTTGAAGCTCGTAATGTGTACTACAACCTACGATGGAAAATTGTCTATGTAGGCCCACGTCTTCATTTAGCCCACATATAACGGTACCTCTTTTATTCGGTATTTTGATGATATTACCGAAATTTTTTACCCGAATTGTTTCAGATTTCGTATTTAAAATTCGTAATGGGTACTACAGCCTATGACAAAAATAAATACTTCTGCAGGTCCACGTCTTCGCAAAGCACCTATAGACGGGTTTTCCTTTGAGCGGTATTTTCAACGGATTTTTTTATTTTGGAAATTTTTCAAATTCCTTCTAAATGGTGGAGGGTATTAAAAGCTCGGTCAGGCCGAAATAAGCTGCTTTTTTACTTGTTCTTACTTTCTTAGAAGTTGAGCAACCTTTCTTATTGAGCCATGGGTAACGCTGTAATAACCCATCTCTTCATTAATTTGTAACAATTTGTTACTGGATACAATATACGAATAAACGTAGGGTCCGCTATACGTGGATTTGCCAAACAATGGATCTACACCGAACATTTTTTAAGAGAGGAGTTTTTATTTTCTAAACACCACCTAAAACACCAAATTACAATTTCTTCGGTTGACAAATGGGTCACATATTAAAAATATTTGTCTTTTTGCCACCAATTACTCTGTTCTAGAACTACTTAATATCGAGAAACAATTCAAATTAGTACTAAGTTCCAGGCCTGACCTAGACATATTATACATATATATCGATTTCATCATTTTTATAGATTTTTTTCGTTTGTCAGCAAGAGAAGACTGTACGTAAAACACATAGAAGGATTTTTTTCCTGGCATAAGTCATCGGCTGGTTTTTATTCGTAAAAGAACTAAGGATCTAATGGTCAGAAATTAAAACTTATCGAACTAAAACTCATTTCATTTGTTCTTGTATAAAAAAATCCAGCCAATGACTTTGTCTAAAAAAATCTCTCATTTGTCTCCACCTTAAGATCTCCTTTCCGACCATATTAAATTGGCTTTAAAACTGACTAAAAACTATTGTTTTAAATCTACTGCGTGGAAAACAAACACTTATTACTCTCAACGTCTCTCTTTACTCATATACTCTCTGTTGAGGCGTCTAACTGTCTGCCGTTGGAATTTGAACCACCGATTCTTAGAAGAAAATAAAAACAAACTCTTGAAATTCTTGCCATAGATATTAATTAAGTAATTAATATAAGGTCCCAAAAGAAAACTAAAAAACCCAGACATGTTGTCTCCTTACTCCATTACTTGTAGTTGTTGTTATGTTGTTTCTAAATTAATGTCTGGTGTATTAGTGGAAATTCAAGTGCCTACTCCATTGACCTTCATTCATTGATTAAAACATATTTCTTTACCACGCGGTTGTGCTGTTCCTTACATGAAGGTCACATGTTGCTATGGCTAGCCACAGCAAGGATAAGGTCTTTGTCATTCTATTGTAATAATTCACTGTGCGGACAGGCACTTAACACTTTGGCCAACCACTATCACAAAAACCATTTAAGATGGGTTCTACTTCTTCTTAAGTGATTGTGGTTACACTTCGTTCTTAGAATTTCATTGGTTTTGAAACGGGAGTTGAAGTGCGGCAGCACAGCCTTTCGCTTTTCCAAGATCTCATAAAAATATGAAATATTATAAAATTGTAAGCAGAAAACATCTGATCACAACATTATCTCAGATGACAAGATATGTTTTTCCTAAGAATACATATAAAATGTGTCATGTCTGAAAAAGAAGACCCCAAAAGGTAGATATGTAAAAATTGTTGGGAGCGCTAAAAACAGTCCTTTATATAATATTATTCTAAATATATGACTCTAACATCATGCATAAACTAGGCTTAACGGAGAACTTCGATCCACCTCATGATCTTCAACATCGATAGCGCTTGATTTTCAGTAGAGGGGTCATATCATGGTAGAAAAATACAGGTAGATGCATCAACGCTTGGGATATATGTCATTGATATGTCAAAATTATTTTAGTTTCTTTTCAAATGTAAGTAGACTTTTATATGTTTTCTAATACAACGTCGTTTGGAGGTTATTATAATGCGTGTTTTTCAACGATTTTTACAAATTTAAATAATCATTCAACATTTTCAATTCCAAAATTGGTTTGACAGTTCATTGTCCCAGCAGCTGCGTCGATGCGTCTACCTACCATGGGTCATATCGACAGCAGAAATTCATATCGGCATGTTGGAAATTAACAGACTAAAGGTGATAATACATAAAATGCTTTTTTGACTGGCTAAGTCATCGGCTAGCTTCTTCGGAAAAGAAAAAAGGAGCGTAGGCCAAAATCGAACTAAGTCAACCTATGGATCACATATAATACTTTTTATTTTTAATTCTATTTTGTTCTAAATTAAAATACAAAATTGCTTCTTTAAGTACTTAATAATTATAACAACAACAATTGTATTATTTATGCTAAAGTATATAGACAATTTCTGATACATCATTGGAATGTGACAGTTGATATTTGGAGACAACTTCTTCTAATGTCTTTTCGAAACAGAATATTTCACGCATTTCACTCTTTAGGCGGCAAACCACACCAGCCGAGGATATATTCCAGTTCCAGCAGATTAGATCACAGTTAAGTATTTTCAAATCTTCACGCAGTGTTATGATATTCTGTAAAAAAGGCCAGGTAATAATTAAAAATAAATAAGAATGAATTGGAAAAGAAGAGAAGAACAGCGATTAGCCTTTCCCAAAAAATGCCAGTAAAGCGTTCTCAATTTTAAATGTAATATAATACACTTAATAAAAGTTAAATTATTTAGTGAAACATGAAATGTTAAACTTTTCACATTGGCTACAAAACAGGTGTTTTTTTTTTAAGTCATCGGCTGGCTTCTTCGGAAATGAACAAAGGAGCCTAGGGCCAAAATCGAACTAAGTCAATCTAAAACTCCTTTGCTTCTCTACAAAAAAGCGTTTTAGGTTGGGAGACATAAAAGTTTTTTTACCGAGTTTTAAGCTTGGGAGAATAATTTGGTCTAATTCTTTAACTTACCATTGCCACTGTGTAATCAATGGAATTGATTTCCTGGCCTCTAATCACAATCAACTTTACCGTATTGAGATTCACAAATTTCACAACTTTTTCCTTCAGATATTCAGCTGAGGCAAAATCTAATTTTTGTTTTACATCCACCACTCCCACTTCCCAATCCAGAACCTGAAATATATAAACGCTTAAAGAATTATCCTTTAAGAAATTTTGCTCTGAGTTATCTACCTTTTCAATGTCCAACCTCATTTGAGGCTTGGCACTGCTGTACAAAATATACGAAATATTTGCTACTATGCCACACAATATGCCATATTCCAAACTCCAAAACATACAGGGCACCAGTGTGGCCACAAAGGGGAAGAGATCCTTTTCTGGAAAAAAATAATTATATATATTATTAATTTTATATAATATTTGTTAAATAAAATATTATTTAATGCTCTGTAGTGGGATTCTCTAAAGGTGAGAATACATAAAATGCTTCTTTGGCTGGCTTCTTCGGAAAAGAACAAAGGAGCCTTGGGCCAAAATTGAACTAAGTCAACCTTAAACTCCTTTGTTCCTCTACGAAGAAGCCAGTCGATGACTTAAGCCAATCAAAAAGCTCCCTTAACTCATTTTTTGAGTGACCGATAAAAATCGGTATCTTTATAACCCAAAATTTCGATATAAAAAACCGAATCATTTCGTATATTACCGAAATTGTAAGCATTTTAATTTAACCAAGTTTTGTCGGTAACTTAAAAAATTAGAAAATTCCACTACTGATCCACAATCTGCAATAGTCTGTTCCGATTATCCCTTTATGAAATCGAAAAAAGTTGCAAAACTAGTAGATTCTTGCAGGTTCTGGAACAGAACATAAACGTCAATTTGTGTATATATTTTTAATTTTTCTGCTACTCCCACTTACTTTTTGATCTCCATGTATCACGAACTTTCTCAAATTCCATTAGGGATATCATGGCAGCAATGATAATGGAAGCCAATGTTGATTTTGGTATGTAGTAAAATGTCTTGGTAAGAAATGCCAATGCCATCAATACCAAAGCTCCGGTAACAGCTCCACCCAAGGGAGTCTTTACGCCGCTGGCATTATTTACCGCGGTACGGGTGAAGGAACCCGTTACCGGCATCGATGACACAAAACTGCCCATGATGTTGCACATGCCCAAGGCAATCATTTCCTGAGAAGCGTTGACAATTTTTCCTTTCGCTAAGAAAAAAAAAACAAATGTATTAAAAATGTCAATAAAGGTAGATACACATTAAGCAATTGGCCTTGCATATCATTGCTCTGTTCCAGAACGGTATCATAAAGGAAAAAATGGTTATCGTAGCAACATTTTTATATTGTTTTTGGAGGTTTTGAAATACATATATGTCGCAAATTATGAAGAAATCTCAGACCCACAACGTCTTTTCATCGTCTATTTTATTTGTAGTCCATAATTAGTCCAAGCATGAATATTCGCACGGAATTCTATTCCAAAGTGTCTCTAGAGAGAGAGACCTTCCCCAAATCAAAGATAATTGAAGAGAAATAATTTGCGAAGGTGGCAACGCTAACTATTCTTTTTCGTACCTTGTGTACCCTATTTGTTGTGTTAATTGGTGCGTTTATTTCTTATAAAAATTAAGAAATAACAAAAAATATCTTGCAACGACAAACAAATTTACAATATTAGGATTCAAATATATGTGTAAGATGTTCAGAAGTATATGTTTTTTTTAACACCTCGAAATATACATTTTACACCCCACAAAGCATATATATTCTTGATCAGCATAAAATTCTATGTCGATTTAACGATGTTCGTCCGTCTATCCGTCTGTGGAAATCACTCTAGTTTCCGAACAAAATTAAGTAAGTTGATAAAACTTTACTCAAATGTATATTATGTCTGCAGGACCTTTGGTATTGAAAATGGGCCATGTAGGTCCACCTTTTGGTATAGCCCCATATAATGGTGTCTCTCTATTTTTGGTATTTTAGTAATTTAAGCGACTTTATTCAACGGAATTGTTTCAAATTTGGTATTTGAAGTTCGTAATGGATACTACAGCCTATGACAGAAAATTGTCCTTGCAGGTCCATGTCTTCATATAGCCCCCATATAATTGTACCTCCCTATTTCCGGTATTTTTGTGATTTAAGCGACATTATTTGCCGGAAATGTTTCAAATTTGGTATGTGATGGTCGTAATGGATACTACAGCCTAAGACAGAAAATTATCTGTGCAGCTCCACGTCTTCATATAGCCCTCATATAATTGTACCTCATGATATTCGGTGTTTTGATAATTTTAGCGACATTTTACGCCGGAATTGTTTCAATTTTGGTATTTGAAGTTCGTGATGAATAATACAGCCTATGACAGAAAATTTTCTTTGCAGGTCCACGTCTTCATCTAGCCTCCATTTAACGGTATCTTCCGATGCTCGGTATTTTGATGATTTTAGCTCCATTATTCACCAATTTTTTTTTTTAAGTTTCACATTTGAATATTGTATATGCTTATGACAAAAGTTGCCTATGCAGGTCCACGTCGTCGTATAGACCCTAATATAATAGCTACATTCGGTATTTCTAACTTTTTAACAGAACGGATTTTATTATTTTTGAGAATTACCAAATTCGTTCCAAATGGTGGAGGGTATTCAAAGTTCGGCCCGGCCGAACTTACAGCTTTTTTACTTGTTAAATGTAGAATGAATGCTTGAATGTAGAACTTTTTACTACGATAGCGATGTTTCTTTATGATATCTGCAAAAATTGCAAAACTAGTAGATTCTTGCAGAATCTGGAACAGATTTTCAGATAATTGTGAGTTTCAAAATTAAAAATTTCTCTCTTCTAAAATTTTCTAGTAGAAAAAATTCAATAGTGACTATAAGTTCAGTCACCACTTTAATCCAAAAATTTCAGGCATTTTTTTTAAAAAAAAATAAAAAAAAAATCATATATTCAACCTCAATATATGAAATATTTCTTTTTTTGTCAAAAATGTTTCAATTCTCGTACAAACTTCCTTTAATTCTGCAAGAGACATTTTTCTGGAGCAAAAATAAACAAGATTGAGAGATGTTTGCTTTTTCTCTCTCAAGATTATTATTTATGATATCAAAAGAGAAAAGGAAGAGAAATCTCTCACGAAACAGTTATTCATGATTGGGCTGAATAAACAATGCAATGATGTCAATGGCCTTATGTATTTCCACCTTGAAGCATTTGCAATTTAAATACTTACAGAATGCCTTTGATATGGCCACAATTTCCAAAATGGCCACCAAGGGTATGGAGGCCAATGACGCTCCAATATTATTCAACATTTCGCCAAAGCTCACATCGGTACCATTTACAGTTGTGTGAAATGGTGGTGGTCGAAACGGAGGCAAACCGGCAGTTATATTTCCCGTTACTCTAAATGGCTGGGTTCCACCACGACTTAGACCATAGGCCAGAGATGTACCAATTATTACGGTCAAGGCATTGCGGGATAATGATACATATTTCCAAAATGTGCGATTGCCATAGGGTATATCTTTGGTTTTCTGTAAAACAAAATGAGAAACATGAATATGAAAGAATTTCATGTGAAACACTCACTTTCATAAGAAACAAAAATATTAGAGACAAAACACCCAAGGCGGCATCATTCCATCCGATTTTATTCAAATGTGTAAAGAAATGCTTCCATGCTGGTATCAAATCATTTGAAGGACCTGAAGAGGAAAATTTTTATAAATTAAAAGATTTAATTATGCAAAACTTTCCAGAGTCAAGTCAATTATTATACCCTCCACAGTACTATGGAGGGTATATTAGCTTTGTCATTTCGTTTTTAACTCCTCGAAATATTCAAGATAGACCCTACAAACTATGTATATTCAGGATCAGCGTAAATTCTAAGACGATTTAGCGAAGTCTGTCCGTCTGCCTGTGTGTCTGTTTGTCTGTTGTGATCACGGTATCTTTTGAACAAATTGTGATAGAAGGCTCAAATTTTGCACACATGTGTATTTTGCCTGTAGGCAGGTCGGTTCACGTTTTCGTATAGCCCCATATAACACTACCTCCCGATATTTGGTATTTTGATGATTTTAGCGACATTATCCGCCGGAATTGTTTCAAATTTCGTATTCGAAGTTTGTAAATGGGTACTACAGCCTATGCCTAAAAAATTCGTATGTAGGTCCACGTCTTTGTATTCGATTTGTTTAAAATTTCGTATTTGAAGATCTTAATGGAAACTATATCCTATGACAAAAAAATATTTTCGCAGGTCTGCGTCTTCGTATAGCTTCCCACTAAGATAATCATTTTAGCGGTATTTTTCGGATTTTTTTTTGTAATTATTCAAGTTCCTTCCAAATGGTGGAGGGCAATAAAAGTTCAACCCGGCCAAACTTAGCTGCTTTTTTACTTGTTATACAAGGTGAGATAAAAAAACTGCAACCAACTTCAGACTGCTGTCATTTCGAAACCACTAGTCCGGCAGCTGTTAAAATTATTCCAGTAACAGCTCATTACATTGTTTACAAGCGAACAAAAGCATTTTGGTGGGAACTTTCCAGAAAAAAAGTTATTCGTGATGGAATTCAAGCGTGATACCGAATTTCGGGGGAGAACCACAAGTGACTATCGTTAGAGCACTTCAGCATTTAAATTTGAATAAATCTTTTATGTCTCGTACCATCGCTCGTTACCGTGATACTGGTAGCGTAGCCCGACGACAAGGAAGTGGACGGAAGAAAACAGCAAACATCTGCAGAAATGATTCGAAGTAGCCGAAAAATGGCTCGTGGGCTGAACGTATCGGAATATTCCATTCGGCAAATATTGAAAAATGAGCTCGGGGTAAAGCCATTGAAATTCCAAAAAATGCAAGAACTTACACCACATAAGAAAGAAAATAGACTCAAAAGAGCTAAAGAGTTACTTCGCTTGGCCGAAAGTGGTGAACTGCCGAATTCGTTGACAACGAATGTTTCCTCATCGGAGAAAACCAAATTCGGAAGTTCACCACTTTCGGCCAAGCGAAGTAACTCTTTAGCTCTTTTGGGTCTATTCTTTTGCGGTGTAAGTTCTTGCACTTTTTGGAATTTTGTATTTTTGTAAAAAAAACAAAATGATCGTGTTTACTTGCCAAGAGTTCAGCTGAAATTGTGCACCTTCGGTTGGCCACCAGAACTCAAGCGCCAGCTATGGTGATAGTGTGGGCCGCCCTAACAGCCGATGGTCGCTCTTCGCTCGTATTAATCAGAAAAAATGCCGAATATTATAGCGAAAATATTCTGAAGGGTGTATGAAAGCCTTGGACACGCAAACATTTTGGCCGCAGACCTTGGACATTCCAACAGGACTCAGCACCATGTTAAAAAATAAGGTTCCTCGATTCATTTCCAGCGCACAATGGCCACCAAAATCTCCAGATACAAATCCGTTGGACTATTGTGTCTGGAGTTTTTTGGAAAGTAAGGTTGGCACTAAGAAATATCAAAGTGTCGATCACCTCAAGCAAGCGCTTCGCCTGCAATGGGCCAAAATACCGCATTACAACATTCGTGTGACGGTTTCATTGGCCGTTTAAAGGCCTTAATTCGTGTAAACTTAAACTTATTCTAAAATTTGATGCTATTTCCGACATTTCTTGCTTTCTTTCAATAACATTTAAAAAAATACATATAAAAATTATGGCGTTTGACTTTGTTGCCGTTTTTTTTATCTCACTCTGTATATAGAAAAATAAATTTGTCAAGGGTTTTATTGACAAACGCAAATGCATAAAAGGATTTTTTGTTGGCTTAAGCCATCGATTGATTTCTTCGTAAAAAAAAAACCCGGAGTTTTAGGTTGACTTAATATAGTTTCGGCCGATAATTTGTCTTTGTTCCTTTGCGAAGAAGCCAGCCGTTCCTTTGTTCCTTTGCTTAAGCCAATAAAAAAGGGTTTATATATCTGCACCCACAAGCTCCCTTAAAACACATTTCTTATGGCATGTTTACACATAATAAATTAAGTGGATCTCAACGTATATTCCAATGTGCATTAATCATTTTTAGATTTAACCATGGTAAAAGAATATAGGTAGACGCGTCGACACAGCTGCTGGGACAATGAACTGTCAAACCAATTTTGGAATTGAAAATGTTGAATGAAAAATTATTTAAATTTGTAAAAATTGTTGAAACCGCGAATTATAATAGCCTCCGAATGACGTAGTATAAGAAAACATTCTAAAAATCTACTTATATTTGAAAAAACATTTACATTTTTTTGACATATCAATGCTCCCAAGGGTTGATGCATCTACCTGTATTCATCTGCCATGGATTTAACACAATGAAATTGACAATTAAAATCCACTAGATTTATTTTATGTAAACATGCTTATACATAAAGTTGTCATGAGCCTAAAAGTATGCAACAGTTAAGTTGAGAATACATAAAACGCTCATTGTGATTGACTTAAGTCATCGGCTGACTTCTCCAGGAAAGAAGAAAGGAGTGTAGGATCAAAATCGAACTAAGTCAACCTGAAACTCCTTTATTCCTATACGAAGAAGGCAGTCGATGGCTTAGGCTGGAAATACATAAAGAGCATATTTGGCTGGCTTAAGTCATCGGCTGGCTTCTTCGGAAATGAACAAAGGGGCCTAGGCCCAAAATCGAACTAAGTTAACCTAAAACTCCTTTGTTCGTCTACGAAGAAGCCAGCCGGCGACTTAGGCCAACCAAATATGCTCTTTATGTATTTCCAGCCTTAATCCAGTCAAAAAAGCTATTTATGTACTCTCACCTTAACTCATTTTTTGAATGACAGATAAAAATTGAGATCTTTATAACCCAAATTTTGATATAAAAAAGAAGTTAAGTTGAGAATACATAAAACGTTTTTTTGGATGTCTCAAGTCATCGGCTGACTTCTCCGGGGAAGAAGAAGAAAGGAGCGTAGGGTGAAAATCGAACTAAATCAACCTGAAACTCTTTTTTTACATCTACGAACAAGCCAGCCGATAACTTATGCCAGTCACAAAAGTGTTTTATATATTCTCACCTTTAACAAACTTTAATTTTGGTATCCACATTAGTTCTGTTCAGGACGTTTTAATTTTTATCTTAGTTTGAAGGATAAGCCTCCACTTTTATTGAAAAAATACTTGCTTGCCATTCCAAACAGGTTATTGATTTGTGCACTTCCAATGGTTGTTGCAGCAGCTATGGTGAAACCTTAGGGAAACAAAAAAGCTAGTTACATTTACTTTCAATAAAAAAAACTTTCAACTCATCCCACCTGTTATGACGGGTATTGAAATGAATCTCACCAAAACACCCAAATTCAGCAGTCCCATCAACAATATCAAACAACCAGCTAAGAAACAAACAAGAACAGCATAATCAGGACTCAAGATTGCATACTGATGGACCATTAGAGCCATAATGGCGGTGGTTGCTATAATAAATTACAAACCTCAATAACAAAGTTTCCATCACAACAAAATGTGAAACACTACTCACCTATGGTAACATCTTTGCACGAACCAAAAATGATGTAAGCAAAACAACCCATAAAAGCTGAATATAGACCATATTGAGGTTCAAGTCCCGCAACAACCCCGTACGCTATTGCCTGCGGTATTGTGGTTAGACCCACTGTAAAACCGGCAATAAAATCTTGCAACAGAAAACTAGCCTCATATTTTGGCAGCCATCCCAGTATGGGAAATTTTCGTGCAATTGCCCTGAAACTGCAGCTATTGTAGATACCATTCTTTAGCTTACTAGGGATATTGGGTAGTTTCTCTTTGAATAGTAAACTATCTGAAATGTTTATTAAAAATAAAATTATTAAATTGGATTGCAAATAATTATTTAAAAATATATAAAATTCGATTACTTCGAAAGTTGCTTTAAGACTAGATTACACATGATATTAAGCTGGGAATACATAAAGCGCTTATTTGGCTGGCTTAAGTTATCGGCTGGCTTCTTTGGAAATGAACAAAGGAGCCTAGGGCCAAAATCGAACTAATTCAACCTAAAACTCCTTTGTTCATCTATGAAGAAGCCAACTGATGACTTAAGCCAACCAAATATGCTCTTTATGTATTTCCAGCCTTAGGATAATATGTAGTGTGATTTTTCCACAATCATTTGTAGCATTTTTAAAGTATGCTTTTAGATGCCCCCAGAATATTAATCTAAAAAATGATTTATAGTATAAACATACAGATGAATTTATAGTAAAGTAAAGTATATTGTTTACAGGGAGAACCTTATGTTATGAAATGTAAAATATAAACTACTTTACATATGACTCTAACATAAGTTGTGTTCCAGAACCTACAAATTAGTACTAATTAGTGCTAATTCTGCTACAACGCGTTCCCGTACTCGAAAAACTAGCAAAAATTGTAGCTCTCTCGAGAAAAAAATGGCGCTGAGTGATGCACATTTCTACTTGTTTTCAAAGACATAGAAGTATAAAGATGGGACAAGACAGAATCAAAATATGGCAACCCTGTGAAAAATACCTCTGTTGTTATGATATCGTAACAACATAAGTTGTGTTCCAGTACTTTTTTAGTAGTAAAACTAGCAGAAGAGAGAACAGTTCGAAATGTCATTCTCAATTAGGTGTGCTCAAAAAATAAGGGAACGGAAAATTAGCAGAAATGCGATAAAATGTCAAAATTCAAAATTCCAAGAGTAAACAGTCCAAATCGGACTGGTGAAACCTTACTGAAACGGACGCCAAAATTTTAAAAAAATAGTATTGAAGACGATACGTTAAAATTAATAATCTATAATAATAATTAATAATCTGATTCATCTTTCAGCCAGTCCTCTTCACTACTGGAATCATCCAAAAGTGCTCCATATTTTTTCTTTTTGTTTTTTTGCACTACAAATATTAGTTTTTCCTTTAGTTTTTAAGTTGATCATTTCTTTATTTTTGTTATGACGCGGGAACATTGAAATGTATCAATACATTTTTCAACCTTGTTAGCCCTGCCAATTAAATGTCAAATTCAGAATTTGCACATTTCTGCTCGGCCAAATTCATGTAGCTAAAACAAGCAGAAATGTGCACCACTCAGCGCCATTTTTTTCTCGAGAGAGCTGCAAGTTTTGCTAGTTTTTGCAGTACGGGAACGCGTTGTAGCAGAATTAGTACTAATTTGTAGGTTCTGGAACACAACTATAATGAGGTGTCACTGGAATAGTTTAATAACAGCTGTCAGACGAGTGGCTTAGAAATGACAGCAGTCTGAAGTTGGTTGCAATTTTTTCATCTCACCCTGTATAAATTATGGTCCGAAATTAGACAAAGTCAACCTAAAGCCAGCCGCTGACTTAAGCCACAAAAATGCGTTCTATATATTCTCTTTAAAACTTGCATGCAAACAACAAAAAAATATGGCATCCTTTGATTCCCGATTACCGTTCTTTCTGGGCAAATCAGTTCTCTTAGAGCCATTTCTCTCTTTTATTTACAAGTTTTTCGATTACACACAAGAGATATCAAGAAAATTCAATACTAACAATCGTTGACCACTTTTAAAAACCAAGCTGATGACCACACCCACTCATTTCTTATCCAAAGACCATAGTTGAGAAAAAAAACTTCTGGGCTTTGAATCTGTCAATGACATTGCAACTTGTTGGTTTTATTGACTTCCAATCTTTATGAATGTCTGGTACGTGCCAAAATGCTAAATAATTATCGCTTTTAAGACACAATTTTGTTTTGTTTTACGATCGGTTTTCCCCGATTATAATTTCGGAACTTTGGTTGTGTTTTTTCGCCAATCATTCGGCTATAACAACTTAAATTGTGTCAATTAATGACAACACCCCCAAAGAGAAATAATTTAAATTTAGGGTACGCATGATCCAGATTGTTTGAGACTAGGGCAATAGTCAGTAACACCCCTTTTATTTGTTTTATTGTGGTAATTGTGTTATCAATCGGTGTATTATTATCGTAGAATTATGGATCGATTATAAGTGCTACTACCTGGGAACTAATAATCTTAATTGGTTTATTAGCTAGCACAACTTATATTGAGGATACGAATCGATAGCAATTAGGAAGTCAAATCAAGGTAGGCGATGGAACATAATTTGTTTTTATAAATGTTTATACTGCGAAAAAATGAGGTAACTTAATTGATTGCCACAATATCCCAAAGCATCATCATGTATTAGGATGAAGATCTTAACTCTGACTGAAGTCACCGGATGGCTTTTTCATAAACGAGACAAAGAGTTAAGGTGAGAATACATAATTGTTTTTTTTTACTGGCTTATGTCATCGGTTGGCTTTTTCGTAAAAGAATAAAGTAGTGTAAGGCCGAAACTGAACTCAGTCAAACTAAAAAGCTGGGAATACATAAAGCCCTTATTTGGCTGGCTTAAGTCATCGGCTGGCTTCTTCGGAAATGAACAAAGGTGACTAGAGCCAAAATCGAACTAGGTCAACCTAAAATTCCTTTGTTCATTTACGAAGAAGCCAGCCGATGACTTAAGCCAGCCAAATATGCGCTTTATGTATTTCCAGCCAAACTCCTTTGTTTATTTACGAAGAAGCCAGCCGATAATTTTAAGCCAGTCAAACAAAGCGCTCTATGTATTCCCACCTTCAATATATAATAATTTATACTTGCTCTTGAGAGGAAAATATTTCAACAAACGGAGACAATGAAGTTCTATGAAATACTTTTACAATTGTTTCAAATAAATTCTTTTGAAACGACATGAATTTGTTGTCATTATTCAATTATTACAACAATTTATTGTTTTCCAAAAAAGGAAAAAACAATGATGAGAAATAAACGTATTATATTCTAATCGACATCTTATCTATTACGTGTTACATGAAACAAAATGATGTTCAAGAGAAAATATTATAAAGAAAAACAAAAACATTTTAATGGCAAACTTAAATTCATAAAAGACCGATTTAAGTGAATATTAATACAATGCTAGCAAATTTTTTACGAAGAAGCAATCGACGACTTATAGGCTAAAGGTGAGAATCGACGACTTATAAGCTAAAGCCATCAACTGGTTTTCTCTTAAAGAACAAAGGAGCATAGCGTGAACAAGTATAAATTATGGGCCGATATTGAACTAAGTCAACCTAAAACCCCATTGTTCTTTTACAAAGAAGCCAGGCGATGACTTAAGGTGAGAACTCATAAAACGCTTCTTTGAGTGACTTAAGTCTTCTTCGTAGAGAAACAAACTATAAAAGTGAGAATACAGCGGAAGATTTTTCTAGCAATTGTCACCTGCTGCTTTTTTCTCTCGTAAAATAACAAAGCAAGTTTAAACTAAAAATAGAATACATAGAGGAACAAAGTAGTTTTAGGTTGACTTAGTTCGATTGTGGCCCTTCGCTCCTTTGTTCTTTTTCGAAGAAGCCAGCCGATGACATAAGCTATTCTGAAAAGCATTCTATGTATTCTCACATTAAGACTTATCTTACTGTTAAAAGTTTTTTGTTCCCGACCTTTTTCCTGGCGATTACACTAGTCAAATTGTCTGAAATCAAATATTAAATATTGCTGAAAACCAAAAAATAGGATACACAAACGAAAAAGGGGTACACAAAAAACAAAACTATTAGTTTTTAATTGATTGATGGTATTTTGATAATTAATCAGTGTTGCCACCTCATGTGTAGTTACACATATCGAGTGTAATTTTCCGTTGCATGTGAGGTCCATGTGCAATTAGTGGCACGTGTAATGCATGGTTAAGCCAAATGCAAAAATTATCTCTGTAGTAAGTTAGGGTGGAAATACATAAAGCGCATATTTGACTGGCTTCTTCCTAGCTGAACAAAGGAGTTTTAGGTTGACTTAGTTCGATTTTGGCCCTAGGCTCCTTTGTTCATTTTTAAAGAAGCCAGTCGATGACTTAAGCCAACCAAATAAGCACTTTATGCATTTCCACCTTTATGTGACGTTTCCACTGAACTTGATTCGCTCTCTATTCGTTGTTTGACCCTTAACTATGTAAAAACTACCTAATTCTTCAGACAAAATTTCCTGAGCGAACACTCATATTTGTTCATTGCTCAAATCAAATCACTCTCAGAACAACGAAAACATGTGTTCCATCCCTAACAAATGAGAGCATTTATCGAAAAAATAAATGATGACATTTAAAAATCAGAAATAGAAATATTTAATGAAATTTCAAACATTTTTGGGAAGACTGAAAATTATGAATGGAAACTACAATGTTGAATGGCGTATGTACATTCAAACGAAAGTAAATTTTGTTTTCTGTCTCATTCGAGGTACGCATTTTGTCCACGAGTTGAAATTTCCACAGAAAACTGCAAACAAAAGAGGCAATATTTTCAAAATGTTTGTATCGGCAGAAAAAATGTTTGACAAGTGTCTCTCCAACAGAATTTAAAAATAGAAAAATACAAAAATATGTTCAAAATGTCAACATTTACACCAAAAGTTGAAAACGTGAATGAAAAATGTAAAATTAATGGTATAATAAATCTTTGGGAGGAAAACAATAATTTCTTCCATTCGTATTAGTGAGAATTTCATGCATTTTCGTATAAATTCCCATAAAAATCAATCAACAAAATTTTTGAAAAAAGTAATTATTTTACTATGAATTACGAATCGTGCCGTATGAACGGGTTAATTCGTGTACGTGATTCTGAGAGCAAACAACGTCATTCAATTTGCCGTGTGAACATGCTATTAGTTATTTTTGCATTTGTTACGTCATGTTTACATACAGTTGTGATTCCTTAAACCAAACCATACAATTGCCTAATGTTTACATTATAACCATCACTATTATTTACACATAAAACTCATGAAAATTTATGTCAAATAGAGGATGATCGGGCAATTATCATGACAAAGCACTCTAATGTAAACGTAGACTTAATTTATTAAAAACAAAGAAAATTGCTATTTCCACTCCATTACACTGTTAATTATTTTATTATTAAACGACATTTTTATTTCAATTGCACTGTTCTCATAAACTTTTTTATCGTTACAAATTGTTGACGTTTGTAAAACAATAATAAAAAACAAACACATGTCAATATTTTCTTTTCTCATTTCACATGTTTTCTTACAAACCATCAATATCTGATGCTGCACTATTTTCCCGCGTTGTCGTATTTCTTTGCATTTTAAATTGCTGAGCTGGACGAAACTGCTGCCGTCGCTGCTGCTGCTGCCAACGGAAATATTTAACTTCGAAACAATGTAATGCCGAACCGTTCTTCACACATTCAGGCGAATAATCGCGGAATCCCTGTTTTCTTTTTTTTAACAAACGTACACCCACCGTCTTCGACCAACTGTTAGCTTCAACTAAAGGCCACAATAGAAAACTTGTTGTTAATATCAAAAAAAAAAAAAAAAATAATAATAATAATAATGTTAAACAACATTAGCCGGCACAATACAACAATTCATTTAAGTTCTGCCTTTTCTGATTGCCTAATGCACAGTAATTAGAAGAAGCACAAAATTGAAAACTTGCATTTGAATTGAAAATATTTTTTTATGTTTTTCAAACTCATGGCAAAATTGCAATTTTTCCAACAACAACTCCTTGTCAAAACTTATATTTATAAATCCATTGTATAAACACAAATCAGAGATGGTAACCGGTTTTCCAGACAGTGAAAATTGAAAAGGTGAATTACAGATAATGCAGAGATGGATATGCTTATTTAAAATGGCTTTACCTTCTTAATGCTATCATGGTTAAACTACTAGTGGGTCGAAATGCAAAAAATGGCGTCTGCACCTAAATTTTACAAAGATTCTAAAGTTTATAAAGATTATTATATTTGACGTATAAACAATGAAATTGAACTAAAGGTGAAAGTACATAAAAGGCTTTTTTTGACTGGCTTCTTCGCATTAACGCTTGATATGTCAAAAATTTAAATGTTTTTTTTTTAATTTTTAGGTTTTATGTGTTTTCTAATACAACGTCATTCGGAGGTTATTATATTACGCGTTTTTCAAAAATTTTTACAAAATTTTAAAAATTTTTCATTCAGCATTTTCAATTCCAAAATTGTTGTGTCGATGCGTCTACCTACAGGATGATATAAAAAAACTGCAACAAAGTCAAATGCCATAATTTTTACATTTTTTTAAATCTGATTGAATGAAAGCAAAAAAATGCCGGAAATGGCATCAAATTTTAGAATAAGTTTAGATTCGTTCGATTTGGTCACCTTTGGCACGAATTATGCCCGGATATTGCCTTGCGGTATTTTGGCCAAAGAAACCGTCACACACTGCCCGAATATTGCCTTGTGGTATTTTGGCCGGTTCCCGGCGAAACGCTTGCTTGAGGTGATCGACATTTAGGTATTTTTTAGTGCCAACCTTGCTTTTCAAAATACTCCAGATACAATAGTCCAACGGATTGGTATCCGGAAATTTTGGGGACCATTTCGCGCTGGAAATGAAGCGAGGAACCTCATTTTGTAACCATTCTTGAGTGGCGCGTGCTGAGTGCGACAGTGCTGAGTCCTGTTGGAATGTCCAAGGTTTGCGGCCAAAATGTTTGCGTACCCAAAGCTTTAATACAACCACCAGAATATTTTCGCGATAATATTCGGCATTTATTCTGATGCCACGGTCGATTAATACGAACGGAGAGCGACCATCTGCTGTTATGGCAGCCCACACCAACACCCTGACCGGCGCTTGAGTTCTGGTGGCCAACCGAAGTTGCACATTTTCAGCTGAGCTCTTTGGCAGGTAATTACGATCATTTTGTTTGTTTACAAACTGCTGGACAACGAATGTTTTCTCATCGGAGAAAATCAAATTCGGCAGTTTATCACTTTCGTCAAAGCTCTTTTTGTCTAGAGCTTTAGCTCTTTTGAGTCTAGTTTCTTTCTGCCAAAATGCTTTTGTACGCTTGTAAACAATATAATGAGCTGTCACTGGAATAATTTTAACAGCTGTCGGACGAGTGGCTTAGAAATGACAGCAGTCTGAAGTAGATTGCAGTTTTTTCATCTCACCCTGTATATTCCTCTGCAATGGAAGAGGAACAAAGGAGTTTTAAGTTAACTTAGTTCGATTTTGGCCCTACGCTCCTTTCTTCTTTTCCGAAGAAGCCAGACGATGATTTAAGCCACTAAAAAGTTTTTAATGTATTCTCACCTTTAATCTCTTTTAGAAAGAAGTTGCTTGACATGTCTCCAGTGATCTTTATTTTGAAATTCACATGACTAATTGTTTTATTTTTTTAGAAAACGAAGTTGCAAAAGACGATTTAGGGTTATTTTAAAAAATACAACATTTTTACTTTTTTTTTTCTATTTCTATTCATGATGTTTCTATTCATTACGGCAAATTGTTTTGTTTTGACAAAATCGGCTGATCGCTTGCAACTTTAACGGGAGTGCGTCAGTTTGCTATTTACACTGTAAATTTTACAGTTTTCTTGCAAGAGAGCATACAACTGCCTTACTCTCTCAGAAAGGAGTTGCTGGATTTGGAACAATAACTCACCAAATCATTAACCAAAATCAAAGGGAAACTAAAACATATTTTTGGGATATTTTATTGAACGCGATTAAAATACGATATCCAAGTCCTTTGGGATTTCGTAAAACGAGATCATAAAAAAAAATAAATATTTGTTTTTCATAATTTAATTTATATATTTTTCGCTCGCCCTAACCACTGTGCAATATAAATTACTTTCTATTGTTGTTTTTATTGTTAGTACTACCACAAAATAGTGCAATCAGAGAACATTTTATACAAATTTAATTTATGATAATGTAACCGACGACAACGATCTTTTTATTAAATTAAACGCACGATTTCTAATCAAGCCGTTATCGCGATGCGATAGGATTTTTTTATTATTAACTGTTAATAAAATTGATGGAAAAAATCAGCCCGAATTGCATGGGAACACCAGCACCAACCGACCGGACGAATAGTTTGAGAGACGTGAAACTACGACACATTCCCTTACAGCTGATTGTTGATGTTCTTTCTTCGTTTCTTTGTTTTGTTCCAATTAGCTTTTTGTTTAGCTTGGTTTGTTGATCATTTGTCAGGGTCGTAGCGTTGGGAATGTTTTTAATGGGAAATTACACTTTGATTTGCAAATCAATAGTTAATAATGTACAATTAAATTGTGACGTGTTGTTGGTTTTGAAGCGAAGTGAAACGAAACGACCTTCCCGAAATAAAGTTTAAGAAGCGTTTCTGCTACGTTGTTAAAAATTCATTTTCTCAAATTCTAAATTTCTAACAAAGTAACACAACTAAGATCCCAAACACAAACATACATACTTATTTGTATGTATATTACAATTATAAAATATTATATTTCATGCAAAAAGAATGTGAATTTGAGTAACTAGGTATTTTGGTTTGAAACAATTTGCTAAATACATCGCATTGTATTGAGTAATTGAAATTCCTATACAGTCGTTTCCGTATATTTGAATAAGAGCTCAAACCAATCAAAAAACTACTACTGGATTTGGATTAAAATTGTCACATCCACTTCTTATACTTCAAATAAATCCTCTAACGTAAACATGGCATCAATATTGTTATTCACTGCTCAAAAATGTGTGCTTTTTCGTAAACAAACATATTTAATTTAAAAAAAATATTAGAATGATTTACAACAATGCAGAAATAATAGTTATATGTTGCAAAAGGCATCTTTGTCCATGGAAAGTCATGCAACCATATGTTTAATTTTCTTCAAAAATTATTCATTTGACAACATATCAAAAATCAGAAATGTTAACCTCATTTCTATGCAGTGAAATTGGAAAAGATAAATTACAGAAAATACAGAGATGGATATGTTTATTTGAAATGATTTTACCTTATTAATTTTACAATTTTTTTATGTTTTTTTGTTTTTAATCATATTATTACGTTTTGTACTGAAAATGTAAAAACAAATAATCTGCATCAAAAAATTCCTTACGTTAAGGTTTGTGCTAAAGTTGTTCTTATGGATCAGCTGTTATCTTACAAAAATCTTGCAAAATGCTGTTCGTTTACTTTTTGCGATTTTTTCTCCAGAGAGAGAGAGAGAGAGAATGCACCTATGATAAAATGATACGGGTAGCCTTATCAACACAGCTGTACCAGCAGCTGAGATGTCAAAGCTTTTTTGGAATTCTAAATTTTGAACAATGATGAACAATTCACGCATGGTAGAATCAAGAAAATAAAGTCATGCAATATATGTTTACAATTTTTTCAAATAATATTCATTTGACAACATCTCATTGCCAAAATTTGTATTTATAAACCCATTGTACATAGACAAATCAGAGATGGGAACCTGTTGTATGCAGTAAAATGGAACAAGGGAAATTACATGAATTCATGGTAGAATTAAGAAGGTAAAGTCATGCAATCATCTGTTTACATTTTTTTAATTATTCATTTGACAACATCTCACTGCCACAAATCATATTCATAAATCCATTGTATATTCCATGTTAGAAGAATATAGGTAGTCGCATCGACACAGCTGCTGGGACAATGAACTGTCAAACCAATTTTGAATGAAAAATTATTGATATTTGTAAAAATTATTAAAAAATGTACATCATAACAACCTCCGATTGGCGTCCTATAGGAAAATATATACAAATCTGCTTAGTTTTGAAGAAACATTAAACGTTGATTCATCTACCTGTATTCTTCTACCATGGTATATTCACAAATCAGAGATGGAAACCTGTTTTCTATGTAGGTAAATTTAATAAAACGTTTATTTGTTTAAAGTACGTTTACATACAAAATCTCTACTCAGGTTAAGTCTGATAATTGACCAATCACAATAAACTTAATGTATGTTTTCATTAGTTCAATTTATTGTGATTAGTCAAGTATGGAGATTTTGTATATAAACATACTTTTAGATCAATCATGAGCTCTATTGAAATTGGTGGTAATCAATTCAAACTCAGATATAGCTCCCATATATATCTTCATCCGATTTATCGTGCTACGTTTATCTAATTGGATAGACTTTTGAATCATTAGTCCAGGTTCCGAATGGAATGATGTCTGCCAATTTTGAACCTAACAGATTCAGATATGGATATAATTTCCACACATGGTAGAAGAATATACATAGGTAGACGCGTCGACACAGCAGCTTGGACAATGAACTGTCAAACCATTTTTGGTATTGAAAATATTGAATGAAAAATTATTTAAATTTTTTAAAAAATTTTGAAAAACGCTAATTATAATGGCCTCCTAATGACGTAGTATAAGAAAGCATATAAAAATCTACTTATATTTGAAAAAACGTTTAAATTTTTTTGACATATCAATGCTCCCAATCGTTGATGCATCTACCTGTATTCTTCTGTCATGGTTCCCACATATATGAGTCATCCAATTTTATATTTGACCTTTCCTAATTGGTTGAAACTAATGTTGCGCGACTCTTGGGCAGGCGGTACTCACCGGTAACAATTCCAAAAAAAGGTTGTGGCCTATTGATTTGTAACCACGGAAGAAGAATATAGATAGCTGCTGGGACAAGAACTGTCAAACCAAATTTTGGAATTAAAAATGTTGAATGAGAAATTATTTAAATTTGTAAACATTGTTTAAAAACGTGTATTATAATAACCTCCGAATGACGTCGTATATTTGAAAATATATAAAAATCCACTTATATTTGAAAAATACATTTGAATTTTTTTTGACATATTAATGCTCTCAAGCAGTCATGCATCTACCATGTTTGTAACCTTTGAAAATATGTCTAAATACCATGATTCGGTATTACTACGAAAAGTTTTATATAAAAGACGCGTACATACCAAAAAATTGTCCATTTCAAAACATTTTTTGCCAGGAAGACTTTTATTCGCTAAACTCAATTGGAAACTTCGGGGCACAATGTAGACATGTATAAGGCAATTGCAAACCATACCACTAAAAATGTTCCAAAAAGCTTCAAGATGCCTAACACAACACGGGGACCAGTATTAACAGCATTTCTTTAAATAAATGCTATCAATATAAACTTACACAATTTAGTCTGAAATGTGTGGGGAGTACCTAATCTCTGAAAATCTCTTTATATAGGATTGTGATGAAGTTATGTATAAACTAGACTAGAGTAGAAATTGATGTTTGTCCACATTTATTTATAATCCAACAGTCAACCATTCAACGCATCACACAAATTTTTTGCAGATAGACTAATAACATTTAAATAATTCACCATGAAAGGTATATCTTTTATTACCGATTTATTTAGGAATATTGCATATATATTGTTGTTCTTGTTTTTTCTTCTTTTGTATCAAATAAACGCATTTATAACATGGAATGGAACAAAAATGAAGCATTTTATACACAATGCTAAAGGAAGAGAGTAAAAAAGAAAAACAAAAGATATTTAATATTTATAATGGTTATTTAGAAAATAAATGAAAAACCCTTTACTCCAGCGAAAGATATTATATATAACTAAGAACATATTGTTTCTGGTTTGTTTCAACTACATACATACACATATTAACATAAATATGAGGCTAAACGTTAGGCAAAATAAAAATTGATCTTCCTTTTTGATGGTTTCTCTGATATAGCAAAAATCATATTGGATGGCTTTTGCAAAGCAATATTTTTGAGAAGCATGGATATGACTGTTATAAGAACGGGTGTTTTTTCTTATTTCAGTATTTATAACGATACATAGCCACACCGGCGACACCAATCAATATGGAGCCCATCAGATAGCCCAATAGTTTCAGCTGTAAATTAAAGAAATTCATTTTGTATAAGGATTTAAGTTATTTATATGTGTTAAGTATACCTTCGAGCTTTCAACTGTTTGTTGCTTTTGTGGTTGCTTGTTTTTCTGTTCCAATTTATTTGCCTGACCCAACATTTTCTGATACATTTTCTTTTCATTGTGTTCTTCACGTCTTGCCTTAATGATTAGTTTGGCCAAATCCTACAATGAAGAACGGAGGGAAAGAGATATATTAAATTGCAAAATAAAAAAAATAACATATTGATCAAAATACATAAAAATTTTGAAATTTTAATCTTGATTAGAATTAATTCAATCGCAGCGACGGAACTATTTGGTACCACTTTAAGTCATGTGTATTTTCATTGAAGGGATCAACATTTTTGGGCATTAAACAAAAAAAATTGAAAGTTATCCATCAAATATTTTAAAGATTTAAAAAATATATACTACAACAGGAGAAACATAAATTGGTCTTCTATTCATATAAGAACTTAAAAAGATATGTTACATGGACGTCCTTAAAGGGCCTTCTGATTGTAGGCAATCTTAAGGTTTTGCCTTATTAAAGAAGGACTGCAAAATCGATATCTATCTATCTATATAAGTTTTAAGAATGCCTTGCCCTCATTGAAGACCTTAAAAAGTTGTTCCATCTATAAGAGCCCAAGAGGCTCTTGTATATATACTCCCAGTTATAATTTAGAGTTTTTTAAGTTTATTAAAAATGAAGTTCAAATAGTCTTCTAATAAAAATCAAATAGTCTTCTAATTACTGATATTAAAATAAGCTTTTAAAGACCATTAAAAGTCTAAAGGTGCACATACATAAAATGCTTTTTTACTGACATAGGTCTTCGGCTAGTTCTACGTAAAAGACCGAAGAAGTTTTAGGTTGGCAGAGCTCAATTTCGGCTCATAATTTATACTTGTTCGCCTTACGTCCCCTTGTTCTTTATGGAAAATGCGGCCGATGACTTAAAAAACATGTATGTATCCGCACCTTTAATTCTTTAAGACTTTAAATAGTCGTCTCGCTATACAAGTTCTTTGGGTAGACCTTAGCCAAAAATGTCAATTTTTGACAAAAATTGTTACCTGTTGTACGGTTCTGTTTTCGGGTTCCAATGTAGCTGCCTTCTGTAGTAATGATATGGCTCCTTTTGTATCACCTTTGCCCTCTAAAATCTAAAAGTTAAAAAAAAAATTAATAAAAACAAATTTCGCCTAAGGATTTCCACCGACTTACTCTTCCTTTTCGGTACAAAGCCTTTGAATTATTTGGCTGACAGCGTAGAACATGTTCAACTGATTGTAAAGCCGCATCAAAAGCAGATATCTTGATTTGTGCCATAGCCAAATTATTATAGACTATCAAACGATCATCCAATAGAGATTGCAATTCATTGTTGCTCAGCTAGAAAAATGGATTGAGTGATTAACAATTTCTTGAATCAGTTTTCTAATTAACATACTTCAATGTCCTCCTTGTCGAATTCATTGTCAGGATCACCATCTCTGTTGTCCAAATATTCTAGGGCACGTCTATATAATTGTATGGCAGTATTGTATTCACTGCGATTATACCAGAAATTGGCACGCTCCTTTTTACGTGTTCTAGAAAAGTAAAAACCAATTATGAAAATTGTATCGAACCCAAGTAGAGGAGCACATTTCAATTCGACATCTCCTAATGTGAAATACTGTAAGTAGCAGTTCTTAATAGCAAAGTATCCTAAGAGCATGAAAATTAAGATATCATAGCTCTCATTGATTCATAAGGAAACTCCACATGTTCAAAATGATCCTAATTTAAAAACACTGAAGCGTTGTCAAGTACTGCTACTACTTCTTAGTAAATAAGTAACTAGAATTCCACACGTTAAAATCTTTATAAAACGGCTTTTGTGAGAAGGCGAGGTTCAATGAGATCTTCCTATTCCTCACCCTTCTTATACTTAAAATCAGAATTTTTTCATTAAAGATCTAACGTGGGGCTTCACATATTAGTTATTTGTTACCCATATTGCTTGCGAATTTCATAGGCTTTCAAATCCGAGTAGTCTTCATATTTTGTATCTAATAAATGCACTTCATAGGTAAGCTACAAATAAAAAATTATAAATGAAGTAAAATAAAAAGTATAAAAATGTATAACACTACCTTAGAATCTGGGGGAATGTTCAGTTCAGGGTCAGCATCATTTTTCAAACCCAATGAACCGTAGGCAAAACGTGGATCGACCTTTACTTCAGCAACTTCACCCACATTCATCAGAGGTACGACCATATCCAAGCCTTGGATAACCTATATATAAATGTAATATTATAACAATTACCTTCATTTAAAATATGTAAACATTTTTGCTATTTACCTCAAAGTCACCAACATGCACTTGAAAGTTTTCCTGCTTCTCCACCACTCTGCCATCGTCCAATTTGCCAGTAAAGTTCAAAGTAACTTTGTCACCCCTTTGTGGTCGTTTGTTAACTTTGGACTTTTTCAAAACTCGTTTCACCAGCTGACCATTGCCCAAAACATCACAAACATCTTCCCCCTCGGCATCGTCATCTGTCTTTGTCTCTGCATCAGCTGCTACCTCGCTATCGTTACCAGCAGCAACTTTGGCAGCCTGTCTTTCTTTGTCTAACAATGCCTCCGAGGCAGCTTTCATATCGGCCTTGTCGGCTTCATTTAAATTGGAAAGATCTTCGAAAGAGCTATTGCTGGATTTCTCTGCGTCCATTTTGATGACAAAGCGTTTTTTTATCGTTTCTTGAATGATAAAAACAAAAATAAATTTCAACTCGAATGGAAACGGGGAAAAGGTCAAACAATGAACTCGAAATGAGGCAACACACCGCACACTTACATATACAAGAACAGAAATACAAAAAGGAGATGTTAGAATCTCTATTGCTAGGGTTTTGCATAAAATTATGGACAGAAAAGAGAGAGTTTTAACTTCCAAAAGATCCTTCCCCGAAATGCAAATATTTTTCTTCCAGAAATAAAGGAACTAGAGCTGTGTCGTTCCGGAACAAAATGGCAGTTCAAACTAACTATTCAGTGAAAGGAACTATCGGAATAATATCCAGATCTTTCGGTCGTCTAGTTCCGCTGGTCCATTTAGTTCGGGCAAATAACTTACATTTGATGAACCCATGGTAAAATAAATTCAAGCTAGGACTGTAATACCATACGATTTAATTTGTTTTTATTTTTTGCTTATGTGTGTATTCTTTTCAATAATAAAAAAATTGTTTAGAAAATATTCAAATTCGGTTCTTTTCAAAATGCTTACTGGAACGTATACATCGACAAAATCTGCAGTTTTTGTGGCGAAATAAACCTTTAGAAATATATAGAACATGATTTTGAAAAGAAATGTTGACCATTCATTCAGTTTTCGCGGTTTTAAATTATTTATTCAAAATCAAGGCCCATTTATTATGTCATGTAAAGGGTGAATTATCTTATTATTGTTTTACTCCTTCGAACTGTCAAAATTTTTCTGAAGCAAATAATCCATGGTAGAAGAATATACATAGGTAGACGCGTCGACACAGGTGCTGGGACAATGAACTGTCAAACCAATTTTGGAATTGAAAATGTTGAATGAAAAATTATTTAAATTTGTAAAAATTGTTGAAAAACGCGAATTATAATAGCCTCCGTATGACGTAGTATAGGAAAACATATAAAACTCCACTTATATTTGAAAAAACATTTAAATTTTTCAACATCAACGCTTGGGAGCATTGATGCATCTACCTGTATCATGGTAGAAGAATATAGGTAGACGCGTCGACACAGCTGCTGGGACAATGAACTGTCAAACCAATTTTGGAATTGAAAATGTTGAATGAAAAATTATTTAAATTTGTAAAAATTTTTGAAAAACGCGAAATATAGTAGCCTCCGAATGACGTAGTATAAGAAAACATATAAAAATCTACTTATATTTGAAAAAAACATTTAATTTTTTTGACATATCAATGCTCCCATGCGTTGATGCATCTACCTGTATTCTTCTGCCATGACCTGTATTCTTCTGCCATGGAATAATCGAACATGGTAGAAGAATACAGGTAGTCGCATCGACACAGCTGCTGGGACAATGAACTGTCAACCCGATTTTGATATTGAGAATCGTGAATGAAAAACTATTGAAAATTTTGAAAAATTGTTGGAAAATACATATCAGTACAACCTCCGATTTGCGTCGTATAAGAAAACATATAAAAATCGACTTATTTTTGACAAAGCACTTAAAAATGTTGACATATCAATGCTCCCACGCGTTGATGCATCTACATATATTCTTCTACCATGATATCGCCTTTGGGTTTTTTTCTCAAGGACTCAAGAGAGAAATGTTGAAAGTTCTTTCACTGAGAGTTTGAAAATTCTTTGCTGGAAATATATTTTCTTGCAATAATTTGCAACACTTTTTTTCTCATTCCCGTGATGTATGTTTGGGTAAGCAAATTTAATATATCTTTATTATAAAAAACCTAATTGTTTTGTTTTCAGGTCATTTTTAATTTGCGGTGCTTCATTTCTTTTTATAGCTGACAAATCAACAAATCAAACTGCTTGACAACTCCTGCAGGAAAAATAAACAGACAGTATAATGACAGCTTGTCATTTTTTCGGTGAATTCCAAATATAAACAAATGCATTTTAACAGAATTGATAGAATCGGACGGCCTATTTAATCGGCCTTGTTCAAAATGAGCGCAACAAGTTGTTTGGTTTTTTTATTGTTTTGATAGTAATTCTGACATTACAAGCCAAGCAGGTAGACCTCCATACTTACATTTTTTCAAAGTTAGCCTACCTTGTCTTCATTGTACCATGGGTTCATCCAATCAAAAAATCAAACAATGTGTTGATTTGATTTTAAATAAATAATTGAAAACCTCGAAAATTGAATGAACGGCCAACATTTATTTTCAGACTCATGTTGTATATATCTCTAAAGGCTTATTTCGCTACAAAAACTATAGATTTGGTAGATGCATACGTTGCATGTTGAAAACACACGAATTTGTATATTTACTGAACATTTTTTATTATTGAAAAGAATACACACATAAATACAAATAAAGTTGACATTAGGCCAAGAAAATAAAAAAATTAAAATCGTATGGCAACATAGTCCTACCCATGGTACAATAAAAAGGTAAGGTAGAGCTAACAGCTGATTACAGTTTTTTTCTAAGTGTGCCCGACTTCTGCCAATTTTGTGTATGTATTTATTGTTTTGAAAAATGAAGAAAAAAATATTTTCACAACCAATGATTGGAACACATGAATTGCGGCTCGCGCATTAAAGCTATTAGTCAGTATAGCCATGAAATGAAAGATTGAACAGTTTGGATCATAATTTTTTAGAGAAAATCCAAGCTTTTCAATAAATTTTTGCGCTATTTAACTCATTTTAAAAATAATGAGGGAAAATATGAAAAAATGATAACAACAACAATTTTGAAAGAGTCTGACAGAAAGCGGACATAGCCTTAAGGTGGGAATACATAAAGGGCTTATCTGGCTGGCTTAAGCTGGGAATATATAAAGCGCTTATTTGGCTGGCTTAAGTCATCGGCTGGCTTCTTCGGAAATGAACAAAGGAGCCTAGGGCCAAAATCGAACTAGGTCAACCTAAAACTCCTTTGTTCATTTACGAAGAAGCCAGCCGATGACTTAAGCCAGCCAAATATGCGCTTTATGTATTTCCAGCCTTAAGTCATCGGCTGGCTTCTTCGGAAATGAACAAAGGAGCTTAGGGCCAAAATCGAACTAAGTCAACCTAAAACTCCTTTGTTCATCTACGAAGAAGCCGGCCGATGACTTAATCCACCCAAATATGCTCTTTATGTATTTCCAGCCTTATAGTACGTTTATATATATGAGGGTTAACCCGCTGGATTTGGATTTAAATTGTCATATCCATTACTTTTACTTCAAATAAATCCTCTCAAAGTAGGTTAACCCTACAAAAAGTTCTAACGTAAACATGGCATTAGGGCTGTACTTCTGTAGTTTTACCAAGCTATTCTACCTCCTTATTGTACCATGGGGTCTACGATCCTCCTCAGTTGATTTCATGGTAGAAGAATATATAGCTGCTGGGACAATGAACTGTCAAACCAATTTTGGAATTGAAAATGTTGCATGAAAAATAATTTAAAATTTTAAAAATGTTTGAAAAACGCGAATCCCATTGACCTCCAAATGGCGTCGTATAAGAAAAGATGTAAAAATCAATTAAAAAAAAAAACAATAATATTTTTTGACATGTCAATGTTTCCGAGCGTTAGTGCATCTTACTGTATTCTTCTACCAGGGTTGATTTAAGTTGAGAACACATACAACAAGTCATGCAATCATATATCTACATTTTTTTAATAATTCATTTGACAACATTTCATTGTCAAAATGATAATTTACAAATCCATCGTATATTCACAAATCAGAAATGGGAACCTGTTTTCTACACGTTGAAATTTGACAAAGTAAGTTACAGAAAATACAGGATGGATATGCTTATTTGAAATTACTTAACCTTCTTCATTCTACCATGGGTACAATAAAAGGTAAGGTAGAGCTACCACTTGATTACAGTTTGTCCATATTCTTCCAATTTTGTATATGTACATTTCGGCAATAGAATATGTCAAATAAATAATTTTGAAAAAAATGAAACATATGAATGATGATATGAAGCATATTGGTGCATGACTTTACCGTATTAATTCTATCACCGTATTGTGGTACTTTTTTATTATCTAACGAATCAACTGTAAAGGAACTGCAGGACAAGTAAAAAGCAGTACACACACATAATAAGTCCTATGGATGCCTAGTTCCATTTCCTTTAAATATGCATGGTAAAAGTAAGGTAAAGTCATTTTAAATAAGTATTCCCATCTCAGCATTCTCTGTAATTTACCTTGTCAAATTTCCCTGCAAAAAAAACTAGGTTTCCATCTCTAATTTGTGTATTTAAAAGTGAATTTATAGATGAATAAATAAAAAAATATATAAATGTATTTATAAAAAGACAAACTAATTTTACTTCCGCATTCTACAATTTATTTAAATGCTATGAAAAATAACGCATTTCTCATTTGACAATTACTTACCGAAATCGCATGCAACTCTGCACAATTCTTCTGTGTAAACACGGCCATTATTGTAGTCTACTACAATAAATTGCTAGAATGGTGCTGGAATTTTTAGCATGCATAATGGCGACGATTTCTTTTTGACAGTTGACTCTACTTTTGGCGCACGTGTTTTCTCACGCACCGTCCTCAAAAAATCAATTAAAATGTAATAAAATCTGTGAAATATTCATGAAAAATGTGCAATTTTGTAATAATTTCATTGTTGTGTTGTAGATGAATGCCGAAAAATTGAAGAAATTGCAAGCGCAAGTGCGTATCGGTGGTAAGGGTACTCCTCGTCGCAAGAAGAAGATTGTTCACTCCACCCCCGCTACAGATGACAAGAAATTGCAATCTTCGTTGAAGAAATTATCGGTCAACACCATCCCCGGCATTGAGGAAGTCAACATCATCAAGAACGATGGTACCGTCATCCATTTCAACAATCCCAAGGCACAGGCTTCATTGCCCACCAACACCTTTGCCATTACCGGTCATGGTGAAAACAAATCGATTTCGGAAATGTTGCCAGGTATTTTAACACAATTGGGTCCCCAAGATATTACACAGTTGAAAAAGATCGCCAGCGAATTGGCTAACAAGAGTGGTGCTGCTGCGGGAGCTGCCGCCGCCGGTGCTGCTGCGGCAGCCAATGCTGGTGATGATGATGTGCCCGATTTGGTAGAAAACTTTGAAGAAGTCGCCATTGGTGGTGCTGCTGCTGCCAAGCCTGCTGAAACTTCAGAAGCTGCCAAAAAGCCCGAAGAAGTACCAGTAGCTTAAGAACAACAAAAACAAAAAAACACATGATAACAAAAATAACCGGCGCAGAGGTTACCTTTTGTACTAGAAGGGTAGTTTAAAGGGATGATAAACAATACCATTATTTTTACTATAATTATTAAAGAAACACACATTTTTTTATTAACTTTCATCATCCGTTTACTTGGAAATCATACAAGAAGGAAGCATACACAATTATTAGTGTTGGAAGTTGTATAAAAAAAGAGAAGACAAATATTGGCAAAAGGGGGGTTTTCAATCCAGTGGAGGAGAAGGAGGATAATTGTCTTACACTACTCTGCTGAGGCGAAAACAAAACAAACACAAAAATCATCAGTTTTTGGGCAACGTAGTAAGCAAGTTTTACTATTATTTTATTTTAAACTTAACTATATATGCTTATAAATAGTAAGAAATATTTGTTAAAACAAACAAGTGTAGTACACAACAATAATATGATACAAAATTGTTTACTATTAAAATACGGACATCTTTTGAAAAGTATGTCTTGGAAAAACCACAACCCAAATATGTTTAACCCACTCGTCAGAAATTATCATATAACATCACCATGATACACTGGGTATCACCCCCCCAAAAACAACCATACATGCATCCATCCATCCTTGAATTAAAATACGAAAATGCAATTCACTGCTTCTCGGGAAATTTCATTTCAAGAAGATACTGGTTCTTCACTTGCATGATTTTCAGTAGAAAGATTCCACATTTTATACTACAATATGTTGATATATAGACAAAACTATAAACAATACTATGGCACTCCATTTAAAAACATTGCCAGTTTGAGGAGACGGTTTCCGTTTTTTATTAAATTACATTATTTGTTTTTAGAAATTATGTATAAGTGGTGTATAATCTTAACACATTCAGTAGAAACATGAAACTATGCTTATGTAATGTAAAACCCTTGAGAAACATTGAATACTTTTGACCATAGTCCACCATTATCACCACTAGTAATTTCTCGATTGAAACCTATCCAAATGTTCCTCATGACAAAACTTCTAACTTTGCCTACTTCTAACTTGTTTTGGTCCTTTTTGAATCGCTTTCTTCTTCTGCCCTGAATCCAAAAGTTGTTCTTTTTAATCAAAAACCATATTCTTGAAAAACAAGCTCTAAATTTATTTTGAAAATCTTTAACCAAAACTGTTGAAACAACGTAATGTTCTAAGTTTTTTTTTTTTTTTAATTTAAAACTATAAATTTAGCAAACATTACAAAATAATATAAAAGAAAGTAAAACAAAAATAAAGATAAACCTTTGAAACAAAAAAAAAAAAAAAAAAAAACAAACCTCAAGTGATTAGACTAATTAAGGTGGTATTATATTTTCTTATTTAGTTGTTTGTAACCAAAGTTCATAGGAGAAATGCTACGATATCTAACCACAAAATACTGCTTGGCACATTTTTCTCATGACAAGCACATGGAAGCAGTTTTTTCTTTAAATTTTTGGAAAATCTATATTTAGCCCGTCGTTAGGCAGCAGTATTGAATATTGAACACACAACAAACCAACCCCCTCCCCCACCTAGTTGCGAGTCCACATTTTATCAATGCCGGTTGGGGGCATTGATTGATACAATTCTCACGAGTGAATGCGTTTTTTATGTGAGGTTACTGTCCAAAAAATGAATCTAACCTTGAACCCATGCACATTGGTTTTCAAGTCAGAAGACCCCCACAAGTAAATCATAAGTTCGAGTTGAATAGAATTTTCAAAATGACTCATCCACAACCATAGAGTATCCCTCACCATTCGGTGTTTATAATCATATCAAAACAACATTCGAGTGGTAGATATGTATATTTTTGCTGCTGATTTGATAAGGGATTCACAGGTCGACTTTCGTTTAATGAATATTTGCGCAAACATCCCAGTAGAGAAAAAACAATTTATCTCTCTTTCAAAGGGGTGTTGATTCTAAGTGTCATCCATATGGTGCTAATGCAGAGTGTGCAAGAGTCTAAAAGCTTTATCTTCTTTACAAATATTTACCAGAAAAGTGATCGATTTTCAAAGTACACAAACCAAAATAGGTTCTCTGAAATTTATTCTATATTATGTCTAGGATTATTGGTAGTGAAAACAGGCGATACCGGTCCAACATTGGTTATGTCTCTCCATCACAATATCCAACAGCATTTAAGTTTCTTATAAGGAAACAATGTTGACATAACAAATAAATTATTTCTTGTAAAAACCCTAAACGCATAAAAACGTTTTGTTTATTTGGGGTTAAAAACTGAAATAAATATAACTCCAAAAATATTCAGTATTAGTACAGGTTTAGTCATACATTTTAATGCACTTTTTAACCAATATTGTGTATACTTTAAGTTCTTCAGATGGTGGAGAGCAAAAAGAGTTTGTTCAATGAGGGATATTATATTTCGTAACAGGAATAGAATAAAGTTCTCATTTGCACTCCATTCCTTAAATTTCGACACCGCTATGATGTTCCGCAGCGTTGCTGCTAACCGGAATTGGCATACTGAAAAACATTCCAAATATAAGTAGTTTATACCTAATTTCCGATCATTAGATTCTTCAATGTGAACGATCCCCGTTGATATGAAACCAGTATGTTCCAGACAGCAATGTCCACAAATTTTGGTCAATCCCACGGCAGCGGGTTCTACGATACCGGATTGACCCGAAACAACAAGATTCCAGTTTCGGCCAGCGGCTGCCAACCCAGTATGTACATGTTTGTGTTTGTTTATTTTTCTGCATTGGGAGCAGCATATCCCGGAATGCCTGCTCCGGATTTTATTGGTCCGTGCCGGGATTGAGGAAAACCCCGGACCTTGGTTCTGCTCGGTTTGTCAGAACGTCATCCACCACAGATCTGTCTCGGTGCGATGTAATGGATGCAGAGAGTGGGTGCACTTCAAGAACTGTTCCGGATTAAGGCGTTTGCGAGACTACAGCGAAAGGGATTATGTTGCGACTTGCTGCAGTAACGTAGTCCCCAGCGAGTCCTCTTCTTCGTCGTCCTCGTCAGAGACGTCGTCGGAGTATGGCACTCCACCGCAGTCTCCAGAACAGCAACCAACACCGCAGCACCTAACGCCACATGTTGCTGTTCCAACTCCGGATTGTGCATCTTTCTTGCAATTCAATTGCAACGGACTTCGAGGCAAAATAGATGAGATAGTGGAATTTATGAGTCGGAGGAATATTAAGATCGCAGCGGTGCAGGAAACCAAGCTGAATGAAAATTGCAGCCTACAACGTTGTTATGGTTACAACGTACTAAGGAAGGATCGCACCAGAAGTGGAGGTGGGGGATTAGCGTTCCTGTTACACCATTCTGTTCAGTACAGACCTATCTCGCTTGAGCTAGTCTCTAGTGACTCATACATGGAATGTATGGGGGTAGCAGTCAAGTGTGGAACTGCCGAGGTAGAGGTGCTTAATGTGTATATCCCGCCGATTAATAGCTGTGAACCGCGTTATTTGCCTGATATTAGCCCATTATTGGTAGGCAATAACCGCCTGGTACTAGGGGATTTTAATGCCCACCATGAGTTGTGGCATTCCGTCCTAGGTAATGACCAGAGGGGATCAGCGCTGGCAGAGCAGATTGACTGCTCCACATTCTGCACGGTTAACGAGGATGCCCCCACCCGAATAAGAGGAGAGTGTCACAGTTCGCCAGATTTAACCATAGTGTCACCCGGTCTGATAAATGACGTGACTTGGCAACCCGTCATTTCTCTTGGCTCAGACCATCTCCCGATAATCGTCTCCATAAGCAGGTCGCCCGATTTCATAACCTCTGAACGCCGCACTTTCCTTAACCATGGGAAAGCTCACTGGCCAGAGTTCAGAGAATTCACCAACCGCCGCTTCAGAGAACTGCCCAACCCTTCTGATGTTCGGGTAGCAGAAAGGATTTTCCGAAACATCATCAGAGCTGAGCGTATCAGATCTCTTCCCGCCGAGGAGGAACCACCACAGTTTACGATGGGTGATGTTGCAAATGTCATCCGTAACGCTAAGTCATCCAAAGCGTTGGGCCCGGACGGAATCTCAATGGTAATGTTGAAGCAGCTGGATACGCCGGGAGTCGAGTACTTAACGAAAGTTCTCAATTTGTCGCTAGCCACCCACATAGTGCCCGAAACCTGGAAAATGGGCCGGGTGGTCCCGCTACTGAAGCCAGGCAAGGATGCCAGTAAAGGCGAATCGTACAGGCCGATTTCGCTTTTGTCGCCAGTAGCAAAGACTCTTGAGGCTTTACTCCTCCCCAGCATTAGAGGAAGCTATGCAGTTGCCAACCACCAGCATGGATTCCGTCCACAACATAGTACCACAACAGCATTACACGCCATTTCCACACATATTAGTAGAGGACTAAACCAGAACAGGCCGTGTGACAGAACAGTGTTGGTAGCCCTTGACCTATCAAAGGCATTTGATACGGTCAATCATGCCACACTGTTTGAGGACGTACAGAGAACTACCCTCCGGCCAAGTTTAAAACGTTGGATAATTAACTATATGTGTGGACGCCAGTCGTACGTGGAATTCCGGAACAAGAAGTCCAAAGCCCGTAGAGTGAAACAGGGAGTTCCCCAAGGCGGGGTGATATCTCCGGAACTGTTTAACCTCTACCTTTCCGGAATTCCTCGCCCTCCAGACGGCATTGAGATCGTTACGTATGCGGATGATTGTACGATCATGGCGTCGGGTCCAGTGGTCGATGACATATGCGAAAGGTTGAACCCCTATCTCGCGGAGCTTGCCGCATACTTCCACGCGAGGAATATGAAAATATCCGCCACGAAATCAACGGCCACACTCTTTACCACATGGTCTGCGGAGATGAGAACACAGCTGAATGTTCAGGTCGAGGGGAATTTAATACCGACCACGAACTACCCCAAGATTCTTGGGGTAACGTTCGACAGCATGTTCAAGTCGTCCGCGCAAGCCACAGCTATCTGCGATAAGATGAAAAGTAGGAACAAGGTCCTCAAGGCGCTAGCCGGCAGCTCTTGGGGTGCGGACAAAGAAACCTTGTTGACCTCTTATAACGCGATAGGTCGGTCTGTGGTCAACTATGCGGCTCCAGTGTGGTCTGCGAATACTAGTGCTACGCAGTGGAAGAATATCCAGACCTGCCAGAACGCTGCCCTGAGAACTGCGACAGGGTGCCTCCTCATGACACCAGTGGACCATCTACATGAGGAGGCGAAAGTCCTTCCCTTACGTCAGCATAATCATATGCTTTCGTTGCAGTACCTGCTTGGGTGTTACCGTGAGAGCCATCCCAACCATCATATGGTGGATAACTCTCCCCCACCCAGGCGTGTCAGGAAGGACATACATGATCTAGAGAGGGAGGTCCAGCGCTACAAGAGAGAGCCTCTAGATCAAGAAGCCTATCAGGCAGGTCTGAGTGGCATTCACACCGATGCAGTCGCGGATGCTATTAGCAGTTATAAAGTGAATGCCGTCCTCGGAGTCCACCCCCCATCCATTGCAGCCGAAGAACGTCAGCTGCCTAGACAAACCAGGGTAGTTTTGGCGCAATTACGTTCAGGATGGTGTAGTCGCCTCAATTCGTATTGGGCACGAATTGATGAAGATGTGCGTGACGCCTGCCCGGCGTGTGATACAGGCCCGCACAATACGCTACACCTTTTTAATTGCTCAGCCAAACCTACCCAACTCACTCCAGAGGATCTCTGGCTACAGCCCGTTAAAGTAGCCGAATTTCTAAACCTGGAGCTGGAACCAGATTAGCAGAACACAAACACACACATGTACTACTGCTACAACAACAACAACAAATTTTGGTTAAATTTATTCTTGAAACTAATTTAATTTATTCTTGAACGGGGCCACGGAAGCCATGCAAACTTCGATATCATTTACCTACATTTGTGCGTTCTGTGGTGGTTTTGGAAATTCAAAATAAAATATAACAAGTAAAAAAGCAGAATAGCTAACTTAGCGCCATCTATAATTCAGTATTGCCATACTACATCTTCGATTTGCAGAGCCCTACCCAGTGAGTCAAATAACCGTTTTTCTTCCAACACAAATGTCACCTCGACTCTGGGTAGTCGACTTACGTGTCCCTAGCATCGACGTCAAACAAAATTATATTTTGTCTACAAAAAAATATATATTAAGAAAAATAATATACAAAAATCTGTGGATTTATTTCCTGTGTTCTTCATCCACTGTATAACCCCTGCGCGTACGGAATTTTATCGTAATCGGTTAAACAATAACGTAAATATCCTGGTAAAAAGTTAAAAATTTTTTGCTCCGTAAAAAGGTAATTTTGTGTGCCGTTGCATCGTTTATCCCCCTTTCAAATGAGTTGCATCCCCCTCCTTTCGTAAACAGGTCATAACATAACATTTGGTCTCTGCAGCAGTTCCCCTTTCACTTTCTTCTTCGTGCTTTGTCATTGTTTTTGCGCTTATGTGTAGATTTGAGTTTATGTACGTAACGACTCGACACTTGCCCAGTTGGCCGAATTGTCAGCGGATTGTGATGGTAATAAAAGTGCGCCAAAATTATTTAAAAGACATGTACCTATGAGAGGTATTAATTAAAGGAGATGCAGTTCAGTTTTCTGTGGATTAGATTTCCTATGTACAGTGAAATGACACATTGCCCTTTTGGCTATATTTTCAAAAAATCTAACGGTTGTGAAATTATTGAAAAAATATATTTTGAATTAGACCTTCTATGATGTATTAAATATTTTTGCAATGTCCATTATTTAAAGTTATATTTGGAAATTGTTCACCTTAATCTAACCAGCACCCATATATATTGTTAATTTAATATCATTGTATCACAGATCTGTATTTTACATATCTTTCGTTTTTCAACAAAATGGTCTACTGGGTTATTGGTCATGTTCACTCTCTTCCTATATTTTGTTTTTTTTTTTTTTTCTGGGAATACTATAATTGTTTTTGTTTTCTTGTTTTGTTAATCGGTCTTCTTTTGTTGGATTTTCGCATTTTATGCTTTCTTGTCTTTCATTTGCTATTTTTCGTCAATAATGGAATATTAAACATTTGTTTATATGTACCTTCCTATTTCATAACATTGTCGAATTTTATTTTTGTTTTTGGAAACCCCCGTAAGTGTTGCGCGTCAAGAGTGGACATTGGAGATTCTCAAACAATCAAAATACAGACTCAACACTTTATCACCCACCCAAACCAAACAACAACAAAAAATTGGAAAAAAAGAAAAGAACTGATGATGTATGTACTAATGTACAAACAGAAATAAAGTACATATCTATCTACTGCTTGATTGTATGTATATACATACTTACACCTATCTAAATATATAACCACATATCGAACAAATCGACTAGACGTGGCATTTAATGCTACTGCTGCTTGTCTGTAATTGATGCAGAAAGTAAACGTCTCCCGCTTTGCTGTTGAAAAGTAAAAGGTGTAAACAGGTTAAATTGTGAACATAAAGCGCACTAGAGGCATCAAGAACAGCTGCATGGGCAGTTTATTAAACGTGTTGCTTCAAATTAAGGTTGATTAGTTGTAACTCTTAATTCCATTAAAGAAATCAATAGCTCCTGTGTTTGAGAAAATTATGATAATAGAAGCGAACTTAATTTAAACGTGTGTGTGCATTAACTGTTAAGGCTTTCAATAACTGCAATGGCAGCCACTTTGCTTTGACACCTTTGATCCATGGTTTTCTTGCTGCATACCCAGGAGTGTTTCAATGGTTTTTTTTTAATAAGAGGTGTTATTTCGTTTTATTTTTGACTGGGATTTTTATCCCCTAATGGATATAAAAGTGGGAAGGGGTATTATCTGGCCAAAAGTTCTGAATTTTGGTACATCAGAACGAATTCAGTATAGAACCAGGTACGTCAAATTTGGTGAAAATCGGTTCAGATATAGCTGTAGCTCCCATATACAGAGTGAGATAAAAAACTGCAAAAAGGTCAAACGCAATAATTTTTACATTTTTTTTTTCAATTTTATTGAATGAAAGCAAAAAAATGTCGGAAATAGCAAGTTTAGAATAAGTTTAGATTTGTTCGAAATGGTCACCTTTGGCCCGAATTATGGCCTTCAAACGGTCAATGAAACCGTCACACGCTGCCCGAATGTTGCTCTGCGGTATTTGGGCCCATTCCCGGCGAAGCGCTTGATTGAGTAGATTGACACTTTGATATTTTTTAGTGCCGACCTTGCTTTCAAAAATATTCCAGACACAATAGTCCAACGGATTGATATCCGGAGATTTTGGTGGTCATTGTGCGCTGGAAATGAAGCGAGGAACCTCATTTTGTAACCATTCTTGGGTGGCGCGTGCTGAGTGCGATGGTGCTGAGTCCTGTTGGAATGTCCAAGGTCTGCGGCCAATATGTTTGCGTGCCCCAGGCTTTAATTCAACCTCCAGAATATTTTCGCAATAATATTCGACATTTGTTGTGATGCCACGGTCGATTAATACGAGCGGAGAGCGACCATCGGCTGTTATGGCGGCCCACACCATCACCATGGTCGGCGCTTGAGTTCTGGTGGCCAACCGAAGGTGCACATTTTCCGCTGACCTCTTTGGCAAGTAAACACGTTTGTTAACAAACTGCTGGACAACGAATATTTTCTCATCGGAGAAAACCAAATTCGGCAGTTCACCACTTATCGCCGAGCGAAGCAACTCTTGGGCTCTGTTGGGTCTATTATCTTTTTGTTGCGGTGTAAGTTCTTGCACCTTTTGGAATTACAATGGTTTTACCCCGAGCTCATTTTTCAATATTTACCGAATGGAATATTCCGATATGTTCAGCTCACGAGCCATTTTTCAGTCACTGCGACGCGGGTTTCGATCAAGTCGTTTCTTTACTTTTCGAACTATTTCTGCTGATGTTGCTGTTTTATTCCGTCCACTTCCTTGACGTCGGGCTACGCTAGCAGTATCACGGTAACGAGCGATGGTACGAGGCACAAAAGATTTATTCGCTTTAATGCTGCAGTGCTCTAAAGATAGTCACTTTTGGTTTTCCAGCCAAATATAAAGAAGTCACACTATCACGCATGAATTCCATCACGAATAACTTCTTTTCTGGAAAATTCGCACCAAAATGCAGGGAATAAATAAATATTACGAGTGGCGCGCCTCTGTGGTTTTGTAATCCGATTTGTAATGGAGATTTTTGCTGAGCAATTTAATTATTAATTTTTATAAAAAAAAAAACGTTTATTTATTACTGGAGAAAGATGGTAATGTTTACCAGGGGGTAAGGCAGGGAATACCTAGGTTTCTGGAAGAGCCATAAATCCTTATCAGTTCCTTGGGGAGAATATCCCAGACAAAAAGCAATTGAACTGATGAGGAATGGTGTTTTTTTTTTTTCAAAAACCTAGGTATTCCCTACCTTATCCCTTGGTAAGCATTACCATCTTTCTCCACTAATTAATAAGCATAGTTTTTATAAAAACAACAATAATTGGATTAAGCCTAACTATTTCGCAACATCAAAATACTGCTGTATCCCGAACAAACATGCCAGCACTATTCTATATTTAGAAATTTTAATCAGCTATCTAAAATTTATTCTTTCTTTATTCGCCACAATCACAACAAAATGCCCTTAACTAGTCGATCAAGTCCCAATTAATTCGATATTTCAAATGACTTTTTAGCAATCGTTTTTGTTTATCAATAACTTACAATCCGCCTCTCTTCCGGTTGCTAAAAGAAAGCAATAACAATATGTGTTGTGGGAAACCCCACACGTATTTACTGTCGTATTTTAGAAAAAAAAAAATACCGACGAGCTAAACTTATTTTTAAGAAGCACTCACACAGCATACCCCACACACGACTTCATTCTACTAACCGCACAAAATTCTCTCTGCTTGCAACATTGAAGAAGCTATTGCATCATGCTTTAATGCAAAATTGATTTCACCACATTACATGTCACTATGCTGGCGCTCAGGCAACAAGCATATAAAAGGTAGCTTTAGCCTCAACAACACTTTCAGTTCACCAACAATGACCAACCAAACAACAATAACCGCAAAGCGTCTTCTTAAATATCTCCACAAAATAAAACTGAAATAAGTATTGTTTTATTTGATTACAGTTGTTTTTTGAAAAAAAAAACCGACACAAGGTCTACCAAAGCTTTATCTCTGTATGGTGCAAATGGCAAATAACGGATCCTGGGTTTAAAGGAAGGAAATGTTTGACAGTGCCCAGCAAGATCAAAAATTTTTTCGACGAAAGTAAAGAAAAGCGCCCGAGTGCAGTGAACCCTTTTGTAAAGCCAAGCGAAAATCACTCACAACAATAGAGATAGCGAGGAGAACAGCCGAGAATTATGAAGCCGGCAATAGCAAATAATTCAGGGGGTGGAGGAATTGGTGGGAGTAATCTTAACTCTCCCCTATCGCCCAATGATTGCTTTCCCAATATTGAGAAACCTCGCACGGACTATTCCAGCATAAGTGGAAAAAAGGTTTTGGTATCGCCCACCGAGGAACAATTTGAGTTACTTAAAAAACGTCTAGAGGAACGTACCGAGGATAGTCGTGGTGAAACCATTTATGAAATTGGTGTTGGAGAAGGTTAGTGGTATTGAATTTCGGAAACACTTAAATATTCATGGATCATTATTGCATGTGATAGATGGAGGTGATAGCGGTTTGGATGAAGAAGAATATCAAGCTGCCGTTGCCACGCTACAATCGTTGGCCACAACCATTGATGCGGATATGGTATTGCTGCGGCAGCGTAAAGTTGAAAAAGGCCAAACGGGTCAATATCTCATACGTAAGCGAGTGGATACCTCAGATTTCATGGAAATAAGGTAGGGGTTGGTGTAATCTACCAAATCTTGTATTTGCTTTAATCCATTACTTTTTTTGTTTCGTAGAGTGGCTGTCGTTGGTAATGTAGATGCAGGCAAATCAACGCTACTGGGCGTTCTGACACATGGTGATTTGGACAATGGCCGTGGACATGCCCGTCAACGTTTGTTTAGGCACAAACATGAAATGGAAAGTGGACGTACCAGTTCGGTGGGGAATGATATTTTGGGTAAGTTGTAAATGGGGGACTTTTTTCTTTGAAGGTCAAAAAACACTTCTTATCGGAAACCCCTGTATTTTCGGTAATTTGTAAATGGGGGACTTTTTTCTTTGAATATCAAAAGAACACTCCTTATCGGGAAACCCGGTAATTTCTTCATTTACTTGAAAATATTCAAAATTGCCATCTACAGGGTGAGATGAAAAAACTGCAACCAACTTCAGACTGCCGTCATTTCTAAGCCACTCGTCCGACAGCTGTTAAAATTATTCCAGTGACAGCTCATTATATTGTTTACAAGAGTACAAAAGCATTTTGGTGAGAATTTTCCAAAAAAAATGTTATTCGTGATGGAATTCGAGCGCGATAGTGTAATTTCTTAATATTTGGCTGGAAAATCACAAGTGGCTATTTTTAGAGCACTCCAGCATTTAAATGTGACAAAATCTTTTGTGTCTCGTGACCCGACGTCAAAGAAGTGGACGGTAGGAAACAGCAACGTTAGCAGAAATGGTTCCAAAAGTAAAGAAGCGAGTTGATTGAAACCCACGTCGTAGTGACCGAAAAATGGCTCGTGAGCTGAACATATCGCAATATTCCATTCGGCAAATATTGAAAAATGAGCTCGGGGTAAAGCCATTGAAATTCCAAAAAGTGCAAAAACTTACACCGCAACGGAAAGAAAATAGACTGAAAAGAGCTAAAAAGTTGCTTCGCTTGGCCGAAAGTGTTGAACTGCCGAATTTGTTTTTTCCGATGAGAAAACACTCGTTGTCCAGCAGTTTGTAAACCAACAAACTGATCATGTTTACTTGCCATAGAGGTCAGCTGTAAAAGTGCACTTTCGGTTGGTGCACCGGCCATGGTGATGGTGTGGACCGCATTAACAGCCAATGGACGCTCTCCGCTCGTATTAATCGACCGTGGCATCAAAATATTCCGGAACGTGTTTAAAGCCTTGGGCACGTAAACCTTGGACATTCCAACAGGACTCAACACCACCGCACTTAGCAACCGCCACCCAAGAATGGTTACAAAATGAGGTTCCTCGCTTCATTTCCAGCGCACAATGGCCACCAAAATCTCCGGATACCAATATATCTATCTATGGACTATTGTGTCTGGAGTATTTTGGAAAGCAAGGTTTGCACTAAAAAATACCAAGTGTCGATCATCTCAAGCAAGCGCTTCTCCGGGAATGGGTCAAAATACCGCAGAGCAACATTCGGGCAGCGTCTGACGGTTTCATTGGCCATTTGAAGGTCATAATTCGTGCCAAAGGTGACCAATTCGAACAAATCTAAACTTATTCTAAAATTTGATGCTATTACCGACATTTTTTTGCTTTCATTCAATCAGATTTAAAAAATGTAAAAATTATGGCGTTTGACTTTGTTGCAGTTTTTTATCTCACCCTGTAATTCTTCAAGCGTCAAATAGCGCAAGATATTAGAGTTGTAACCCAAAGGTAATTTCATTGTCTTCTCTTGCAGGTTTCGACAGCGTTGGAAATGTTGTCAACAAACCCGATCATGGCACATTGGATTGGGTAAAGATATGTGAGAAATCGGCCAAGGTAATAACCTTCATTGATTTGGCTGGGCATGAACGTTACCTGAAAACCACGGTATTTGGTATGACCGGTCATGCACCCGATTTTGGAATGTTAATGGTAAGAGAAAACTAAGCCCAATATGTATGTCACAATAAACAATTCTATTATCAATTTTAGATTGGAGCCAATGCCGGCATTGTTGGCATGACCAAAGAACATTTGGGCCTGGCATTGGCCCTATCCGTACCGGTATTTGTGGTGGTTACCAAAATTGACATGTGTCCGCCGAATGTCTTGCAAGACAATCTTAAATTGTTGTTTAAAATTCTAAAATCACAAGGTTGTCGAAAGGTACCGGTTATGGTGAAGACAGCCGATGAGGTAGTGTTAAGTGCCACAAATTTTGTGTCCGAAAGGTTGTGTCCGATTTTCCAAGTGTCCAATGTGACGGGAGAGAATTTGGATTTATTGAAAATGTTTTTGAATTTGCTGACGACACGTATGTCGGGACAGGACAATTCACCGGCTGAATTTCAAATTGATGATACCTATTCGGTGCCGGGTAAGTGGTGGGGGAAAAAGAATTTGTGGTAAATAATTTAATGTGTGCTTTTTTTCCACTAGGTGTGGGTACAGTGGTGTCCGGCACCTGTCTGCAGGGTTTAATTAAACTGAATGATGTCCTAATGCTTGGTCCAGATCCTTTGGGCAATTTCATGCCCATTGCTGTCAAAAGTATTCACCGCAAACGCATGAATGTCAAAGAGGTGAGGGGTGGTCAAACCGCCAGTTTTGCCCTCAAGAAAATCAAACGATCTCAAATACGCAAAGGCATGGTCATGGTTAGTCCTGAACTCAAGCCCCAGGCTTGTTGGGAATTCGAGGGAGAAATTCTTGTTCTACATCATCCCACAACCATATCATCACGTTATCAGGCCATGGTCCATTGTGGTAGCATACGCCAGACAGCCTCCATTGTAAATATGTCCAAGGAGTGTCTACGAACGGGCGATAAGGCCCACGTTAAGTTTAGATTTATCAAACATCCGGAATACATACGACCGGGACAAAGAATGGTATTCCGCGAGGGACGTACCAAGGCTGTGGGTAATGTACTGAAACCTATAACAAATTCGCAGGCGGCCCAAAATCGACCGAAGCCAAATAAAATGCAATCACGATCGCAGGGCCAGGGAAGTTCGCAGCACAACAACAGCGCTCCACAAAATCAAAACCAAAATCCCAATGTCCAGGCGGCAGCCGGCGCAGGCAATGCAACCACCACGAAATCAGATTTGGATTTGAAAAATCACAAAACTGATGGTGTTCTAGAAGTGACAATGGACAAGAGGGACACAACGAGGCTGGCCAATAAACGTAACAACAAAAGGTCAACTGGCGGAGGGGTTGGTGTTGGCGCCAGCGGTACGGCGGGCACATCCAATGAAACCTCGTCACAAATTACAAATGCAACCAATACACCACAACATATTGCCGGAAAAGTCCAGTAAAATGGGAGGGGGTGAAAATGACGCTAATTTTGAAAACTTTCTTTTGAAATTATGAGGCAAATAGTTTAAAAACAAATGGAAACTGAATCATGTCAAAAAAGTGAATTGCTGCTAATACGAATGTACAAAACAAAATTTTAAATTTTTAGCTCTCAAGATTAGAAAACAAATACTATTTTAATATATATATTTTTTGTCATATATCATTGCCACCAATCAGTCAATCGATCGATGGAAGAAAAGACACATCCTCCGAGACATTTTGTACATCACCCAAATCCATTTTGAAAATAATTGAAAAATATTTCGTTGATTATGAAAATCGTTTATTTTTTAGAGGAGCATTCATTTCAATTCAATTCTCTGCTGCAAATATCTTAAGCCATATCAATACGAAACTGAATTTATTTTTGGCTATATATTTTTTACTTCATAATTTTTTTTGTTTTATGTTGAGTTATTATTTAATGATACGAGTTAAGAAACACGCAGTTTTATTTTTATTTTGGAAAAATGTGAAACGGAAAACTTGTTTAGTTTTTTTTTCGGAAAAAGAAAAGTGAAAAATAAACGATTTATTTTAAAAGATATAAGAAATGACTTTTGGATTGTAATATAGTGGGTGTGGGGAAGGCCAGGGGTTTCCCGATTTTTCATAAAACTAATTTTAGATAGATATTCAGAGGCACAACGTGGATTTTTATACCCTCCACCATAGAGATTGTTATTCCGTTTGTAACACCTCGAAATAAGTATATGTATTCTTGATCAGCCTAAAATTTCTGTCGGTTTAGCAATGTCCGTCCATCTGTGGAAATCACTCTAGCTTCCGCACGAAATGAAGTAGGTTGATAGAATTTTACTCAAATGTGTATTATGTCTGCAGGACTTTGGGTAATAACAATGGGTCATGTAGGTCTACGTTTTGGCATTGCCCCACATAATGGAACCTCCCGATTCTCGGAATTTTGGTGATTTAAGCGACATTATTCACCGGAATTGTTTCAAATTTGGTATTTGAAGTTCGTTATGGATACTATAGCCTATGACAGAAAATTGTCTGTGCAGGTCCACGTCTTCGTATGGCCCCCATGTGACGGTACCCCCGATATTTGGTATTTGGGTGATTTTATCTACATTATTCACCGGAATTGTTTCAAAATTGATATATAAAGTTCGTAATAGGTACTATAGCCTATAACAGAAAATTTTCTGTGCAGGTCCACGTCTTCGTGTAGCCCCCATGTAACGGTACCCCCCGATATTTGGATGATTTTAGCGACAATATTCACCGGAAATGTTTCAAATTTGGTATTTGAAGTTCGTAACGGCTACTACAGCCTATGACAGAAAATTGTCTGTGCAGGTCCACGTCTTCGTATAGCCCCCATATAAAGGTACCCCCCAATATTTGGTATTTGGATGATTTAAGCGATATTATTCGCCGGAATTGTTTCAAATTTGGTATCTAAAGTTCTTAATGGGTACTACAGCCTATGATAGAAAATTGTCTCTGCAAGCCAACGTCTTCGTATAGCCCCCATGTAACGGTACCCCCGATATTAGGTATTTGGATGATTTTAGCGACATTATTCACCGGAATTGTCTCAAATTTGGTATTTGAATTTCGTAAGGGTACTACAGCCTAAGGCAGAAAATTGTCTGTGCAGGTCCACGTCTTCATATAGCCCCCATATAGCGGTACCTTCCGATATTTGGTATTTCGGTGACTTAAGCAAAATTATTCACCGAATTTTTTTATTCAAGCTTCGCATTTGAGTATTGTAATGGTTCCACGTCGTCGTATAGACGGAATTTTTAAGGTTGTAACAGAATTTTTAACGGATTTTATTGTTTTTGCCAAAATTGTTCCAAATGGTGGAGGGTATTCAAAGGCCCGGCAGAACTTACAGCTTTTTTACTTCTTTAAGAATATTTTGAGAGCTACCTACCTGACATTTTTGTAAAGAATATGTTAGGAAATATCATCAAAGCTACTACAATAGAAAGTATATTTTTTGGAGGATCATCATAGCATTTTTTCAAAAATATTTTTGGAGGGCCATCAGAGTGACTAACGTGGATTTTAAAAAATATGGCTTTTGGAGGATTGTCAGAGTCCAAAAGAAGATTTTTTAAGAATATTTTCAGAGATCCATTTTAAATTTTAATGAATTTTTTAATAAGGACTATCAGAGATACCAACCTAGACTTTTAAAGAATATGTTAATGTTTTTAAAGTTGAGTGTTATTCGAACTCCTTCATAAATATTCTACATTTATTTAGAACTTAATTTAACGCAAAAAAATGATCAAAAAATAGTCTTTAAAATTCGTAATAATTTTTCATTCTAATATACAAACTAAAATTTCTTCTTTTTTATTTCGTCCTTTACTCCTTCGATTTCCTTCTTCACATTATCTTTGAAAAGATTCATAAATGATCTATAAAAAAGAAGGAAACCCAATTAAAATTTATTAAAAAATAAAGCATAAATTCGTTAACTCACTTAAAACGATCCGGTGACATTTCATGTAACTTAGTCTCATGTGCCAAATCCTTGGCGCGATACATCAGGGAGACAACAATTTGTGCTGCACGACGCATAGGATAACTTTCGGCCATACGATTGATAAGCTGTTCGTTATTGGCAAAATAACGCATTAGAAAACGAAAGACCATCTTTGCCGGGGATTATGTGGGGGTTTTGTTTGGAATGCAAGTAAATAAGAGTTGCTGTTAAATCTTAAAATTGAATATCCTTATATTTGCGTATTAGCTGTTGTTTCAGTTTCAATTGATTTCGCAACAATTCCAGCTGCTGTAATTGCTCCTCTTTGTTGTAATCAATGCCGGGTAGTAGTCTCACTTGGGCACGAGCAGCTTCGAAACGTTTTTGCAATTCCAAAATCTGAAATTATACGTGAAAAGAAATTATTTTAAATTCATTTTTCAAAACTCGATACATATCTTATGAGAAAAAAGATGAAAAACAAAATTCTGTTCCGAGACAGAGAACTTTTTTTACACTTTAGTGAAGAGGAGAATTTGGGTTTTCATCATAGCAATCTCTCCCATTGGGAGAAAACATTTGGATAAATGAGCGGTAGTAATTGGTCAGTTTTCCTACCCCTATGGCCTACTGTTATCCTCTACGGATGCAGTCACACCCAGCTATACACTGTCATAGTTTACTTCTTCATTTCTATGTACTTTTTGTATTGAAATCAATCTGTTCTGCTCCGATAACAGATTAGAGATCACAAGGCGCTTCTTTTGATGAGGATATTTTCTTTCGAACTTCCTTCACAACCTGGTGTAAAGGGCTGTACCGCATGCTTATAGAATTTCATATTCTTGGTCGGACTGCCATAGAGAGTTCGCCTGATTCTTCTACTATACTACTAGATAGAAAGCTTCACACCTCTTTACGTTCAAAGTTTGATTTCCTTTGATGCAGGAAAATGAACTTACGGAAATTTAGACATATAAGGATGGAACTCTTCTGGGCTTAACTCTAGTTTAGTAAAAACTCTTCGCTTTTTTTCCAGAGGTAGATTTTTTTACCCCGACTTCGGAATCTATTTTTTCTTGGGGGACGGGGGACCATTGTAACCACTTGTTGGATAGGTATAAACTTTCAAACGATACCTATATTGTTTATATCGGGCAAGTGGATCCTGCTCTAGCCCGGGTCTTAATATCGGACTTTCAGGTCAATAATGGGGTTTTGGGTCCGTCCTCGAGAAAAAAATGTTTCACGGAATCATAAAAAACATATCTCTGGAAAAAATTTCGAAACAATCGAAGAGTTTTTACTAAACTAGAGTTATTCCCTCCTCTGGGAGGCTTCAAGTTATAGAAGAAGTCCTTTAGAACAACAAGTCTATCAGGTGGTTCTGGATAGAACTCGAACTGTTGCAGTCGTCCGTTCCATCCCTGTTATCGGCATTTGTTATGGAGTTGCGTACAATTTTTATGGTAAATGCTGATACCTAGTGGTATTGACCACATTTCTGTAACCTCTAAAACCCCCATTTCTGGAATGATTCTTTCGCACGTAAATCAAATGATTATCATCTCACAAAATACCCACCTTATGACTGCACTCCTGGGACTCACGCTGTTTGGCTGTATTGTCTTTGGGATCCTTTTCAACACTAGAAATAAACAAAAAAATATATGTAAATTATATAATGTCCTTGACTAAATGGTCGACCAAAAACATCACAAAACAACGCAAATTCTTTTGTTTAACAAAAATAAGCAAACACAATTTCTTTGTCACATTTTCATGTGATTTTCAATTAACAGAGAAGCAAAAAAGCCCGGCTATTTTTGTTTGTTTTTGTTCTAACAATGATTGGTCAAGAAGAATAGTCACTTTGGAGGAAAATGCGTTCGACGATTGCACTCACCAGCGTATAATGTCGTAAATAGCAGGCAATATTTCGATATCAAGACGCGTTGCTGACAATGTTTGGCTATTGGGCCCGCTTCCAGTGTTTGTTGCGGTGTTATTATTTGCTTGGCTTGGAGCGCTTTGTATCAGACCATCAGCTGTTAGTATTGGTTTCTTATCAACTGGTTCACAATTTGGCGACAAATCCATAATAAATACAATTTATTTTGGAAGGAAATTTTTGCAAGAGCAAATTGAAAAACAAGTATTTTTTTATTGTTTTTTTTGTGAGAGAGTCAGAGAGTCGATTGTTTTGAAGAGCAACTGTCAAGTGTAGTTAGTGGAAACGCAATGTAGGTTATACATACGATGTATTGTACAACTTGGTGGAACTACAGTCAGGGGAAAAAGTTAGTATCGAGTTAGAAGGGAAGGGAAAATGAATATTTAAAAAAAATGCATAGTGCAATGGCGAAGATAATCTCAGACAATCATACGATTACAATTGTTTTATTTGATGTCCCTTTATTGAGAAATTTATATTTTGTAATTCCTCCTAAGATTAGGCAAACAATTTAAAATATTGCATTTACGACTTTTATGCACTCTATCAACGAAGTATTTAATGTGAATCGGAAAACTAAAGGTGAGAATACATAAAGGCTTTTTTGTCTGGCTTATTCGGAAATCGAACTAAGTCAACCTAAAACTCCTTTGTTGGCTTAATGCTAGGAACACAATTGGAGCGAACGACGAATTTCGCCCTACGCGGCGACAAAATGAGCCGCGAAAATTCGTCGTATGGAACACAATACCGACGAAATTATAAAACAGCTGATGAAGTTGTTTACTTTTTGCTCATTTGTTGACTACAATGAATTATACAAGAACACATAATTCTTTACGTTCTCTATTATAATTTCACTTATGTCCATCTTCTCTATTATAAATTCACTGATATCCATCTTCACTCAGGCGCAAGTACACAAATAAATAAACAAATTAATTATGTTTTTTTTTATACGAGTAACAGATAGTAGAGTGACCATAACAAATTTTAAAGTAAAAAGTAACTTTATTTACTAAAACACATAAAATTCGTACAAGTATGGCCACCTTGTACTGTTTTGTTCGCCGGTCGCCGGCGTATGAAATAGAAATAAAGCTAATTGAGTTCGCGGCGACCGACGAAATTTTCGCCGGTGCCGTGATTGTGTGCACTTCCATATACACATATGTGTTTTATTTTTGACGACGAACATACGCCGCGAAAAAATTCGTCGTTCGCTCCAATTGTGTTCCTAGCATTATGCTGTAAATACATAAAGCGCATATTTGGCTGGCTTAAGTCATCGGCTGGCTTCTTCGTAAGTGAACAAAGGAGTTTTAGGTTGACCTAGTTCGATTTTGGTTCTAGGCTCCTTTGTTCATTTCCGAAGAAGCCAGCCGATGACTTAAGCCAGCCAAATAAGCGCTTTATGTATTCCCAGCTTAAGTCATCAACTGGCTTCTTCGTAGGAGAACAAATTAGTTCTAGGTTGAATTAGTTCAATTTTGGCCCTAAGCTCCTTTGTTCTTTTCCGAAGTACTCTCACTTTAATGGTTTGCGATTAGGCATACGCAATATCGGCACCTGTAAGCCAAAATTTGTTTTGTGTGGGGAATGAAGCAAATATTTAAGGGCCGATTACATATAATTTTAGAGTAATATGTGAATTTCTACATTTATCCCCAGCTATTTTATCTTTATGCGTTAAAAGATCTGAAAGTTTTTATAATATAGTGTAAATTTATATATTTATAGTATAAAAATAATATAAATACAGTATAAGTATAGTATATATGTAAAGTTCGTATAGTATAGCGTTTCTATGTAGTTTAGAATTGTCTTGGAGAATTTTTCTGGCATAAGTCACTGGCTGGGTTTTCTCGTAAAATAACAAAAAAAAAAAAAAAAAAAAAAAACTTTAGGGTGATTAGTCGAAATCGATCTAAACTAAACTCCTTTTTTAGTTTAAGGAAAACCATTGTATAATTATTAAAAGTAGCAGCAAATCCCAGTTGATTTGACTCTATAGTAATACTAGTGTCAAACTCGATATGACGTTTTGTGATTTAATTCCATTTCTTGATATACAATAGGTATACCCATGGTACAATAAAAAGGTAAGGTAGAGCTAACAGCTGATTACATTTTTTTCTAAGTGTGCCCGACTTCTGTCTATTTTGTGTATGTATTAATTGTTTTAAAAAAATGAAAAAAAAAAAAAATATTTTCAAAACCAATGAGCAGCATAGCCATGAAATTGAAAGATTGAACAGTTAGGATCATATTTTTGAAAAAAAAAATCCAGACATTTTATTCAATTTTCGCGCTATTTAACTCATTTTAAAAATGAGGAAAAATATGAAAACAATAATTTTTAATGAGTCTGACCGGAAGCGGGCATAGTCTCAGGGCAGTATTTTTGTATTTTGGCTAAGCTGTTCTACCTCCTTATTGTACCATGGGTATACCCTTTTTTGATATAAAATTTCACTGCAGGGCAATGTGAATGCCTAATAATAGAAAAAAAACGCAGTTGTACTTAACAAAATGCCAAAGGCAATGTCTCGGAAACTTATTAACCGCAAAAGCCACGTTTGATAATATATTCGTATATTTCATGTTTCCTAAAATTGCAAAATTTAGAATACTTTATGTATGTATGCTGTTTGGTTTCAACTTGAAAGGGATGTTGCCTTTTCCTCAATTTTCTAGCGATTGCTTAAAGTGTTGAGGAATTAGGATCGTCAGCTAACACTTAGGGTGGAAATACATAAAGCGCTTATCTGACTGGCTTAAGTCATCGGCTGGCTTATTCGGAAATGAACAAAGGAGCCTAGGGCCCAAATCGAACTAAGTCAACCTAAACCTCCTTTGTTCATCTACGAAGAAACCAGCCGATGACTTAAGCCAGCCAAATATTATCTTTATGTATTTCCAGCCTTATATATTCAGGGGAATCATGTGAAAGTATTAAAATTAAATATTTTAAGAACTATTCTTCTGCATTTTCAATTTAATAATCTTAATTCCAAAAATTTATATTTTTGAAATTAAAATAATTTATTGAAAATTATTTTGTTTACAACAAAAAAACTTGTATTACGTACAAAAACAAATTTGTATGTGGCTGTTACGATTGTTGTACAACAACAATTGCTGTTACCTGCATTTTTCTACCATGGGTATATTTGTGAATATACAATGGATCTGTATGTAAACTTTTTGACAATAAAATGTAGTAAAATGAATTATTTTGAAAATAATAATAATAATTCTACCATGATTATATCGATAAAATTTGAAAACTAGTAGACTGCATGGTAAACATTAGTTGTGTTCCAGTACTTTTTTTGTAGTAAAACTAGCAGAAGAGAGAACAGTATGAAATGCCTTTCTCATTTAGGTGTCCTGAAAAAATAAGGGACGGAAAATTAACAGAAATGCGATAAAATGTCAACATTCAAAATTCCAAAAAACAGTCTAAATCGGACTGGTGAAACCTTACTGAAATGGACGCCAAAATTTAAAAAAAATAAGTATAGGAAATAAGTTAAAATTAATAATTATTTTTGAATGCTGTTTATTTAGAAAGTTTTGTTTTCAGAATGCGTTGAAGAGTATTTAGAGGTGGAGTTTTCTCAAATCCCAACCTAGAAGAAGCTGACATGGTTGGAGGCGCCGGTTAAATTAATGTTAAGTCTGCTACAAGACTTAATGCCACAAGCTGGAAAGACAGACAACCTGAAAAATAAAAAGAAAATATTCGCAGTAATAAGCGAACATCTTTGATTTTAAGCTTAATTTTTCAATTTACCTTTCACTAATTTTGCATTGTTTTCCAATACGTTTTCTACGTCTGATTCCTCATTCCTGGAATCATCCAAAGGTGAATGCATCAGTTGCTCCATATTTTCCCTTTTTGTTTTTTTTTGCACGACAAATATTAGTTTTTCCTTAGTGTTTAAGTTAATCTTTTTTTCTTTACATTTGTTGTGACGCGCGAACATCGAAGTGCATCAATACTTTTTTCAACCTTGTTAGCCCTACCAATTAAATGTCAAATTTATTTGTAGCTAAAACAAGCAGATATGTGCACCACTCAGCGCCATTTTTTTCTCGAGAGGGCTGCAAGTTTTTCTAGTTTTTGGAGTACGGGAACGCGTTGTAACAGAATTAGCACTAATTAGTACTAATTTGTAGGTTCTGGAACACAACTATTGTTGTCATACATTTTTTTCTGCCGATACAAACATTTTGAAAATATTGCCTCTTTTGTTTGCAGTTTTCTGTGTAAATTTCAACTCCTGGACAAAATGCGCAACTCGGATGAGAGAGAAAATAAAATTTACTTTCGTTTGAATGTACATACGCCATTCAACATTGTAGTTTTCATTCATAATTTTCAGTCTTCCCAAAACTTTTTAAAATTTCATTAAATTTTTCTATTTTGAATTTTTAAATGTCTGAGAGTGCTTTGAATGGAACAAAGAACAAATATCTTTGTTCGCTCTGAAAATTTTGTGTGGGGAATCAAGTAGATATTTCATAATTAATGGTCGAACAACTAATAGAGAGCGAATTACGTGCTATGTGAAGTTAGCATTATCCTTTACTTTTCCTAAAGTGAGGAATAACAAAAGTTGACTATAAAGTAAAGATATAAGAACGGTCCTATATCTTTGGACATGCTTTTATGTTTATTAAAGCGCTTGACTTCATTAAAACAAGAATATTATCAGAAAAAACAGGTTCGGTAACTTTAGAAAATTAGTAAATAGAAAAAAATGTTCCTATGCTAATTGTAAAAATTAATGAATTTTACAGAAATAATTGACGGTGTCGGACATATATAGCTAATTCTTAAAAAAGTATTTTTAAATCATTACGCTATTCATCTAATCTACGCTTCATTTAAACATAATTTCTTGCTCAGAGCGAAGACAAAAACGTTAAAAATGAAATTTAGACGAAGGTGTTAATGTGACTAGCACACCGATCTATGTTTTTTATAACCGTAGGTGTTACGAGGATTTTTAAATCGATATAGAAAACAAACACACGCAGATGTACACATTTTGAAATCAAAACTAATTAATATGTTAATCAAACATATTATGCCAATTTGAACATTTTGTAGCATATTTCTTCAAGCAATCGTGTTAATTAATCCTGCAGTAATTAATAAATTTATTTGTCTTAGATGATAGCCCGACGATCGCT